GCTACAATCGATGACTATGATGGACTGAAAGGATCAGATTTCCAAAATGTGTGGACATCCCTTCGAACCAATGATGAAGATAGGCAATTTGAGGATTTGTACAGGATCATGAGCGAAACAGGGCATGCCAAATGGGTCCGTCCCGATCACTGTTGCTCGATGTATGAAGATAAAGAACAGAAGGCGTTTATAAATGCAGTGGAAGTGAATAGTGGCAAATATAACGGGCATCTTGGTAAAGTAACTATCACACTCAGGTCCAGAGAGAGAGCTAAAGGTCTTTTCGATGCACTAAGCAGGTCAATACGAGTTTACGAGTTGGATATCACATTTGGCTGGGATTGGACTGAGACTGATCTTGAAGCATTTGAGAATGCTTTGGAGGTGTCGAGTGTATCGATTCTTCGACTTGGGCTTGCACGAACTCAAAGGAATGCTGGTATAAAAGATTCAATACCCGCGCGATATGAAAGACTTATTCGCGTCATAGAGCTCAGTAACATGAAAACAATCCATATTACTCTATCTCAGGATCTCATGAAACTTCTCAGTTTACGACTCGCAAAAATTTCGCACCTTCATAAGCTATCTTTTGGGGTGAAGGCTCTATCGATTGAAGCCAGCGAATTACAAGGGCTTATAAATTTACTCATGACTAACACGACATTGACGACTTTGAACTTGACCAACAACTCAATTTTTGATAAAGAAGTCCTGACACTGTCAGAGGCGCTCAAGGCCAATACAACTCTAGCGATTTTGGACTTGAGTGACAACTCAGTTGGGGATAAAGGAGCTCTGGCACTGTCGGAGGCGCTCAAGATTAGCAGTAGTTTGACCTCTTTGAGGTTGGGTAGCAACTCAATTGGGGATGAAGGAGCTCTGGCACTGTCAGAGGCGCTCAAGGTCAACAGTAGTTTGATGACTTTGGACTTGAGTTACAACTCAATTAGGGATGGAGGAGCTCTGGCGTTGTCAGAGGCACTCAAGGTTAATACTAGTTTGATGACTATGAACTTGAGCGGCAACTCAATTGGGAATGAAGGAGCCCTGGCACTGTCAGAGACGCTTAAGGCCAATGCAACTATGACGACTTTGAACTTGTATAACAACCCAATTGGAAAGGATGGAGTCTTGGCACTGTCAGAGGCACTCAAGGTCAATACAACTTTGACGACTTTGAACTTGGGTCGCAACGCAGTTGGGGATGAAGAAGCTCTGGTAATCTCAGAAGCCCTCAAGACAAACGCAGTTTTAGCAAAAAAATAAAATAAAATATGACAGCCTTAAGCGTCAAAGAAGGGATACTGATGCTGTTAGCCACACTCTGGACTGTTTGACCAACTTTGGATCGTTTTTGGGATACTTGACTGATTTGATGGTTGAAAGAGCTCTGGGAGTGGTTAAAGAAAATAGTTTGGTTTAAATAAAGCTTGCTTGTAACAACCAAGCAGCCATGGCGGCGTTGGTTTTTAATCCAAATATCAAGAAAGATATTAGTATCGATGGCTTCAAGAAGTGTGTCCTCCAGCTAAAGCAGAGCATTGCGAAGGGAAATATCCACTGCGAGACGTCATTTCACTAAAATCTGCCTATATTGGACAAAGAGAGACTGAAAAGAGTGGGTGTTGGTGGCCAAGAGCGACCAATACGAACCTATTTCTAATAATTTGCACAATCGTATTAGAGAACCACTTATTAATAAATAAGAAATAAAAAAAAAACTTGTTGGGTTGAAAATAGAAGACTTCCAAGGCTTGTAACCACAGTATGCTGGCCTTATAACAAACCTCAAGTTCTATGGAAGGCACAACAAACCTACGTCTTTCCTATTGAAATTACCATCCTAAAAAGTATAGATCTTTTTTTTTTTTTTCTTTTTCTGAGGGCCAATACTAGGCTCGCCACCGGCCTGAGGATGAGGTTCATGTGCCCATGCACGTGGTGAAATGCAAATGTGGCTTGCTCTTTTCTCTCAGGCTCAGTCAAATTCGCCGGCTCTGGTGTACTGCTGAAAGAAAATGCATCGGTAAAAAATTCTGAGTCCATAATGTATTTGAATATGTCCATAATGTATTTGAATATGTCCATTTACCGATATGAAGGCTAAATTTCGCAGCTTTAGGCTTTAGGAGGCAGGCTTGACCAGAAAAAACATGGTAGGAGCACTATTACAATAATGACCACTTCTCGAAGTAGGTCAGGATTTACGATCATTATTTTATTTATGGTTTTAAATACATGCTTGCAAAAAAAATCGACCAGCATCGGAAATTGGCTTTGCTCTTTCACCCAAATCGATTTTCTCAGTCTAATTGTAATCGTAAATACGTTAGGTGCAAAATCCTCAATTACGAATATCGATTTTGGGCGCAGCAACCGGTGTCATGCTTTGGAGATTTTACTTTATTTTTTTTTTTTTTTTTTTTTTTTTAAACGAGTGGTTGAGGGTCAGGAGAGACCCATATGTATGGCCTACAGCTCCTTCCAGTCCACCATTGATCAACTTGTACGGCCCTCGGTAAATGTGATCTCGCAGTAGCTAAACTCCTTTGCAAGACTCTGCTTCGGCTGTTGTACATTCTTCTTCAAACCCTTGATTTATATACTCTAAGAGAATTTCAAGCAAACACTGAATTACCTAAATATCATGCAACTTGTGCGAATCATTTACTGACTTATTATGACGCACTGTTTATTAAGAAGAGTACTTTCAATAATACTGGGATTCAAGAGTTGTCTTGCAAGGGGAGAAAGAGGTGCTATCGAAGCATTAAAAAACGATATAGTTATGGCCGTTTGGCTCTCGCAAGCCAGCTTTTTATTCTAAACCAAGTTATTTTCATGAGCTACCCCATACACTATTTTGATAATCAAATCAGGCAGATAATAAAAAAAAATGTATTCTATGTTTATTGATGGAGATTTTCTCATTTATAAAGGGCTATGGCCGCGTTAAACTTGCCTTACTAAATTGCCCTCTATTTCCAAAGTGGCCAAAGAATTGTTGTCTTAAGTGCCTATGATAGAGCCAGTACAGTGCGTCTTTCTTCCCAATTTTATTGTCTCTCAAGCCTATAATGGACAAAGTTCTGTTCACTACACTAGTCACACTCCCATCCAAGACTTTGTGCTGTGTATTTGCGACAATTAATTGAAGGCGGGATGGCCATGACACCTTCCCTCACGATGAGTGGAGATATAAAAAGCACGCCATGAGCTATTGAAATGAACAGCATAGTCGTGTTCAGCATACTACACTTGAGAGATCAGTCAATGATGTATCCAAGCTAGCAGAAACATGTTGAACAGTTTTACCTGCTGCTTTGCGGTGAGGAGCCAAGGAAGAGAGGAAAGAGAGATCCTTTTATACGTTTTCAGAGGCATAATGGCTTGCATTCTTTTCTTTTGTCACAGCCTTCGACAGCATCGAGTCATTGTGGGACCTTTTTCTCATATGAAAAGATCTTTGCGATACCTAATAAGCTTTTATATTTGTCTGCTTCATCTTCTGCTTTCCTTTCTGTCTTGACAATCTTGGACAATCTTCTTCTTCTTTCTTTCCTACCGTGGTCTGTGCACTCTTTCCATCCTATCCTAATGTCCTGATAGAGTTTGTTTGTTTGTTTGTTTGTTTGTTTGTTTGTTTTTGGTAAGGCTGCAAAGAACTCAAAGTGGAGCCGCAACCTTAAAAAATAGACCCTGAGAAAGACATTCCCTAACAGCCGTGCTCTTTTGATTGTCAGGATTTTCATGTAAAGTGCATCTAAACAGGATCCACTGCTATGTTGCAGATGCTTTGTTACACATCCCACCCTATCAAGGCAGATCGGCCGCACTGTCGAAAGCAACTGATGCATGTTCCATCATGCTAATATTGGTGGCTAGTCACTAAACACCAGGTACGCGTGAGGAAATTCAATGGTGACTTTGGTTCTCAAACGAAGTGTTCTAGAGCCCAGTAAAAACTAGGTGAGATGCAAAATCACTGTGTGGTCTCTTCAGTCATTCGCTCATTTTTAGGTACACAGGCTGGGGTCTGGTGCTTTTTGTTATAATGTACTTTATGAATTTTTCTTTTTTCTTTTTTTAAGGCCCTAATTTACAAACCTCTGGAATACATTGCTCATTTAATTTGCAATTCTCAACTTGTTTTGAAGTAACTCAACGAAGGCAAGAGAGGTATTTGACAGTTGTAGAAGCCAGTAAAGGTGTGAAAGCCTCGCTGCCAAGCGGTGCAGTTCAGCACTGCAGCGATACGAGTCCATCTCCCTCTTAGTCAATAGCTGACTATTTTATTTTCTCCCTAATACGCGAGGTACAGTCCGTAATACATCAAGGATACATGCAAAGAGGGATAGTAATGTATTACAGTGGCAAAATGGTGAACAGATCCGAAACCCAAAGGGGTTATAGCTGATCTTCGCCCGACTTCAAAGCAGATTCTTTAAGATTATTGATTTTCCCATACCTGGATATCATCAACGGGGTCCAAGTCTAAAGTGTCCAGTAGAGGTAGTCCTAGGAAGAATGTTTATGAGAAAATGCATGGAAAGCAAGAGATTCAAGCAGTGCGGACAAATGACATAGGAAAGTGAATTAGCAGGCTCATTGATGCTCTTACAAGTTTCATTCGGAAGGTGGCGGACCAAGTCTGGCCTAATTGAAGCCGTAGAAAGAAGGGAGCATTGGATCACCATGTAGCGAGCATTGAGAAAATAAAAAATACTGTTTGTAATAGCTTTGAGAGACAAAAGGTAATTTTATTAAAGCAATTAAAACAAACCTTCCAAAGGCTTAGCACTATATATACTGGTATATGAGTAATTTTGTCTCTTTTTTTTTTTTTTTTTTTTTTTTTTTTTTTCACAATACAAAACAATCATATGAAATGAGAGTTTTTTTTTTTTTTTTTTTTTTTTATATATAATTTTTTGAGGGGAGTATCCAGGCCATTTCCAGTAATACATGGCCTTGCTTATTGCTCTTTGGATACTCTTGTTGTTTCGTACCCACACATGAACATTGAAGAGGTCAAGATGAAGGTAGTTGAGGTTACTGGATCATATATAAACGTTCTATGTACTCTGCTAGGATTGCTGCTGTCATACTTGAACGTTCGCCTCCATGACGAGGTCGACGAGGCACCATTATCTTTATTGGTTGATCCCGAAGTCGAAGCTGCTGAGGTTTTGGTGGCGTCATGCTTGACGCCACTGTTGTTGCCACCAATATTGTTGATTGTATTTGGTTCAGCCTTCTTAACAGCAACATGATGAGAAACGAACCCTGAGGCGGCAACAAAGTGCGATACCGCAATAGCTGACGATGGAGCAGTCGTTGTTGCTGTTACTACTTTTGTGCTCGAGCTTGTCATGGTATAGTGGTTGTCTTCTATTTCCTCTTGTCCTTGTGTCTTTTCGTTTCGCTGTTTCTTTGACACTTGAATATCATGCTGCAAAGGGCTGCCGGAAGGCTCTTTGCGCTTCCCTGTGGAATATGATACCGTAGTAGTTGATGATGAGGTAGTCAGCGTTGTTATTGTAGTGCTTGTCGTGTTATATTGGTTATCTTCTATTTCTTCTTCTCCCTGTGTCTTTTCATTTCGTTGTCTCTTTGAGCTTTGAATGTCACGCAGAGTAGGGCTGCCAGAGGGTTCTTTGCGTTTACCAATGGTATGCATTTTTTTTTTCTGAATGAACTATTGGGAATTCAGTTGGTAGAGAAAGGAAAAGTTGAAGAAGTGTTCAGGTTGTTGAAAGCTAAAATCAAGCCTTAAATAGGCATATTTTGTCACGTGAAGCCAATAGTTACGCGCGACGCGTCTATCTTGCCCATGTGTGGGCAGTCATTTTATGGTTTAACATGTCAACTACTCGTAGCATTTCTCTTAAGCCCGAGTCTTGTCTTGGCAAGTGCGCCACCAAATTGGAACATGTGCACTCAATAACATCATCGGCTTTGTTCAGGTATTCCTTCCTACAGTCACTGAATGGATGCCTCCATTTTGACAATTCGATCGCAACGTGCATCTTCAGTCAATGAACATTTCTGAATTAGTCGAATTAGTCGAAGCCATGAGCATCTTTCTTGGCAAAAAAAAGAAAAATAAAAATCTCGAAATTGCGTACGGGTCTGCAAGGATTTTCATGTTGTCTTGCTCAAGCATGTATAGGAGAGCATTGAGCTAAAGTATGGGTAAGAAGAGGATCTAATAGGTCCTGGAGGAAGTACCATACTGTCTCGACCAAAGTTTATCATTGCAAAGATGCGATCATCTTCAAACTATACAAACCACCGCACCATCAAGTGTGCTCATCTACTTTTTGACTCAATTTACTCGCTCAGTCAGGGCCTACAGTTCGGTCATACCAGTTAAATATTTCTATAAAGATGGAGGCTCGTATTTTCCCTTGGGTTAGAGTTTTTGGGAGTATCCTAGATCAGCACCTTGCGCGCCACAAACACGGCAGTCCAGGGCAATGAAGTTGGTCTGTTCTTCCTGGTTTGTACGAGAGTCAAGGCCTTGGCTTCGAGTGACATAAGTATCTCCATCATATTCTGAATGTGATCAGTAGCTTTCGCAGATTCGAGTCAGTTATTACAAAGGTGCAGAGAAAAAAATGTTACCCAATTCGTATTCAACAGTGCATTGTTGGAGAATACTAGTTTGAGCACAAGGTTGTAGAGACGAGATAGCAGGCCTAATAGCTAGAGGGGCAGCAAGGGAGGCAAAGATGACATTGGCTGCAGAATGGGGTCGTTACAATATCGATGGTGTTTCCATGTCTGAAGGGTTCAGTTCTGAAAGGTGTTGATTAAGCAACGCATTTCCTTTTTCACAAGATCAAAATGGTCTGTACTCAAAACGACAGGAGTTCAAGTGACCAGTTTGACTTGATGACTGGGATCAGAGGCAAGTCCTGGCCGCAGGCTGAACGATGGCTTTGAAGGACGTTTTGTGGTAATTATTCTTCATACACATACTTTACACCTTTTTTATTTTTTATTTTTATTTTTTATTTTTTGGCATATTCCTCAAAAGTAAAAGTATTCAAAAACTTACGCCGGGATCCTTAAGCTGAGCTGAGCACAGCAAAGAGCGAATTTGCGTTGTCAGGTAATATGAATACAGTCGTAGCCGGTGACTCCCGTTCCGCGGTGTAAGCTTTTTTTTTGTCTATGTTAATAACCTAGACGATCTTTTATTCCTCTTTCTATAGTAGAGTAGTCTGTGCTACAGTTCTAATAAGTTGATGCAAAGCGGAGTAAACCCAAGCAACCCTAAAAATAAAAAATAAAAAACTTAATATAGTTGAAAACGTTGCCTTGTTAACTCATTGCCTTGAATACTCGTACAAGCCTTGGAAGTCTTCTATTTTCAACCCAACAAGTTTTTTTTTTATTTCTTATTTATTAATAAGTGGTTCTCTAATACGATTGTGCAAATTATTAGAAATAGGTTCGTATTGGTCGCTCTTGGCCACCAACACCCACTCTTTTCGGTCTCTCTTTGTCCAATATAGGCAGATTTTAGTGAAGTGACATCCCGCAGTAGATATTCTCCTTCGCAATGCTCTGCTATAGCTGGAGGACACACTTCTTGAAGCCATCGATACTAATATCTTTCTTGATATTTGGATTAAAAACCAACGCCGCCATGGCTGCTTGGTTGTTACAAGCAAGCTTTATTTAAACCAAACTATTTTCTTTAATCACTCCCAGAGCTCTTTCAACCATCAAATCAGTCAAGTATCCCAAAAACGATCCAAAGTTGGTCAAACAGTCCAGAGTGTGGCTAACAGCATCAGTATCCCTTCTTTGACGCTTAAGGCTGTCTTATTTTTTTTTTGGCTAAAACTGCGTTTGTCTTGAGTGCTTCTGAGATTGCCAGAGCTGCTTCATCCCCAACTGCGTTGCCACCCAAGTTCAAAGTCATCAGAGTTGTATTGACCTTGAGTGCCTCTGACAGTGCCAAGGTTCCTTTCTTTCCAATTGAGTTGTAACTCAAGTCCAAAGTCATCAAACTACTGGTGACCTTGAGCGCTTCTGACAGTGCCAGAGCTCCTTCATCCTCAATTGAGTTGTAACTCAAGTCCAAAGACATCAAACTACTGGTGACCTTGAGCGCCTCTGACAGTGCCAGAGCTCCTTCATCCCTAATTGAGTTTTCACTCAAGTCCAAAGACATCAAACTACTGGTGACCTTGAGCGCCTCTGACAGTGCCAGAGCTCCTTCATCCCTAATTGAGTTTTCACTCAAGTCCAAAGTCATCAAACTCCTGTTAACCTTGAGCGCCTCTGACAAGGCCAGAGCTCCTTCACCCTCAATTGAGTTAGCACTCAAGTCCAAAGTGTTCAATCCGGAGTTAGCCTTGAGCGCTTCTGATAATGCCAGGGATCCTTCATCCCAAATTAAGTTGTTGCTCAAATCCAAAGTCCTCAAACTATTATTAACTTTGAGCGCCTCTGATAGCACCCGAGCTCCTTCATCCCCAATTGAGTTGCGCCACAAGTCCAAAACCATCAAATCAGTGTTAACCTTGAGCGCCCCTGACAACGCCAGAGCTCCTTCATCTCCAATTGAGTTCTCCCACAAGCCCAAAGTTATCAAACTAGTGTTAACCTTGAGCGCTTCTGACAATGCCAGAGCTCCATCATTCCCAATTAAGTTGCTCCACAAGTCCAAATTCGACAAAGCTGTATTGGCCTTGAGCGCTACTGACAGTGCCAGAGCTCCTTCATCCCCAATTGAGTTGCTACCCAACCTCAAAGAGGTCAAACTACTGTTAATCTTGAGCGCCTCCGACAGTGCCAGAGCTCCTTTATCCCCAACTGAGTTGTCACTCAAGTCCAAAATCGCTAGAGTTGTATTGGTCTTGAGCGCCTCTGACAGTGTCAGGACTTCTTTATCAAAAATTGGGTTGTCGGTCAAGTCCAAAGTCGTCAATGCCGTGTTAGTCTTGAGTAAATTTACAAGCCCTTGTAATTCGCTGGCTCCAATCGATCGAGCCTTCACCCCAAAGGTTAGCTTATGAAGGTGCGCCAGTTTTGCAGGTCGTAAACTGAGAAGTTTCATGAGATCCTGAGATAGAGTAATATGGATTGTTTTCATGTTACTGAGCTCTATGATGCGAATATGCTTTTCATATTGCGCGGATATTGAAGAGTCCTTTATACCAGCATTCCTTTGAGTGCGTGTAAGCCCAAGTCGAAGAATCTTCACGCTCGACACCGCCAAAGCATTCTCAAATGCTTCAAGATCAGTCTCAGTCCAATCCCAGCCAAATGTGATATCCAACTCGTAAACTCGTATTGACCTGCTTAGTGCATCGAAAAGACCTTTAGCTCTCTCTCTGGACCTGAGTGTGATAGTTACTTTACCAAGGTGCCCGTTATATTTGCCACTATTCACTTCCACTGCACTTACAAATGCCTTCTGTTCTTTATCTTCATACATCGAGCAACAGTGGTCGAGACAAACCCATTTGGCACGCCCTGTTTCGCTCATGATCCTGTACAAGTTCCCAAATTGCCTGTCTTCATCATTGGTTCGAAGGGATGTCCACACATTTTGGAAATCTGATCCTTTCAGTCCATCATAGCCATCGATTGTAGCAATGTTGCTCAGGCCTGGATCCTTCTTAGAGAGTGCTTCCATATAGTCGATTGAACAATCGATACCAGCATCCATCAAATCTGGGGATGGTGCCAGAGATGTAGACGAGGTCATTCCTAACTTGAGCCACTTTAAAAGGATAAACATGTGCTTTCCGTACTTGCGGAAGAATTCTGTGCTGCTTCGGATCTCATACCCATCATGTTTGATGATATGGAGTGGCTTCTGACTATTCTTGCTTGTCATTGCAGTGTGATCTCCACATTCACATAGGAAATGAACACGAATTTTGTTCTTCAAGACATTCATTGGATCCCACTTGGTGTGATCGACAGGTAAAATGATAAACAGTCGAGGAATTACGTATTCGTGAAGCTCAGTATTCTGAGTGAGGATAGCGTCAACATGCTGTTGGAGCAAGGCAGGTTTGTCGAGGCTTTGATGTTGTATTATGTCATCCTTCTCCTTAGCTTCCACTTGCATTTTAGCCATCTTATCTTGAAGTTCAAACATCTCGCTGTCCTTCTCTTTGGTTTCCAATACCAGATTAAGCATCTTGTCATCCTTCTCTTTGGCCTCCAAGAGCACATCTGCAACCTTCTCAAGGTTAGAGTTGATCACCTCGATATATGCATTGTTGCGTGTAGTAAGGAACGAATTGAAAGAGTGAATCAAGTTTGATAATGGTAAAAGAGTATCCTGAGAGGCCTGCTTTGACGACTTTCTCAATGTAGGCAAATGGATGAGGGCGCTGTGATTGCTGTTGTTATTGCAGCTGCAATTAGTATTATCGATGTTGGTATTTGTGCTGGTGTTGGTGTTGATACTGGTGTTGCTGGTGTTGGCGTTGCTAGCTCCGGTGCTGCTGCTGCTACTGTCGCTGCTGCTTAGCTGCGGCGCTTCTGTTATGACATCCAGGATCTTGTAAGGATAGAATCCAATGCATGGTGGCTCGACTCTAACAAGAAGACAGATATATGCCAGATTGAGCTTCATTTATTTTCAAAAGATGATTGATAAAGCGTACCATAATCAGTAGCATACCTGTTCCCATTAGGGTCTATGAGGAATGGAATAGGAAGTTCCTCCAGCTTGAATCGCTGTGCATCTGGAAACACATCCCGAATGTCTTGCAGACTCACATGGCAGGCTGAGTTGCCATTGCTTGCGAAGGTAGAAGCAATTCTGACACAAACTTTCTCAATTATGCCAGCCCTTCGGAATTGTTGGTATTGATGCTCTGTCATGTCGGTAGTACTTGGATGAATGAGGACAGAATGATAGGTTTTTCTCTTTTCCTCTTTGAGGGACACACGCACTGTCCTTCATTTTTTTTTTTTTTTTTTTTTTACTGTAACGACATGTACTTGGTGTGTCAAATTTGTCTTGCATCTGATAAACAACCGATGCACTTGATCACGCCAAGACTTGAAGAAAATAAAGATTTTTTTTGTTCAATTTATTACATGTGATTACTGCGAGTTAAGTTAAATTTTGATTCCCATCTTTACTATGGAACCTCTCAAAGCAATTTCTCTTTTTGTTTATGCAAAGAGGAGTATTGCAATCGTTACAAATTCAAGCTGTTCGGTTGTTGGCGCGGCCTTCATTACCTCGAGAGATAAATCTGCAACATGCACAATAGGGCCTCTTCTTATTAGGAGACTCTGCTGGTATGGGAAAATGGAATCCGGGGAGAAACCATCGCCAGTGAATTGGTCCTCGTGGCTGGCAGAAATAGTTACGTCTAATCCTTCATCGACTACAGCGAAATCCGGTTCAAAGAAAGATGGACAATACTCTTCCCAATCATCATAAACAGTTGAGCAATCATCATCATTGACGAGGTCGTGAATGTTCATAGTTTGAGCGGCTGGTAGATATGTGCGTAAGCGGGAAAAGTGAAAAAAAAAAAATACAGAATGCTGCACATATTTGGTTTTACATATTTTTAACATTAACTGAATGAATGAACGTTACTTGAAGGAACATTACAATGTCTACACCGAAATTAACTTTAGCACGGCCAATTATTGGCTGAACCTTATTTTGGGACATGGTGGGCGACATTAGATTGCCCATGTCATTAAGATCATCATGGTGAAATCTGCTCACTCTACGTTTTCTAGTTCCTGAGATCAACCTGTTCAAAATTAGCTTAAGAAAGGGGGGGGGGTGTAGCATAGTATACAAACCGCTTAATTTATACTTAAGTAAAATTTACCTTGACCTTTGTCTGAAGGCTAGGTGAGTGTGGCCTTTGTTGGGAGTGAAAGTGCCCTCGAATAATAGCACATCATTTGTGATCAGGGATGACAGCTTCCTGTAGTCCTGTAGAGATATCCAGATATTTCTGACTGTTTTTCCTTGTACCTTGGTGAATTCATTTTAATTTTTAGCTAACTATAAGAAAAATTAGCTAAACAAAATGATAAAGTCAGCTAAAAATATATGATTCTCGCTGGAAGTAAGCCACCTTTCTTTAACCCACAAATAACATTTAAAAAAAAAAAAAACATCTGTCTCTACTTCACTTTTCAATTCCTTTCACTTTTTTTTTCTTCAAGAATGTCATGAATAAATGTACATACTAATGTATTTAATAGTCTGAATCTTGGAAACATTGAGTACAGACTCTGATATCGATTGAATCTATTTGTAATTGGTTAGCTAATGTTGCTAAATTCATTGGATCTAAAAAAAAAGATAAGGTACGTTTAAAGGTTTTAGCGGTTCGATTTAGATATATAAAAGAAGAGGCATTTTTTTTTTCTTTTGCTATGATGTATCAAACGATTAGTCTTTATGACGTCTCTTCGGAGCCATGGATCCAACTTACCCATTACCTGAGCAAACCAAAAAATGAAAAATGAAAAAAAAAAAAAGAAACCACATTATTTCTTCTTTTGACACGAATTATCAAAATTGATGGCCATGTTATAAAGAAACTAAACAGCGTCAATTGTATTTCTTTTGTTTATTTTATTATTATTATTATTATTATTATTATTTTTTTTTTTTTTTTTTTTTTTTTTTAAAAAGTAGGATTATCCGTTTAATTCAACAAGAGAAAATATAGTCCATTCACCGTCTGCAAAATCAGATAGAGTATAATGATCATAATAAATCTTAATAGTCAGTTATTCCTCCGGCCATGAGTTTTTTTAATCTTTACGTGTTTTTTCTAAAAAAGAAAAAAAAAAAAAAAAAAAATCAGGATTGAAAAAGGGTAATGTAGGTGATTATAAACGAATTGGCTGTCAACGGATAATATGTATTAAAATAAAGGACGAAGTGGAACTTATTCCCATTGTGATATTCCCGAGTTTCTTTTTTTAGTTTTGTTTTTTCGACGCGAATATGAACAAGGTGATAATGAGGTAAATGGATTAAATCGAATAATGACAAAATGGTATAATGAAGCTACCTTGGGTTTCCAAGGAAAAGAAATGTGATTGAAAAGATGAGGAAGGGACAATAAAGAACGGATGCTATCCATATTATTCATCGGAACTCGTATGACCCAAACGAACGTTCAGTGACATGGTCAAGTTCAAGTTTTTGGAATCTAAAATGGCAGTAAAGTGAATTAGTAGAGATTAGTGACGACTTGTTTAGGATTGTCATTCCCGTAAGAGATAGAAAAAAATAAAAATAAAAATAAAAATAAAAAAAATGAAGACTTACTTCTCACTTGACTGATGGTAATAATAGCCTTTGATTTTGCCCGTAATCTTTTGATAACAAATATAGTAAAAGCCCGCAAAACTTGCGCCTTGAACACCTTCAATACGGTGATCCGGTACCAAGAAATGTTCCTTCCATCTCATAAAAACCACATCTCTGTTATTGAAATCGTATTTGAAATCCCGTTCCATGTCCCTTAAATTGACTACGCCCTCGAACGATGAAAACTGCGTCTATTAGTGGGAAATAATAATAATAACAAAAAATGAATATTTGTCTTTGCGCGGTTTAAATAGACCTTAAAACGGTTGTTATCCCGATGCGATGTTTGAGATGTTGTTACTGTTGCTGTAGTTGTTGTGGTTGCTGTGGCTGCTGTTTGCTACTTACCCAGTGCTCCTCATCTGTTTCTTCTGTTGCATCCCACTTCTTTGTCAAGAACGAAAACTCGGGCCCAATAATCTCTGCATCAAAAAAGGTTGTCAGCTTTGGGTAATCAGGCGTCAGGTTCTTGATGAGTAAGTATCCACTCAGTGTAGACTGATTTAGATCAACGTGCTATTGTATACAAAGATGACAAGAAAAGGCAGCGAGAGGTTTTTTAAAAAAAATAATAATAATAATAATAATAAAATAAAAAAAAAAATCTTTTAGCCATCCTTTCCCTGAGTATTATCAAAATGCTTGTAGAGATTTGCCAAACATCGGTTCGTTGCTTCATTTCATACCTTGATATCGACAATGACGCTGTAACTGTGTGAACCTGAGGTTTGCTCGCCTTGAAACCTACTTCCTGGGTATAGATGGCATACCCTGGATGGTATCATCCGAACAAATTCAAAAGGATCTCGTTTACGCTGTCGTCTTTGCTGTAGCTGTAGTTGCTGCAGTTCTTTCCGTCTCTGCTGCAATATTAGCAGCTGTTTCTGTTTCATCAAGATCTGTTGTTTCAATTGCACACAATATGGAGCGTTGGAAACATCGTGAAGAGGACACGTTAAGAGATGTCCATGGAAATGAACTGATGTACCATAATAATGATTATCTTGAGAATCTTGAAAGACATCCCTATTGTCGTGGTTATTGCTATTGCCGTTGTCTTCTGAAGTGGGACAGGTACAGATCACTTCGAGCGCAATGTCAGTTGTGTCTGTAGTGGTGGCGGTGATGGATGCGGTGTCCACAGGATCCGCAGTGGTAACCTGAGCAAAGACGGGCATGGTGGTTGGTGGTTATATTGATAAATTTAATAAAACAGCACTCTTTGGGTCATACGAGCATATAAATGGTCGAGTACGTAAATCAGAGGAGAGGGGGCTGTGCTGTAATGAGGACGTGCGGGTATAAGATGCGATATGCGCTGTTAGAATATATTTGTAATATTGTAATATCGTAATATTGTCATATGAAATGGGCGATGACAATAGAATCAAGAAAAACCAGGGTTGTGTGCAAAGAGAGAGTCAAGAGAAGAGTGTTAACAGAACTGGAGGTGAAAAAAGAAACCCTTTTAGTTGAATGTGGATGAATGAATGAATAAATGAATGAACGAATGTGAATTTGAATGTGAGAGTGAGTTTGATTTTGAAATGGGGTTAATAAAGGTTATTTTATGTTTTGTCAGACAAACAAGCTGTCTAATCAGATGTAAATGCAAATGCAAGTTAGTTGTGGCTGCTGTGGTGCTGTGGTGTGTGTGACAAAATAACATTACACTCTTTATCCTATTCAATTCATTCAATTCTATTCCATTTGAGTGGTCAGTACACCAGCTGACCTCTCTATTCATAACAGACCAACCACAGCCCGCTCTTCCCGACTGCTTCCCACGCCCATTCTGCATTGTGCATTCATATGGAAACATGTAGACTCTTACATAGACATCTGCATCTGGAAGAAATATCCCTCCTACTTTTTGAACTTTGAAGCATCGGAAAACGTTTTTTTTTTTTTTTTTTCCCCTTTTTCCTTTTTCCTCCTTCCTCGATCGAGTCTAAAAAAGTAGATGAACATTTGATGGTTTGAAGGTGATCGCATCCTTGCAGTGATAAACGTTGGTTGGGATGGTATGATATTTCTTCCGGAATCTATTAGACCCTCTTCTTACTCATAGTTGAGCTTAATGCTCTCCTATACATGCTTGAGCAAGACTACATAAAAGTCCCTCCAGACTCGTACGCAATTTCGAGATTTTTCTTTTTCTTTTTCTTTTTTTTTTTTTCTTTTTCGCCAACAGGAATGCTCATATCTTCGAAAAAGGGATAGTAATGTATTACAGTGGTAAAGTGGTGAACAGAACCGAAACCCAAGGGGGTTATAGCTGATCTTCGCCCGACTTCAAAGCAGATTCTTTAAGATTATTGATTTTCCCATACCTGGATATCATCAACGGGGTCCAAGTCTAAACTGTCCAGTAAAGGTAGTCCTAGGAAGAATGTTTTTGAGAGAATGAATGGGAAGCAAGAGATTCAAGCAGTGCTGACAATTGACATAGGAAAGCGGATTAGCAGACTCATTAATACTCTTACAAGTTTCATTTGGAAGATGGCGGATCAAGCCTGGCCGAATTGAAACCGTAGAAGGAAGAGGTTGAATCACCGTGTAGCAATAAGTTTAGAGAGACAAAAAGATAATTTTATTATAGTTACTAAAACAACTCTTTTCCTAGGCTTAACACTGTATACTGTCATATTAAGCACTTTGAGTAATTTTGTTTCTTTTTTTTCACAACACAAAACAATCATACGAAACGAGAGATTTTTTTTCTTTTATTATATATATTTTTTTGAGGGGAATGTCCGGGATCTTTCCAGTTATACATGGCCTTGCTTATTGCTCTTTGGATACTCTTGTCGTTCTGTACTCGGACATGAACATTGAAGACGTTGATGTAGGTGTTTGCATGATTGCTGCTGCCGCCATTGCTGTTTCTGTTATTATTTCTGCTTGAGGTTTAGGGCTACAATCCTTAGTTGCATTCGGATCCTTACTTTCTCTTTTGGATGTTTCCTGCCCACGAGGTCGGGGCTTTGCACTGATCAAAGCTGTAGAGTCCTTTACTGCATCAGTCTGGATAGCGCAGCCAGGTTGTGAAGCAGTGGATTTAACTGATGTCGATGATATCACTATTGATAATAAGGTTGTCGATGTTGTATCGTAAGAATCTATATGGACAACAGTCGTACCATTACGATCCGATTTTGCAGTTGCCTCGCTATCTTTTGCCTGGGACCCAAAGTATGGTTCAGATCCCCATATTGATCCCCATATTGTTTCCAATCTTGTACTGGACCAGGTATAAATGCTCTGTGCATTCTGTTGGGATTACCGTAGCTACACTTGAATGATCGCATCCATGACGAGGACGACGACGCATCACTAGCTGTATTGGCATTTGGCAACGGTGGAGACACTTGATCCAGAAGTAGAAGCTGTCGAGGTTTGGTGGCGTCATCCTTGGCGCCACTGTTGTTGCCACCAATTGTTGTGATTAGCAGCCATTTATAGGGTTTTTACTATCGCTAAGACTTTTACCCCTTTTTATTTAACGAAGATCCCTGGATTATAATAATGACATCTTTCTTTCGTTCTCGTTCTTGTTGCTTATTATGATCCTGGTATATTTCACCAATATTGTTGTTGAATGGATTCGGTTGGGTCTTTTCGACAGTAGCGTGACGAGGGACAAGTCCTGACGTGGTAACGGAATGTGATGCCATAATAGTTGACGATAGGGTGGTCATCATTACTGATGTAGCTGCATTTGTGCTCGAGCTTGCCATGCTATACTGGTTATCTTCTATCCCTTCTTGTCCTTGTGTCTTTTCATTTCGTTGTCTCTTTGGCACTTGTATATATGCTTAGTAGAATTGTCAGAGGGTTTTTGCGTTTTCCGATGGAATGCATTTTTCTTTCTGAATGAACAATTGGCCATTCAGTTGTTTGGAAAAGGAAAAGGTGAGGTGTTCAGTTAGTTGGGAAAGGAAAGAGTAAAGTTTTCAGTTGGTTGGTAAAGTGTTCAGTTGGTTGGAAGAAAAAAAAAAAAAAAAAAAGTAGAAGGAAAAGAAAAAAGTAAAAAACAAGCGCTAAATAGGCTGGTTAGGTCACGTGAAATCAAAGTTCACGCGACGCGCCTATCTTGCCTCAACAACATCATCGGCCTTGTTCAGGCGTTTTTTCCTACAATCACTGAATGGATGCTTCCATTTTGACAATTCCATCGCAACGTGCATCTTCAGTCAATGAACATTTTTGAATTACTCGAATTAGTCGAAGCCATGAGCATTTTTCTTGGCAAAAGAAAAGAGAAATAAGAATCTCGAAATTGCGTACGGGTCTGCAAGGATTTTCATGTTGTCTTGCTCAAGCATGTATAGGAGAGCATTGAGCTAAGTAGGTAAGAAGAGGATCTAATAGGTCCTGGAGGAAGTACCATACTGTCCCGACCAAAGTTTATCATTGCAAGGATGCGATCATCTTCAAACCATACAAACCACCGCACCATCAAGTGTATTCATCGACTTTTTTGACTCAGTTTACTCACTCAGTCAAGGCCTACAGTTCGGTCATACCAGTTAAATATTTCTATAAAGATGGAGGCTCGTATTTTCCCTTGGGTTAGAGTTTTTGGGAGTATCCTAGATCAGCACCTTGCGCGCCACAAACACGGCAGTCCAGGGCAATGAAGTTGGTCTGTTCTTCCTGGTTTGTACGAGAGGCAAGGCCTTGGCTTCGAGTGACATAAGTATCTCCATCATATTCTGAATGTGATCAGTAGCTTTCGCAGATTCGAGTCAGTTATTACAAAGGTGCAGAGAAAAAAATGTTACCCAATTCGTATTCAACAGTGCATTGTTGGAGAATACTAGTTTGAGCACAAGGTTGTAGAGACGAGATAGCAGGCCTAATAGCTAGAGGGGCAGCAAGGGAGGCAAAGATGACATTGGCTGCAGAATGGGGTCGTTACAATATCGATGGTGTTTCCATGTCTGAAGGGTTCAGTTCTGAAAGGTGTTGATTAAGCAACGCATTTCCTTTTTCACAAGATCAAAATGGTCTGTACTCAAAACGACAGGAGTTCAAGTGACCAGTTTGACTTGATGACTGGGATCAGAGGCAAGTCCTGGCCGCAGGCTGAACGATGGCTTTGAAGGACGTTTTGTGGTAATTATTCTTCATACACATACTTTACACCTTTTTTATTTTTTATTTTTATTTTTTATTTTTTGGCATATTCCTCAAAAGTAAAAGTATTCAAAAACTTACGCCGGGATCCTTAAGCTGAGCTGAGCACAGCAAAGAGCGAATTTGCGTTGTCAGGTAATATGAATACAGTCGTAGCCGGTGACTCCCGTTCCGCGGTGTAAGCTTTTTTTTTGTCTATGTTAATAACCTAGACGATCTTTTATTCCTCTTTCTATAGTAGAGTAGTCTGTGCTACAGTTCTAATAAGTTGATGCAAAGCGGAGTAAACCCAAGCAACCCTAAAAATAAAAAATAAAAAACTTAATATAGTTGAAAACGTTGCCTTGTTAACTCATTGCCTTGAATACTCGTACAAGCCTTGGAAGTCTTCTATTTTCAACCCAACAAGTTTTTTTTTTATTTCTTATTTATTAATAAGTGGTTCTCTAATACGATTGTGCAAATTATTAGAAATAGGTTCGTATTGGTCGCTCTTGGCCACCAACACCCACTCTTTTCGGTCTCTCTTTGTCCAATATAGGCAGATTTTAGTGAAGTGACATCCCGCAGTAGATATTCTCCTTCGCAATGCTCTGCTATAGCTGGAGGACACACTTCTTGAAGCCATCGATACTAATATCTTTCTTGATATTTGGATTAAAAACCAACGCCGCCATGGCTGCTTGGTTGTTACAAGCAAGCTTTATTTAAACCAAACTATTTTCTTTAATCACTCCCAGAGCTCTTTCAACCATCAAATCAGTCAAGTATCCCAAAAACGATCCAAAGTTGGTCAAACAGTCCAGAGTGTGGCTAACAGCATCAGTATCCCTTCTTTGACGCTTAAGGCTGTCTTACTTATTTGGCTAAAACTGCGTTTGTCTTGAGGGCTTCTGAGATTGCCAGAGCTGCTTTATCCCTAAATGCGTTGCCATCCAAGTTCAAAGTCGTCAGAGTTGTATTGACCTTGAGTGCCTCTGACAGTGCCAAGGTTCCTTTCTTTCCAATTGAGTTGTCACTCAAGTCCAAAGTCATCAAATTACTGGTGACCTTGAGCGCCTCTGACAGTGCCAGAGCTCCTTCATCCTCAATTGAGTTGTAACTCAAGTCCAAAGACATCAAACTACTGGTGACCTTGAGCGCCTCTGACAGTGCCAGAGCTCCTTCATCCTCAATTGAGTTGTCACTCAAGTCCAAAGTTATCAAACTAGTGTTAACCTTGAGCGCTTCTGACAATGCCAGAGCTCCTTCATCCTCAATTGAGTTGTAACTCAAGTTCAAAGTCATCAAACTACTGTTGACCTTGAGCGCCTCTGACAGTGCCAGAGCTCCTTTATCCCCAATTGAGTTGCTACCCAGCGTCAAAGAGGTCAAGCTACTGTTAACCTTAAGTGCCTCCGACAGTGACAGAGCTCCTTTATCCCCAATTGAGTTGTCACTCAAGTCCAAAATCGCTAGAGTTATATTGGTCTTGAGCGCCTCTGACAGTGTCAGGACTTCTTTATCAAAAATTGAGTTGTTGGTCAAGTCCAAAGTCGTTAATGCCGTGTTAGTCTTGAGTGAATTTACAAGCCCTTGTAATTCGCTGGCTCCAATCGATCGAGCCTTCACCCCAAAGGTTAGCTTATGAAGGTGCGCCAGTTTTGCAGGCCCTAAACCGAGAAGTTTCATGAGATCCTGAGATAGAGTAATATGGATTGTTTTCATGTTACTGAGCTCTATGATGCGAATAAGCCTCTCATATCGCGCGGGTATTGAAGAATCTTTTGTACCGGCATTCCTTTGAGTTCGTGCAAGCCCAAGTCGAAGATTCGATACACTCGACACCGCTAAAGCATTCTCAAATGCTTCAAGATCAATCTCAGTCCAATCCCAGCCAAATGTGATATCCAACTCGTAAACTCGTCTTGACCTGCTTAGTGCATCGAAAAGACCTTTAGCTCTCTTTCTGGACCTGAGTGTGATAGTTACTTTACCAAGGTGCCCGTTATATTTGCCACTATTCACTTCCACTGCACTTACAAATGCCTTCTGTTCTTTTTCTTCATACATCGAGCAACAGTGATCGAGACAAACCCATTTGGCACGCCCTGTTTCGCTCATGATCCTGTACAAGTTCCCAAATTGCCTGTCTTCATCATTGGTTCGAAGGGATGTCCACACATTTTGGAAATCTGATCCTTTCAGTCCATCATAGTCATCGATTGTAGCAATGTTGCTCAAGCCTGGATCCTCCTTAGAGAGTGCTTCCATATAGTCGATTGAACAATCGATACCAGCATCCGTCAAATCTGGGGATGGTGCCAGAGTTGCAGACGAAGACATTCTCAGCTTGAGCCACTGTAAGAGGATGAACATGTGCTTTCCGTACTTGCGGAAGAATTCTGTGCTGCTTCGGATCTCATATCCATCATGTTTGGTGATATGGAGTGGCTTCTGACTATTCTTGCTTGTCATTGCAGTGTGATCTCCACATTCACATAGGAAATGAACACGAATTTTGTTCTTCAAGACATTCGTTGGATCCCACTTGGTGTGATCGACAGGTAGAATGATAAACAGTCGAGGAATTACGTATTCGTGGAGCTCAACGTTCTGCTTAAGGATAGCATGGACATGCTTTTGAAGGGTAGCAAGCTTGTCAGGGCCTTGATGTTGTATTATGTCATCCTTCTCCTTAGCTTCCAATTGTAGTTTAAACATCTTCTCTTGTAGTTTAAACATCTCGCTGTCCTTCTCTTTGGTTTCCAATACCAGATTAAGCATCTTGTCTTTCAGTTTATGCAGCTCGCTGTCCTTTTCTTTGGTTTCCAACAGCAGATTAGCCACCTTGTCATCCTTCTCTTTGGCCTCCAAGAGCACATCTGCAACCTTCTCAAGGTTAGAGCTGATCACCTCGATATATGCATTGTTGCGTGTAGTAAGGAGCGAATTGAAAGATTGAATCAAGTTTGATAATGGTAAAAGAGTATCCTGAGAGGCCTGCTTTGACGACTTTCTCAATGTAGGCAAGTGGATGACGGTGTTGTGATTGCTGTTGTTATTGCAGCTACAGTTGGTATTGTCAGTGCTATTTGTGCTAGTGTTGGCGTCAATGCTGGTGTTGCTGGTGTTGGCGTTGCTAGCTTCGGTGCTGCTGCTGCTACTGTCGCTGCTGCTTAGCTGCGGCGCTTCTGTAATGACATCCAGGATCTTGTAAGGATAGAATCCAATGCATGGTGGCTCGACTCTAACAAGAAGACAGATATATGCCAGATTGAGCTTCATTTATTTTCCAAAGATGATCGATAAAGCGCACCATAATCAGTAACATACCTGTTCCCATTAGGGTCTATGAGGAATGGAATAGGAAGTTCCTCCAGCTTGAATCGCTGTGCATCTGGAAACACATCCCGAATGTCTTGCAGACTCACATGGCAGGCTGAGTTGCCATTGCTTGCGAAGGTACTTTCTCAATTATGCCAGCCCTTCGGAATTGTTGGTATTGGTGCTCTGTCATGTCGGTAGCACTTGGATGAATGAGGACAGAATGAAAGGTTTTCTCATTTCTCTTTTGAGTAACGCATTAATCCTATTTCTTAAAATCTTGGCCACTTGCGCGCGTGACAAGTGAGAAAATTCAGTGTATTTCTTCCAAAGCTCCTTTTGCAGATGCCTTTCACTTGACTCCTGCAACCCACTTGGCTTGAATAGATTGCTGCGTTGTATCTATTTAACAATTGATCTTGTTTGCCCCACTGGTCACATTCCCATTCAAGGCTTTGTACCGTCTATTTGCGACAAATGACAGAAGGTGAGGTGACCATGACGCCTTCCCTGACGATGAGTGGATATATGAAATGCACACCATGAGCTATTGAAATGAACAGCATAGTCGTGTTCAGCACATTACACTTGAGAGATCAGTCAATGATGTATCTTTGCCGTCTTCTCTCTTAGCTTCCCAGAGCACAGATTCCAAGCTAACAGGCTGAGAAGTGGATCTGGATGCATTTGTCTTCTTGATCACGTTCATATCTTTGTTCCAAGAGTAGTAGAGTTAGCAACCCCAAAAATAAATATGAGTCTCGGCCTTGAAGGAGCATTTGACCTCTTTTATGGGAGCTGTGGACCTTAGTTGAATGAGTAAATTAGATGACCACATATGACGGTGCCATGGCCTGTATGGTTTTGAAGGCGATCGCATCCTGAGGACGACAGACATTCATCAAGATGGCATGGTACTTCTTCTGGAAGCGTCTGTCAATTGGAACTTCCTGCCAAATTTGAAGCCAATGCTCTCCTATAGGTGTTTGAGATAGGCTTAGTATTTAGTCATGGACTGTATTGATATGAAATATAGACGTTCGAGAAAGACAATATGAATATCCTTACAAACGCTTGAGAAAGACAATATGAAAATCCTTACAGACGGGTAGGCAACTTTCGAGTTTTTTTTTTTTTTTTTTTCGCCAACAAGAATGCTCATGTCTTCGAGCAATTGAGCTAATTCAGAAATGTTCAATGGCTGAAGATGCATGTTGCGATGGAATTGCCGAAATGGAGGCGTTCATTCAGTGACTTTAAGAAAAGAACGTCTGAACAAGGCTGAAGATGTTATTGATGAGTGCGTATGTTTCAATTTGGTGGCGCACTTGCCCAAGACGAGACTCAGGCTCAAGAACAAGGACAATAAGAGTTGCGTCCTCCTTATCATGAAAGACATCACCATATAATCATGTCCAACATGAATACCACAGTGTTGACAAGTAGCTGCGAATAGCATAAATATGATGATGTGATAAGAAAGAAGTGCCAGACTCTTCGCCTGCCTGCTGCTGAGAGCAGACAGCCCAAGGCGCACCACGAGGAGGTGGTCTGGTTGCGCGCCCCCCACCTGGTTTCCGCAGACTCAGAGGAGATCTACCTGGGCCCCAACAGAGAAGACTCTCTGAGCTTCATCCCCACTCCCCACATATCATGAGCTACTGGCTAAAGTTGCGCCAATCAATTTGTGGAAACATGTTGAACAGTTTTACCTGCTGCTTTGCGGTGAGGAGCCAAGGAAGAGAGGAAAGAGAGATCCTTTTATACGTTTTCAGAGGCATAATGGCTTGCATTCTTTTCTTTTGTCACAGCCTTCGACAGCATCGAGTCATTGTGGGACCTTTTTCTCATATGAAAAGATCTTTGCGATACCTAATAAGCTTTTATATTTGTCTGCTTCATCTTCTGCTTTCCTTTCTGTCTTGACAATCTTGGACAATCTTCTTCTTCTTTCTTTCCTACCGTGGTCTGTGCACTCTTTCCATCCTATCCTAATGTCCTGATAGAGTTTGTTTGTTTGTTTGTTTGTTTGTTTGTTTGTTTTTGGTAAGGCTGCAAAGAACTCAAAGTGGAGCCGCAACCTTAAAAAATAGACCCTGAGAAAGACATTCCCTAACAGCCGTGCTCTTTTGATTGTCAGGATTTTCATGTAAAGTGCATCTAAACAGGATCCACTGCTATGGTTGCAGATGCTTTGTTACACATCCCACCCTATCAAGGCAGATCGGCCGCACTGTCGAAAGCAACTGATGCATGTTCCATCATGCTAATATTGGTGGCTAGTCACTAAACACCAGGTACGCGTGAGGAAATTCAATGGTGACTTTGGTTCTCAAACGAAGTGTTCTAGAGCCCAGTAAAAACTAGGTGAGATGCAAAATCACTGTGTGGTCTCTTCAGTCATTCGCTCATTTTTAGGTACGCAGGCTGGGGTCTGGTACTTTTTGTTTTAATGTACTTTGTTATTTATTTTTTTTCCTTTTTTTAAAGGCACTAATTTACAAACACTCCTTTGGAAATATATTGCTCTTATAATTTGCAATTCCCAACTTGTTTTGAAGTACTAGAAGCTTTACATAACGAGGTAGCTCTGACTCGACCAAGTAGGTATTGAAAGCCTGGGAACATATTCGATGACGGTGTCAGGTTGTGTGTGAAGCGAACAGAGTCATTAATATCAAAAGACGTGCTCCATGAGAAGAGCCAAAGACGTGGTCAACAGTTGGGGTTGGAGGAATAATGACGCCGTCACCTCTTCCTATGCGCTACTTTTTATATCTTCTCCTGTGCTTCTTATCATGCTTCAGGTACTGATGATTCTCCATCTCTTTTTCAATTGGTACTTTTGTAGGCAATGTTGGTTTTAATAACAAGTTAAGTAATGCCATTGTGCTTTTTGCAGAGGCCACTGATGCCTCATCTTTGCTCTTGGCAACTGGTTCCCCCATGTATTTGTTGCCGATTTGCCTGTTGTTCACTGTGTAATGCCAAGGTCTAGAGCAATACCATCGTATGGTGATAACGGCGGTGGTAATAATGATGGAGATGGTAACTGCAGTCCTGTTGAAAATCAATGTATTTGCAACCTAAGCTGATCCTGCTCCGCGGCTGCTTCCTGTAGGCTGAACTTTTTGGCCGCTTCCTGAAGAGTGGACTCGGCGGAGGCTCAGTGACAGCGGCAATAGCAGGGCTATGGTCTATCCTTGCGCCTTGGACCGAGATCAAGCTGCTCATAATCCTTCGTGACATAGTGGTTGTGGGCATGATTGCAACTATGGTTTTTGGTTTTAATAAATAACTTATCAGTCGTTATACTATGGCAGGTCATTTTTATAGGGCCTATAAATACGGACAATCCTTGTCCATACTATTAGCAGCGAATTTGATTTTCCACCTCGCGTATAGCTGCTTCCAGAATGTTGAGGTAACAAGTTATCCTTTCTATTTCAGAAAGTAGTGGCTAGTAAGCATGAACAGCCAAAGTAGAATGACTATTTGAAACGTTAGTTCAATAATATCAACCTTAATGCTCTTCCTCTCTCGTACTGCAGAAACCTTGGGCTTGTGCCTTATTATATTTCAATGCATATACATCACTTATCTCTGTCGCGTATTTGTGTTGTTGCGGTTTTCTCTTGATATTGCCACAGAAGATTGCGTCTGTTGATTTGCCTTGTGGGATTTAGGGCTCTTTCATCTTGTGCTTTTCTCGCTGAAGATATGGGAATAGAGCAACTAATAAAACAATTGGGTAATACGTCATTCGAGCTAAATTTTGCCCATCTTCCCCTTATTTCTTTAATGAATTCCTGATGCGATCCCATGTGGTTTTTCCAGAAGCATCACCAACCTGTAATCCTTCTCAAGGGCATCTTTTTTCTTTTTTTTTTTTTTTTTTTTTTTTTTTTTTTTCTTAAAGACTTGAAGCCTTTTTATAATCGGTCTCCTATCGCTTTACCGTTTTCTTTCTCATAGGCATCTTCACTTGCTTAATCTTTTCGTGTTAAGTTGGAAAAAAAAGAAAGAAAAAAAAAAATGAAGCGCATCTCTGAAGATCAACATGACCATCCTTCGAAGCGACCTCAATCGCTTACTTCTATGCATAACAACCATCTTCCTGTGAGCCCCAATCTCAGTGCTGGTAGTCCCAGCCCTCCACGGAAGAAGGAGGTATAAGTTGAGAAATAATAGCCTTCAGGATAGCAGATGAGAGAGGTTATAAAGAAAAAGAATAATAAAAAAAGAGAAATTCTTAATGAGAATATCAACCTTTGAAGACTAACAGGGTATATCATATCCCTTCCCTCCTCCTTTTACTCCGTTCTCTCTTTTGCCTCCCTGTAACTTTTCAATCTATCAACCTCTTTGATACCTTGGCAGCTCAGAGTATGGAAAGGATGCTCACAGCTAAAAGAATTCGAGATGGTTGACAAGCTAGGCGAAGGCACTTTTGGGCAAGTCTCTTTTTTAGAATTAGTTTCGAATAGCATTGTCATTTACGAAAACGATTCCTTTTTCATTCTGATAATCTTTTCTTTTCTTTTTTTTCCTATTGCCAAATGGGATACCAACAGTGAGGTTCACAAGGCACGCAGGAAAGGGTCTGGAGAATTGTTGGCATTGAAGCGTATTCTGATGCATAACGAGAACGAAGGTATCCCAATTACAGCTCTAAGAGAGATCAAAATCTTGAAACGATTGAGGCATGAGAACATTGTCCCACTTCATGATATTGCTGTCAATCCTGGTAAGGCAATGCTTATAAAATAAAAATAAAAAAAATGATAGTGAACATTTATATCTCAGTAGCTGACCAGATTACCTTAATTACAATTTTAACTTATAATAATAATAATAATAATAATAATGAAAATAGGATCAAGAAGTGGTAGAAGTCGTGCAAGTGTATATATGGTCTTCCCGTACATGGACCATGATTTGAGTGGACTCTTGAACAATCCTAGAGTCAGACTTTCTGTCCCTCAGATTAAACTCTACATGAAGCAGTTACTCGAGGGTACCATCTATATGCATGCAGTATGTGATTTTTTTTTTTTTTTTTTTTTTTTTTTTTTCCAATAGTTATCTGTGATGGAACTTTGCCAAAAACATATTTCAGTATTTCTCTAATGCTTATTTATTTATTTACTAGCAAAAAATTTTGCACCGGGATATGAAAGCAGCCAATCTCTTGATTAGTAACAATGGGACATTGAAGATTGCAGATTTCGGATTGGCGAGACCTTTCAAGCCAGAGGGCGAAGATTATACGTCCAAAGTTGTCACACGCTGGTATCGCCCACCAGAATTATTCTTGGGCCAGAAAAAGTATGGCCCTGCAGTGGACATGTGGGGCATTGGCTGTGTGTTTGGTGAAATGTTATTTGGCAGACCTGTCTTACAGGGAAGTTCAGATCAGGATCAATTGGACAAAATCTTTCAGCTATGTGGTTCACCTACAGAGGAGACTATGCCTGGATGGTCATCCTTGCCTGGATTGGAGGAAAAAGGGGTTGTTTATCAAGTCAATAGGAACTATCCTCGCAAGTTGAAGGAAGATTTCGAGCCATATGGAACATTAGCAGCGGACCTAATGGATAAATTGTTGGTTTTGGATCCAAAGAAGAGATTGACTGCATTTGCTGCAGCGGATCATGACTACCTATGGGTCGAACCATTACCAGCAGAGATTGGAGCGTATGTATCAGAAGAAGAAAAGAAAACTCTTTGTTGTATCTTTTTTTTTTATTTTTTTTTAAATCATCTAACTATATTTAAAAAAAAATCCAGACTACCTGTGTATGAATCGAGCCACGAATATGATCGCCAGCGTAAGCATGAGCAACAGCAGGAACGCCACGCCTCTCATCATCACAATAATCACACTAATCACCATCATGCTTCTCAGAATGTACACGGACATCATATGCCTCCTCGACATGGAGGACCACCTGGCGGATCAGCAGCACCATATCGTCCTAGTGGAGGGTATGGCCCAGATCATGAGAGAAGAGATAGGCCAAGGGCTCCACCAACAAATACACAACCACCCACAACATATAAGCCTATACCTTTGCCACCTCGACCTCAAACTTCTGCAGTACCTCCGGCTGCGCCTAGCACATCGTCCACTAACACCACTCGTCGACCTTGAATAGGATAGTTTTTTTTTTTTTTTTTTTTTTTTCCTTTTTCCTTTTTCCTTTTTCCTTTTTTTGTCTCCAATTTGATCCGCTTATTAGCAAAGTATGATTTCTGCTAGGCACAGAGTCAAGTGCTCTGGATAGTATTGCTTGATGGATATGTGCTCGATTCGTTCCCTATATTTCACTACTATTACCATTTATTATTATGCCAACGTCCCGTTTCTGCCCAGAAAGCAAAGCAGTATTTGAACACTTTTTTTTTTTTTTTTTTTTTTTTTTTGTTTTTTTTTTTATTTTTTTTTACTAAAACTATAATGGACACAATTTCCAAAACAGCAAAGAGACGCGGATTAAAATAAATAAATAAATAAATAAAATAAAAATAAAAATAAAATTTGAAAAGTGTAGATGCTTTATTTATTTCAAATACATACAAATGTTGAGAGAGTACTTTTTTTTTTTTTTTTTTTTTTTTTTTTTTTTTTTTCCTAGTCTTTTCGCAATAAAGTCCTCGAGTGAGGATAAGGCGACAAGGCTCTCGCTTTGGTGCCACCTGTCTTTGTCTTGGTCATGATGGCATTCGTATTCGTATTCGTATTCGTATTGCCCAGAGTGAACCTAGGTTCTCTTGTAAGAGGAAGTGACAAATAAACCGTTGTATCTGGCATCAAATGTCCGCGATCCATAATTCGGTTCCTGTTACTCAATCGACAATATTCCAATTCAGTTTTTGGAGGTGATAATAAAGACTTTGGATCATAGTTTCCCTTCTGGTTGTTGAGGTTTGCACCATGATTTTTATCGTCATCACTATCGTCATCTTCTTCATGGAATCCATTTTTGAAGAAGGACAAGAAGGGAGGTCGAGCCTTGTCTACTTCATCTTCTTCACCTTCTTTATCTCCATGGGGATCAAATAAATCAAACCATTCGTCAGACTTGCTACGATCATTCTCTAACGATTCGAAGCCTGTGAACTCGGTGGAGAAGTGATCTTCTTCATGACAATGACGACGTGGTGAGTATTTGAGCTGTGATGATGGTGTGGACGATGGTGATGATGACGGTGAAGACGATGGTGATAATGACGATGACAATGACAGTGAGAATGAGGACGAGGACGGGGATGATAGAGATGAAGATAATGAAGAAGATGACGGTGATTGAAAAGGCTTCATAGGGGCGCTATGGCTTGGAACATTCTTGAGGGCGATATCATTCAACTCTCTATTCTGAGACTTAATATGGTTGTCAATGTTATTGTTGTTTCTGCCAACTTTGCGAGTTGTTGTTGCTGTAGAGTTGTTCTTGTTGCGTGCAAAGGCTCGACGGGTCACATCAGGTTCTGGACGTCGATAGAACGGATTGGCATGGTCATCAAACCAATTCTCATAACCGAGGGACCCTAGGATGTCAAGTTTCTCTTCATAGATCTTGTGTAAACGACAGGAGGGAGGTGGAGGGGTATAAGGGCGACCACTATTACTATCGGTACTGCCACTACTACCACTAGTTGATGAAGATGAGTTGAGGCTGTTGACAAGACAGGCATTACTAGTATTGATGGTCAACGAACAGGCAGCGCGGTGCATTATTCAATGTGGGGAAGAGGGAGGAAAGGGTAAAATGGGGGAAAAAAAAATAAAAAAAGAAAGAGTCCTTGGAGTGAAAAGAATAAAAAGAGATGAGCGTGTTGGATTATTCAAGAAAATATGGATTTCCTCCCAAGGTTTACCATTGCATTTATATATCTTGAAGGGTTAGTAATGAAAAAAACAATCCAGCAGTTATAATTTCCAAGTCGATAATTCCTTCTTTCCGGTCCAAAGAGCCGAAAGTCTGGCCATGTGTGTGTGTGTGGAGGGGGGATTTAGAGCCAATGAATGGATTAGAAAAAGAAAGGAAAGAGTCTTTTTCTTTTTCACTTCCGATCTTGAAAAGCATTAGCCGAAGAGAAAGAAAGTAAATTTAAACGAGACATATTAATGTAAGGTTTACATGTAACTTGTCAAGCACAGCTCAAAAGATTCTTATTGCTTGGATGACTTGTGATTGTTAACTCTATATGAAAAAAGACTTTTTCTTGTCCTCGTGAGTGAAAGCAAAAGCAAAAAAAAAAAAGAAAAGAAAAGAAAAGAGCCACTTTTTCATTCTTTTTCTCCACAATCATCTGCTCATCCGAGATTGTGTATTAAAAATAAATAAAAAAGAATAAAATGGTTTTTGTATTTGAGAGCATTTTTTACTCTTTTTGCATTGTCCGATCCTATCCTATCCTATCCTTTTCCACCCTTTCCTAATTGCACGCGTTTAAAATGTTTCAGTCCCAAATAAAGTCATTGGTCAATTAAAAAAAAATACGCCAAGTCAAACATTAAAACTCAAAACGCAATGCACATGCCCCCCTGACAAAGGCGAAAACTATGAGAGCTTCCGAAAGTGTCGCTCCAGAGCAGAAGAGACATTCATTCTTCTCTCTCTCCTGTCTTTTTTTTTTTTTTTTTATGGATATGAATGCCACTAACCATATATACTACCCAAACATCAGATTGGCTGTTTAACCAGCAGAGTAAAGGGTATACAAGTTATTATGATAAAAAATGCTTCATAGACTTTATATTAAATTCGACAATCTTGTAGGGACTTTGCCCTATTGAGATCCATACTTTTACTATGGAGGAAGAGGTGGAGATGGAGGGAGCAAGGGTTGGAGGGGGAGAGGAGGTTTCCTTATGATCTTCTCTTTCTTTCTTTTTCGATTCAATTCGAACGAGTCGATTCGATTTACTCCTGAATCTCGCCACTGTCAGTAATCTCAACAGTGCCAGAAGGAGTACCACTAGGTGTACCAACAGCCTCAATCAACTTCAAGAGTTCCTCTCCCTGTTCAACCTTGCCAAAGACAGTGTGCTTTCCATCCAACCAAGGAGTATCCGTGAAGCAAATAAAGAACTGAGATCCATTGGTGTTTGGTCCTGCATTGGCCATTGACAAAACGGGGCCTTTATGAGCAAGCTTGAAGTTCTCACTATGAATCATAACATAGTACACATGTATGTATAAAATAAAAAGGTTAATAAACTGGGATGAAACATCATCAGGTCAGCAGCCCTTCTTCATTGCTCACAACTTTCCCCTTTTCCTTTTCCTTTTTTTCTTTTTCAACAATGCGCCATTGGCCTATAGGGCGTTTTTTTTTCTTTTTTTTTGATCACACAAACAAGAAAGACTCGCTTCCTTGCATCGACATAAAACTGACTGCATATTCCGATGTAGATATAAATATAGATATAAATACAAAGATATAAATTCGGGTGTCACCTACTCGGCAAATCTTGCGCCATAAATGGATTCGCCTCCACGTCCATCACCACGGGTGAAGTCTAGGAAATAGAAGAGAAAGCAAAAAAAGACATGTGGTCAGATAAAAAAAGTAATGACACGTGGCAAAATATATACAAAATACAGATAAAAAAAAAAATAAACAACGCGACTGTAAAAAACTTACCACCACCTAGAGATTTTTTTATATATATCCATTTGTAACAAAAAAAAAAAAAAAAAAAAAAAAGACAATGAAGGGAAGAAAATGGATAGAATGTAAGACGTTAGGAAGGAATAAGAAGAAGCCAAGCCATCCATTTGTATCCAGATCTAAAAGTTGAGTTTCATCACATAACATCCAGTGATTCAAATAACGCTGAATTTGAACTCCATTGTATCCTAATTCTTTTGCGAGTGGTGATGCTGATAAATTAATTTCCTTCTTCTCTTTATAGATAGATAGATATTTTACCCTGAGCCATAAAACCGGGGATGATACGGTGGCTATTTAAAAGAAGAAAAAAGAAAGAAAAAGCAATACGTCAATCTTTAGCTTCAATTTCTTTTTTTATGTTATAGTCATGATCATAATCCAAGATCATAAATAAAGTAATGATCAAGCACAACACTTGTAACATCATTTCGTATATGACTATCTTTTTTTTTTTTTTTTTTTTTTTTTTTTCGATTTCACTTACAACTTGCTACCCTTGTAAGTGAGAGGCATGCCAGAGAGAGGAGACTTGCCCTTCTCACCGGTGCACAAAGCTCTAAAGTTCTCAGCGGTCTTGGGAACAGTCTCATTGAACAGCTTGAAGGTCATACGACCAGCTAGCAATGATAAAAATCGACAAGAGAGTTGAATAGTCATGTTTAGAAAAATAACAAATAAAAAATAAAAAAAAAGGTAAGCGGTTCCCTTCGCTTTTCTTCTTCCTGAATAAAGTATTGTCGCGATCCTCAAGTATCCTAAAATCAATAATTGATCCGATCCATTACCAGGCTTCTGGTTGATGGCAATGTCAAAGAAAACCTTTACGGGCTTGGTCATGATGGATATAAGCGTTTTTTAGGGGGTGAAAGTTTATGAGTTGAGGATGCTGAAGAGACAAAAGATCGGAGGTAAAAGTAAAAAGGTATGCGCTGCCCGACACCCGAAATGCAATAAAAGTGACGGCTAAAATACGTCACTCACTCGCTTCTTTTTCTAATTGGCACAGCCCCTCTCGCTCTATTTTCATGAGTTGTTTGTTGCCGTGTCATCCTTCCCATCAGGAAAAAAAAATAAGCTCAATAGTCCAAGTTCAGCCTTCTTTGCCTTGTCCTGATTCTTCATTGTTCAGGAAAAAGCTTTTGACGATATAGACCGAATACATTGATCATCATGCCCTCCTCAAACACGCCTGTTGATCCTAATCAGACGATCTATATCCGCAACTTGAACGATAAGATCAAGAAGAATGGTAAAAAAGAAAAAAAAAAAAAAAAAAAAAAAACAATAAAACAATAACGGCTAGGAAGACATTATACACAAGCATTCTCTTTTTCCACAGAGTAACAACCTTTATGAGTTTGAAAGAAAAGAGCTAAAACCTTTATTGTTCTATTTTTTTTTTTTTTTTAAAAAAAAAATCCAGAACTGAGGCGTTGTTTATACTGCCTATTCTCCGCATATGGCAAGATTATTTCAATTGTTACATTGAAAACAATGCGAGAACGTGGTCAGGCTTTCATTGCTTTTGCAGATATCGTCTCCGCAACAACTGCAATGCGTGGACTCCAAGGATTCAACATTTTTGGCAAATCAATGGTAAGAGTCAGGAAAAGAGATTGGATCGCAAGGAAAAAGAAAAAGAAAAAGAAAAAAAAAGCTGCGTTTTTTATTATTTTACAACAGGATCAAGCTCAACGATCTCCAATCTTTCTTTACTTAATATAGGAAATCCAATACGCAAAGACAAAATCAAATGCTATCGCTAAATTGGATGGTACATACAAGCAACCTCCAGTGAAGAAGACGGGTGCAGGATCCACAGATCAACCAACAGCTGGAATGTCTGGATCTTCATCAAATCCTATGAAACGCGAACGAGATACCGGCTCGGATTCTGATTCATCAATGTCAGAATAATAAGGATAGGAAGAAAAGCAGGAAGAAAAGCAGGAAGAGAAAAGTAGTCAGAGTAGTAATGAAGAATGGTTTAGGAGAATGACATTACCTGAGGAAAGAAAGAAAGAAAGAAAAAGAAAAAGAAAAAAATAGTAAAAACTGGACGAAGGATATCCATCGGCCATCCTGTACAATAATAATATAACCAACATCATACTGATTAAGCATCAAGCGTGTTGTTATTATATGAAAAGTTTTTTTTTTTTTTTTTTTTTTTTTTTTTTAATATGGAGCAATTGAAATTGAAATCATCGCATAACGCAAGAAAGAAAACAAACAAAAATGAAACAAAGAAAGAAATAAAAAGGCTTGTAATATACATATCATCCTTTGAGCGACCAACTCGTAAATCCTCAATTGTGATTGAATTGGGCTGGTGCGAAGCCTGGGGTTGGTCTAAACAAGATAAGGAAAAAAGAATCATATTTAACATTAAAATGATGACTATGGCTATTTTAGCGTGATAGGAGGAAAAAAAAAAAAAAAAAAAAAAAAACTCTTACTTGATTCTGGAACTCCCAAAGTCCAGATCTAGATCTAAATCCAGATCTTCAGTATGGTCAGGCACAGATCGCCAATTTTGCCATTGTTGCGGGTTTGTCCTTTGCTGCTGCTGCTGTTGCGACGATGATGACGAGAAAAGCGATGGCGATCCATCGGTTCCTGTGTCTGCTTTATTAATATTTGTATGGTTCATCCATTGGCTCTCCATCGTAGTAGATCCATACTTTGCGAATCCACCCATGTCTTTAACATGAGGCGTTGATTCTCCTCCTTCTCCTTCTTCTCCTTCTCCCCCTTTGCTTTCTGCTTCATACGCAGCCAATGCTTTACGGGTCATCTCATCTGCGATGGTCTGAGAAATAGGTAAGGTCTCATAGGTAGGGTAAGAAGAAAACCCAAAGAGCGCGTTTGAATCCATCGTGGTCGTTAAATCGTGCCCACCAGCTGTACCCCAACCAATCTCAAAATCCTTGGAAGTGAAATTCAATCCCGATGCTACTTCCGAAAGTATCTGTTGCTGTTTCCTCCATGAGGGTCGCAAATCAAGGTCTTCATCTGTACGTAGCCACTGTGGGATGTCTTCCTCTTCTTCCGCTTTTGCTCTTTCTCTTGTTCTTGCTTCCGCGTCTTGATAGTTCATACCAGTGTCGCCCATTTTTTCATTCTCTCCCTTCAACAATATTGAGCTTGAACCAAAAGAAGACGTGGCGTTATTCGACTGCTGTGTGTTATTATTAGAAGCGGTCGTTGATGCTCCTGTCGTTTCTGTTCCCGTAGTAGCAGTGCCACTAGTGGCTCCTGATGCTGAAGTGGTATTGGGTGGTGGAACTGAAAAGGGGAAAGGAAATGGTGTCTGGGCAGATTTGAAGACGTGATTGGGATCCAAAGCCATAGCATCCAACATATCAGCAGTGACTCCAGGCTGGAAAGGGTTCACTTCACTTGGAGAAGGTAACCTTGCCCAGGGTCCATTGTCTGGTGTTGTTCCTGTGAAGGCCGTAGTATGGCCGTCATTGCTGTTATTCGCAGTCGTTGGTTCAACAGAGGTAATGGGCTCTTGCTGATCGACTGTAATATGAAATGACTGCTCAAATGTCTTTTGCAGACGCTCCTCTGGCTCATCGAGACTAAGTGCCTTGAAATCAAAGGCTTCGTCCATGTCAAGGTCATCCATGTTGTCAGGTAATTGCAAAGGTAAGGAAATGACCTGAAAAAAAAAAAAAAAAAAAAAAAGGAGCCATTTTCTTTTGTGGTCACAAATCACATTAATTTTACTAATTTGTTTCTTGTTTTATTCGTTATAAATTTAATTTTGTAATATAAATAAATATATATAATTCATGTTCAACTGCGCTAATCTAAAGTGGAGGGTTTACGCCTCGAGCGAGGTGATTTTTTTTTTTTATTCTTTTAAGCACCAGTCTTTTCATCGTTGATCTTTGCATCGTCGATACCCTCAGCCTTTTTCTCATCAACATACGAGCTATTCACAAGCATCTCTGAGAATGGGATCAACTTATCAACCCCACGGATTTCGTTTGTCAACAGAGGTAACCTGGTGATGTGGAAGTCATCATACAGGTCATAGATCTGATCCAAGTACTTCTTCTGCATAGCGTGACGCACTCGACACTGCTCACAGTTTGAATCCTTTTTGGGGAACAAAAGCTGATTGACAACGATGTTATGGGTATCAATATGATACGAAGTCAACTCCTGGATCATACGCTCTGTTTCATACAACGACAAGAACTCGGAGATACACACACAAACAAATGTGGTCTTGTCTGCATCCTTGAATTGATTGTTGACTTCTGTGATGACCTCACGCATACCCTCCAGCTTGCTGAACATGTCTTCGGGGTTGCCTTGCATACCCATCATGCCCGACATTTGTTGCATCATCGGACCGAAACGGCCACTGAGCTGCGAGACCTTTGCAAGAGCCTTCTCCAAAACACTGGGGAAGGATAAGAAGCGAAGGGTGTGTCCTGTTGGTGCAGTGTCGAAAATAATTACAGAGTACTCCATTGCTTTGACTTGCCTAAGAGTCATTCACGAAAAAATGAACATGTGAAATTAACAAATGCGGAAAAAAGGGGGAAGGGGGAAGGGAGAAGAACTCTGTTTTGCAACATAGAACAATAGATCAACATACTTCATTACTTCAGCGAAGCCCATAGCTTCATCAACACCAGGAATAGCAAAAGCAAGATCTTGCATCATGGAAGAGACGCCGCTTCCCTGATCATCCGCTATATCCATACATGTGCATACCAAGAGAAAGAATCAGCGAAAATCACTTAATCACGCTTTTTCAAGACAAATTGAACTAGTTGGATCAGTTGAATCGAATTTCTTCATGGGTTGTTGCCAATTCCTTACAGTTTTCGATCATCTCTTGAATAGAGGATGTGGGGTCGATTTCCTATATAATAAAATAAGAAAAAGAAAAAAAAAGAAAAAGAAAAGACAAACAGTTACATTGATGAAGTGCTATGTTCCTGTTTGTCTATCATAAAAAAAAAAAAAAAAAAAAAAAAAAAAAAAAAAAATCCGTGAATTCCTTTTGTTAATATTTACCATGGCATAAAGGTTATCAAATCCATTGACGAGGGTGGCATCCTTGCTAAACTTTTGTCCAAAGGCATCTGACAAGTTATGGGCAGGATCTGTGGAGATCAAGAGAACACTTGGACGAGCCTTCGCCAACTGGATAGCGAGAGAGCATGAAGTGGTTGTCTTTCCTATGAATTGGCCAGTGAAATGTTTTGTGTGATAGAGCTTTTTGTTTTGAGAATTTATAATAAAAAGCTTTCAAAGTTGAATGCGCATCCTAAAAAGAAGAGAAAGAAAAGAGGATCGACATTGTCATGCAAACAATGTCTGTTGAGAAAAATATATATAAAGTCTTCTTACCGACTCCACCTTTGCCTCCGACAAAGATCCATTGCAATGAGGTCTGGTCGATAACGTTCTGGAGTGTAGGCTCGAGGGGCTCAAGGTCTTCAATGTCCGACATGTTTTTATTGTTTTATAATATTGCGGTGTCGAATGGTGTAAGAGTGGAGTTGGATGAGATGCAGAACTTTAACATGTCGAGATGCGATGGAACCTTGGCGAATAATCGGTGGCTTGTGCGCTTCGTGCCGCTCAAAAAAAAAAAAATTCCTCTCTGGCTACAGGTAACGCGAAACGCGAACATTAAAAAACTTTGACGCGTAATGAGCAACGGAAAAGATCTCTCCTGTCACACCTTCCTGTTTTAATCTCTAAAAGAGAATGTATGGTGTTTGGGAATGTATCCAGACTACAATAACGCATTAAGTCAATATTGTAACATCACATTGAAGAACATTGCATGCAGCCATAAAAATATATTTTCACTGCTATTCACGATTTGTTTTTTCAACTTTTTATAACTGAAGAACCGTTTATTGTATGTTATTACTCTTAAATCTATTTGCATCAGCGTCCTCAAAAGATTATGCCTGTTATTATCTTTTAGGACTCACACTCTGTATTTGGTGTATTGAATGTTAGTTTGGGTTTCTCGGTTTATAGGCGTACTAATCTTCGTTCCTGTTGGTATCTACTGTAGTCTTTACTTGGCTGCTCTTTACAAAGTATAGCTTGTTAATGCACTACTTCTGTTGATAAACAAATGTGGGTACTTGTACAGTTCATATACTACGACCATATCCGTCTAAACATGCTGTTAATGATCAGTGTTGGTTAAATGCCATCTGTCGCCAGAGACCCTTGTTCGTTTCCATGTTATTCTTCATCTCATTGATATAACAGCTTGTATATTTCTCCTCGATAATAGACACTTGGTGATTCTGTTCAACAGAGCTGAGAACGTCAGTTGACGATTGTCTGCGGGTCTCTTACTTCATTGCAAATATCAAATTACAGGATCACATCTAGTATCTACAACGCACCTTTCCATCCCTTTAATTCATTGTTTGCGTGGGAAAGAAATTCAAATAATGGCTTTGCCGACCACAACTCCTCAATTTTTTTTCATTTTCCTCCATTCCACTCTTCGTCATCATCCATCTCAATTCCTTCTCCTTTTTACTCGACCATCTTCCATTCAATACCACAATCGCAAATAACATACAACTAATGACCATGACATCGGCCAAGGAAAAACTCCAGGCATTCCGTCTTGTCGGCTCGGATAGATCATCAACCCCACTGTCAGATACTCAATACATTGAGGCTCGATTTGACCAAAAAGAACAACAGTACATCATCCTCTGGTGGGACATTGTAAACGTTTACAAAGATACAATTTGTATAAAGAAAGGGGAATTAATTTTATCATTCCTCGTGGATGGCGAATTTGAATAGTAAGAATAGTAGTTAACATGAAGATTGCTTGCTCCTCGTATCGATGCTATTTGCTACAATGTTGAATGATATTTGATTTTAACAAAAATCTACGAATAAAACAGCGTCAAGCCACTCCGAATCCGCGCAGATTTTGATGCCATCCTGGATGTTGTCATCCCCTTCCGTGCAAACAATCCAAAGAAGCCAGACTCAGATTCAACAATAACTCAATGGGGAATAAAAGAAGAACCAGCTGCAGCAGAGTTGAATGAAACAACTGCCCTTGGCTCTGTGAACCTAGGTAATAGCGGTGACCGCAAAAGCCTCAAGGCAGATAACGCAGTCCCTTCAACAGAAACTAGGCTTCATTCAGAGAATATTCCAAGTTATGAAGCTACAATTTCGACAGATTCGACTATTGAAGAGAGCGCAGAGTTGATGCCAGCGCCGCTTGCTGGGGAGGTCCAGTTGGGAAAGGCAGTCAAAGGAGATGCCACTGATGAAGCCAATCTAAACCTTATCCTCAAAGTCAATGGAAATTCACAGGATCATTCAAGAGCCTTTGACTGGTTTTTCAAGAGAGCTTCCTCAGGGACTTCTTATGGTGCATATAATACTGTAGGTTACATGTACTATCATGGCATAGGGGTCTCACAGAACTATTCAAGCGCCCTAAACTGGTTTAACAAGGCAGTCAACCAAGGAGATAGTATTAGCCAGAGTAATCTAGGCTGCATGTACTATCATGGCGTAGGGGTTTCACAGGACTATTCGAAAGCCTATGACTGGTATCTCAAGGCAGCCAACCTAGAAAATGCCATTGCTCAGATCAATCTAGGTTGGATGTACTTTTATGGGAAAGGAGTTGAGCAAGACTATTCAAAAGCCTTTGATCGGTGCCTCAAGCCAGCCAACCAAGGAAATACCAGAGCTCAGAGTAGTTTAGGCTACATGTACCTTGAGGCCAAGGGAGACTCACAGGATTATTCAAAAGCCACCTATTGGCTTCTCAAGGCGGCCAACCAAGGAAATGCCAATGCTCAGAGTAATCTAGGCTACATGTACTCTCGTGGCAAAGGGGTTCCAAAGAATTATCCGAGAGCCATCGACTGGTATCTTAAAGCAGCCAACCAAGGAAATGTTACCGCTCAATGCAATCTAGGCTATGTGTACTATCATGGCATAGGAACTTCACAGGACCATTCGAAAGCCTTTGACTGGTATACCAAGGCAGCCGATCAAGGATGTCCCGATGCTCAGCGTGCTATTGGTTCTATGTATCGAGCTGGAAAAGGTATTCCTGAAGATCAAGTTGAAACAGAGCAATAATATCAAAAAAGTCGCAGACCCAAGCAAAAGTTGGACTAGCTCGACCGTTGACGGCTCTTCAATATATTAATCTGAAGGGCTTTTAAGTACATATTTGAGATTCAATGCCTATTATTTGTCTCTGCAATTAAATGATCATTGCAAACCATGGCTACAAGGCCAAGAAAGCAACTTTGCTATTTGTCCATACTGTGTTCATACTGTGGGATGCTATAAACTACTAACACCGCAAATAGCAGTATTCTAGAGAGAGAACAGTCAGCTAGTCAAGTTAGAGACACCCTCTCACTCCATGTCTTTATCATAAAGACAAAGGTAGAGGTGATATCTCGGGTTATTGTATTGTTAGTGAATAGCATGTAGACAAAGACATAAGAAAAGCAGTATGATATTACATTGATATCTGTTGAATGGGTAGTAACAGACTGGCACAAAGTAGAGAGCGAAACACAGGTCATGTCCTCTGAATGATTAACAAATAATGGTTCATTATGGAAAATCGGTTGTAAACTTGCGAATTGCAGTTCTCCATCCTTATTAAATACATTTGTTTGCGTGGGAAAGAGTCAAAGAGGCAACTTCTTAATTTACATGTAGTTTGTCATTTTTTAACAACTTCCATTCTCCGTTTCATCTTTTCCATTGCACTCGTGTCACCATTCCTTTCCCATTCATTCTTCCACTCTCACCATCTCTACAACACCATAATTGCAAACAATATCAGGACCCTTAACCATGATATCTGATGAGAAAAAGGTCCAGGCGTTTCGCCTTGTCAGTCCGGATGGGTCACCCATTCCAGGATTAGATATCCAATACATTGAAAGTCGATTTGACCAAAGAACACGGCAGTACATCATCCTCTGGAATGACATTGTATCTGTCTACAAGGATGCAATGTATTTAAAGAAAGGAAAAGTAACTCTGTCATTTCTCGCGGACCACAACTTTGTATAGTAAGAATAGCAATGGTCAAGCCAATGTATCGATACAATTTTTTACTTTTTTAGAGCTGTATGATATATATATATCAAGCTTAATGATTGTATCATTGCTTCAAATAGTCTTGAGCCACTCCGAATCTGTGCAGAACCTGATATCGTGTTGGACATGGCTATTTCCATGCAGTCAAACAATCTAAGAAAGGCATATTCAAATTCAGCTACGGCTCAAAGAGGAAGGAAAGACTCATCTGCAACAGAACTCTATGGGGCGATGACACCTATTTCTGCCAAAAAAAGCAATGTCGATGGCTGCAAAAACCTCAAGGCAGATGGCACAGCTTCTTCAACAGTAACTGAGGCCCACTCAAAGGATATTATGAATTATGAATTTATAGCTTCGACAACTTCAACTATTGAAGAAAATCCAGAGTTGATGGCAGTGCCTCTTGGTGGGGAGATACAGCCAGGAAGCACACTTGAAGGGGATGCCAGTGCTGAGGTCTATCTACACCTTATCCTTAAGAACAAAGGAGATCCACAGGATTATTCGAAAGCCTTTGACTGGTACTACAATGAAGCCGATAAAGGAAATACTGCCGCTTATTGTAACTTGGGGTACATGTACTATCATGGCAAAGGAGCATTACAAAATGATTCGTATGCCTTTAGCTGGTTTTGCCATGCAGCTGAACAGGGATATGCTACCGGTCAGAGTAATCTGGGTTGCATGTATGAATATGGTAGAGGAACTGAACAGGACTATTCGACAGCTATCGACTGGTATATCAAAGCAGCCAACCAAGGAAACGCCATTGCTCAGAGTAATCTAGCCTACATGTATCTTGAAGGCAAAGGATGTTCACAAGACTACTATAAAGCTTCCGAGTGGTATCTCAAGGCAGCCAACCAAAAAAATGCCGCCGCCCAGAGCAATCTAGGTTATCTATACTTTTATGGCAAAGGGGTTTCAAAGGATTATTCGAAAGCCATCTACTGGCTTCTCAAGGCGGCCAACCAAGGAAACGCTGCCGCTCAGAGTGATTTAGGTTACATGTACTCTCATGGCGAAGGAGTTGAGCAAGACTATTCAATTGCCGTCAGCTGGTATCTCAAGGCAGCCTACGACGGATATGCTGTCGCTCAGAGCAACCTAGCCTACGTGTACCTTAAAGGTAAAGGGTGTTCGCAAGATTATTGTAGTGCTATCGAGTGGTATCTCAAGGCAGCCAACCAAGAAAATGCCGCTGCCCAGAGCAATCTAGGCTACATATACTATTATGGCATAGGGGCTTCGCAGGATTTTTCAAAAACCATTTACTGGCTTCTCAAGGCAGCCAACCAAGGAAATGCCATCGCTCAGAGTAATCTAGGCTACATTTATTCTCGTGGCAAAGGAGTTGAACATGATTATTTAATCGCCATCGACTGGTATCTCAAGGCGGCCAATCAAGGGTATGCCGCCGCTCAGAGTAACCTAGGGTACATGTACTATCATGGTATAGGCGCTTCACAGGACCATTCGAAAGCCTATAACTGGTTTCTCAAGGCAGCCGATCAAGGATGTGCTGATGCTCAGCATGCCATTCGTTCTTTATATCAAACTGGAAAAGGAGCCCCTAAAGTCCATGTTGAAACATAGCAATTATATTAAAAAACAAAACGGGAGACCAAAGTGATGTTGGTGCCAAGTAAAAGTTAGTCCGTTCAAGCGCCAACCGCTCTTGAATCTTTTGGATCTGAAGTACCGCCAAGTATGCCGCTTTTTATAGTTATTACAGATCTCCATTACCCAATATCGTTCACATGTCTTTACGGTCATTCCAACTACAAGATTAATAGGGCCAGAAAGCAACAATATCTCACGGAAGTCCCTTGGTTTCTTTTCTTTAATTCCTCTGCCATCTGCCCAATTTGTGCAGTTCGCGTTTATGTGCATTCGATGTTACAATTTATTCACTTGACAAAATAAACAAAGAAAATGAAGTATAAACGTCGACAGCCGTCTCTTTGTCTTGAAGATCAAGGCAAAAGCTGTTATTTAAGTGAACCAGCTGTCCTTACTGTATAAATCGTTCCTGCATGCTTGCTGTCGGTGAGTGAATATCATGTGAATGAGGATTAGAAGCAATGCTGGTGCTGATAGACTAAGCGAGTTATATTAACCTCTGCGCGTGTTCGCTAAATTGAATCGAGAATAAAACACCTTGGATCATTGAATGATTAAAAAATTGACAGAAAATCCAATTGTAAAAACGCATTCAATTTTCTTTTAGTCGTGTGGGAGGGAAAGTGTCAAAGTGGCGACGGTTTTTTTAAATGGCTTCGCCAGTCTCATGTGACCATTCCTCTTAATTCAATCTTTCTTCTACACCTTACCATCTCCATCACATCATAATTACAAACAACAACAGAACTCTTAACCATGGTATCTGATGACTCGGGTGAGGAAAAAGTCCAGGCATTTCGCCTCGTCAGCCTGGATGGGTCACCCATTCCAGGATTAGATATCCAATACATTGAACCTCGATATGACCGAAGTACACGGCAGTACGTCATCCTCTGGAACGATATTGTGTTTTCTTACAAGGATGCAATGCATGTAAAGAAAGGAAAAGTGACTCTATCATGTCTCACGGACGACAACCTTGTATAGTAAGAATAATAATTGATCTTCATAGTCATTCCAATGCATTGACAGTTTTTGTTTGCTTTTTTGGAGCTGTATGATATATACATCCAACTCATGATTGTGTCATTGCTTCAAATAGCCTTGAGCCACTTCGAATCCGCGCAGAACCTGATATCGTGTTGAATGTGGTCATTTCCCTTCAGGCAAGCTATCTAAGAGAGCCATATCCAGATTCAACAACTGCTCAAAGGAATGAAGACTCATCTACAATAGAATTATATGAGGCTACCCTCCAAAGCTCTGTCAAAAAAAGTAATATTGATGATCGCAAAAGTCTTAAGGCAGATGGCACAGCTTCTTTGACAGTAACTGAAGCTCATTCAGAAGATATTCCGAGTTATGAAGAAAGCGCAGAGTTGATGGCAGTGCCGCTTAGTGGAGAGATACAGCCAGGAGGTATAAGCAAAGGGGGATCCAAAGATGAGGCCAATCTACGCCTTATCCTTAAGGATAACGGAGATCCACAGGATTATTCAAAAGCCTTTGACTGGTACTACACTGAAGCCAACTGGGGATGGTCCGGCGCTCGGACTAACATGGGTTACATGTACTATCATGGCATGGGAGTTCAACAGAGCTATTCAGATGCTTTTGACTGCTATTCTACGGCAGCCAAAAAAGGAAACGTTCAAGCCCAGAGCAATATAGGCTGCCTATACGAACATGGTAAAGGAGTTGAGCAGGACTATTCGAAAGCCATTGAGTGGTACCTCAAGGCAGCCAACCAGGGAAACGCCATTGCTCAGATCAATCTAGGTTGGATGTACTTTTATGGGAAAGGAGTTGAGCAAGACTATTCAAAAGCCTTTGACTGGTGCCTCAAGCCAGCCAACCTAGGAAATGCCAGTGCTCAGAGTAGCTTAGGTTACATGTACCTTGAGGCCAAAGGAGACTCGAAGGACTATTCGAAAGCCACCTATTGGCTTCTCAAGGCAGCCAGCCAAGAGAATACTATTGCGCAGAGCAACCTAGGCTACATTCACTCTCGTGGCAAAGGAGTTAAACAAGACTATTCGAAAGCCTTTGACTGGTATCTCAAGGCAGCCAATCTAGGAAACGCCACCGCTCAGAGTAACCTAGGGTACATGTACTATCATGGCGTAGGGGTTTCACAGGACCATTCGAAGGCCTATGACTGGTATCTCAAGGCTGCCGATCAGGGATGTGCTAGTGCTCAGCGCACCATTGGTTCTATGTATCGAATTGGAAAAGGAACCCATGTTAAAGCAGCGTAATAGCAACAAGGACTTGCAGTCTAAGATGCTATTGATGACAAGCAGAAGCTGATTCGGCTCAAGTACTTACGGCTCTTGGATGTTTTTTAATCTGAAGAACTCCTAAGTACAGTACGTATTTGAGATCCAATATCCTTCATTTAATTCGATAATTAAATAATGAAGTGTCGATTGCAACTATAGGGAGTTTGGGCCGAGAAAGCAATAGCAAATGCCATACTCCACGATTTGTATACTTAGGATGTAGTGGATCTGTAATGTCAGTGTAACAAAAGAAACAAAAGAAATGGCATTCGTTACAAAGCGACGAATTAATTACCATCTTGCGATTAGAAGTTACCTGGTTTGACTAGATATACTTTTACATTCTAAGTTTTTATCTTGACGGTGAAGAAGGTGGAAGTGGTAGTTTGGCGAACCTGATCTTCTTGTTGTATGACTTGGTGCTAAGTGTTCATTTCATATTGCTGTTAATGAGTACCATGTGAACGAGGGTCATGAACGTCTCTTTAGTGATACATAGGAGTGAGGGCAGCCACACTGGTCCCGATAAATTGAGCGATATGTATGACATTGGCATCTATTGAATAGGCGCAAATCCGAGTAAAGAGTCCTATAGCATATGAAAAGTTTTTTTGTTATTAGTGATGCGCCACAAAGACATCTTTGTTATGTGACAAAAAAGCAGTTTATTGTGTGGGCTTCACCAACCTCATTCTCGACTCCTCTCTCTTTCATCTGCTCTTGCTATTTGCCCCTTCTTTTTTCTATTCTTACTGTCCCCCCATTCAATGTCACAGTTATAAACGGCACATACTAATGACTACGATATATCCTAAGGAAAAGCTCCAGGCATTTCGCCTCGTCAGCTTGGATGGGACTCTCACTCTGGTATCAGATCTCCAATATATTAGAGCTCTATTTGATCGAAAAACCGATCAGTACATTCTCTGGACGACATTGCCCTTCTTTACAAGGGTACAATTCACGTAAAGAAAGGAAAAGAAACTCTATCATTTCTCACGGACGACAATCTTGTACAGTAAGGACAACAATCGATTTTCATGACTGCTTCAATGTATAGACAACATTATTTGGTTTTAGTGCAATATATGGGCGCAGCCATTGTATCATTGCTACAAATAGTCTTATACCGTTCCGAATCCGCGCAGCACTTGATACCTTACTGGACATGGTTATTTCCTTTCAGGCAGACAATCTAAGAGAGGCATATCTAAATCCAACACGACTCAAAAAGGAAGGGAACTCGTCTGTGGCAGAACTCTATGAGGCGACTCCTCTAAGCTCTGTCAAAAAAAGTAATAGCGATGACCACAAAGGCCTCAAGACAGATAACATAGCCCCTTCATCCAGTGGATGTTCCAAGTTATGAATCTGCAATTTCGATAGATTCGACTGTTGAAGAGAGCGCAGGGTTGATGCCAATGCCAATTAGCGAGAAGAAGGAGATTCAGCCAGAAGGTACAATCGAAAACCATACCATCAGTCAGACCTATCAAGACTCCATTCTTAAGGAAGGAGGTTTACAGGATTATTGGAAGACCCTAAGCTGGTTTGACTCGATAGCCAGACAAGGAAATCCTAACGCTCAATGTAATTTAGGCTACATGAACTATTATGGCAAAGGGACACCCCAGAGTTATTCGCATGCCACTGACTGGTTTTCCCTGTCAGCCGAGAAAGAAATGGCCGCCGCTCAGAGTAATCTAGGTTGCCTGTACGAAGACGGCAAAGGGGTTAAGCAGGACTATTCGAAAGCCATCGAGTGGTATCTCAAGGCAGCCAATCAGGGAAACGCCATTGCTCAAAGCAGTCTAGGTTACATGTACTCTCGTGGCAAAGGAGCTAAACAAGACTGCTCAAAAGCCATCGACTGGTGTCTCAAAGCTGCCCACTAAGGGTATGCCACCGCTCAGAGTAACCTGGGTTACATGTACTATCATGATTTAGGAGCTTCACAGGACAATTCGAAAGCCTATGACTGGTATACCAAGGCAGCCGATCAAGGATGTCCCGATGCTCAGCGTGCTATTGGTTCTATGTATCGAGATGGGAAGGGAGTCCCTTAAGGGTAAATAGAAGCAAAGCGTTGGTTTTAAAAAGTTGTAGGTCAAGTAAAAATTTAGACCAGTTCAAGCACTCATAGTCCTTGCTGTGTTTGGTCTAGCACGCTCTTAATCACATGGTTGATATTCAATACCTTGGTAATTAAATGATGAAACAACCCTTGAAACTATAAGATCATTTGGTTCAGAAAGCAGCAACGCCTTGTAGACATTACTGAGTTCTTTTTTATTTCACCATGCTGCACGATTTAGTATGTGCATGCAGTCAATGTATTATGCCACTGTTGCAAATGAACAGAAATTGGAGCAGTCAATTGAGCTGCGGTAATGATATCACTTGGATATGAGTGTTCCAGTATGGCGAATTGCCAGAAATACCCTTTACACCCTAAACCTTTCTCATGAGTGGGCAAGGTGAAGGCTGTATTTGTATAATCAGCTTCCTTGTTGTAAAAGCTGGCTCTATATATTTATTGCGTAATACTGTCAATGTCGTGTGAACGAGGATTGTGAGCAGTGCTACTGTTGATAGGCTAAGCAATATAACATTGATGTCTACAGGGCGTAGAGAATAAAAAAAAAAAAAAAAAAAAAAAAAAAAGTTTGGAGTGATCGCAGCTCTTAGGGTTTCATTTTTTAATGTGCCACAAGGACACCCCTGGAAGTAACCCAGAAAAATAAGGAATCAAAGAGAGGCGAAATAATAGTTCATTAAAAGAAAGAAAAAAAAAAGACTTTGCCAATCTCATCCTCGCCTTCTTCTCTTCTCTCTCTTCGATCCTATCCTTGTTATTTCTCTTTACTATCCCTTCAATCTCCCATAAAATACCACTATTAAAAACAGTATATTACAAATGATCATGATATCTTCTAAGGAAAAGCTCCAAGCATTTCGCCTCGTCAGTTTGGATGGGTCATCCACTCCTGTATCGGATATTCATTACATTGAAACCCGATTTGACCATAAAACACAACAGCACATCATCCTCTGGGAGGACATTTTATCTTCTTATAAAGATGCAATTCGTGTTATGAAAGGAAAAGTGACTTTATCCTTTCTCACGGACGATAACTTTGAACAGTAAGGATAATAATGATAATTGGCCGCTATGACCACCACTCGCGTCTACAACTGACACCAATGGCTTGGGTGTTGGATAATATTTCACCATGAGCTAAGATCACGTCAATGCTGTAAAAATACAATGTAGTATAAAACCACTTCGAATCCGTGCAGAACCTGATACCATACTGGATATCGTTATTTCTCTTCAAGCAGGCGTCCCAGCGGAGTCAAGCCTAGAAGCAACAGCGATTCAAAAAAGAAAGAGGGAGTCAGCTGCGACAGAGCTGGGTGAAGTGACCACTCCTAGCTCTGTCGAAATTAATGACAGCTATGATCACAAAAGTTTCAAGGCAAATATGGAGCATTTTTTCGAAAGACATGATGATGTAGCCTCCTTAATCATAGCTGGGCTTCATTTGGAGGGTACTTCAAGTAATAAAGCAGCGCCTTCGACAAGCCCAACTATTGAAGAAAATTCAGAGTTAATGCCAACGCCACTTGGTACAGAGATTCAGCCAGGAGGAGTAGATAATGGGGATGTCTATGATCAGGCCAGGCTTGGTGAGATCCTTGGGGATGAAAGAGATCCACAGGGTCGTCCGAAAGACTTCGACTGGTATCTCAAGGCAGCGAACAAAGGAAATCCTACCGCTCAGAATATCATAGGCTACATGCACCTTAAGGCTAATGGAAGCTCACAGGGGTATTCGAGAGCTATCTACTGGTTTACCAAGGCAGGCGACCAAAACAAAGCTGCTGCTCAAAATAACCTGGGTTATATGTACTACCGTGGTATGGGGCTTTCAAAGAACTATTCACATGCCTTCTACTACTTTTCCAAAACAGCCAACAATGGAGATGCTATCGGTCAGAGTAATCTAGGGTACCTGTACGAACATGGTAAAGGGGTTCCACAGAACTATTCGACAGCCCTTGCCTGGTATCTCAAGGCAGCCAGCCAGGGAAATGCCGGCGCTCAGAGCAATCTAGCTTACATGTACCTTGAAGCCAAGGGATGTTCACAGGATTATTGTAAAGCTACAGAGTGGTACCTCATGGCAGCCAACCAAGGGAACACCACCGCTCAGAGCAATCTGGGTTACATATACTCTCGTAAAGAAGGAGTTTCACGGGATTATTCAAAAGCTGTATACTGGCTCCTCAAGGCTGCAAACCAAGGAAGCCTTAGTGCTCAGAGTAATCTAGGCTATTTGCACTCACGCGGCAAAGGAGTTAAACAGGACTATCCAACTGCCATCAGCTGGTATCTCAAGGCGGCCAATAAAGGGGACGCCACCGCTCAGAGTAACCTAGGATACATGTACTACCATGGTGTAGGAGTTTCACAGGACTATTCGAAAGCCTTAGGCTGGTACCTCAAGGCTGCCGCTCAAGGACATGTTAATGCTCAGCGCGTTGTTGGCTCTCTGTATCGAGATGGAAAGTGGGCTCCTAAACGTCAACCTGAAGAAGAGGAATAATGTCAAATTTAAATAAAATAAATATATATATATATATATATATAAAAGAGATGCAAAAGTAACATCAATAACGGCATCAACGGCTTGTTCAGCTCGCACTGGTTCGGGCAGACGCAATTAAAAAGCTTACAGAATTGTTGTAAAAAACTGTTGGTAAATAGATACTTTCATTTAGATCCATAACAAGACAGAAATAGATGTAGGAATGTAAATTGATGGCTTGTTGAACTCAGGGACTGACACATCTGCTGTTGGGTTTTTAGTATCTGGCTAGCGAGTGGAGGTTTTCGCAATGTCTTTGAGGTATGAGGCCTGCTATCTGGTAATTGATCTAGGGAAGTAACATCTCGTTATCAGTTTGGAAACATACTCGCAGCAGCTCGAGCGCTACTCGCTGCATGGAAAATAACCTTTGAGGAACATGAGAGGCTGCGAACTATGACTAGTAGATCTGGCTAATCCATTAACGAGGAAATGGCAAAGAGGCACCTACCACACAACCCCTTTCAAGGTACCTGGGGTAAGAAGAGTCCCAAATTTTGCATGGACCGTAAAGACGGGCAATAAACCCTTTTGAGAACAGGACGATCTGAATAATACAGCTTAAATGTAGCTGCCAAGAGAATGGAGTTTCAGGAATAAAGGAGTGTTCTACGACAAGCCAATGTAGACAGAAACGAGTGAGCCTAGTCATTATGGAGCTGTTCATTTGTAGGTCTTGCCAGCAAGGGCTCGATATCACTTGAATGGAAGAATTGAGGCTTACAATCTCTGATCAATGACAACCATTGAATGATGTCTAATCGCTATCCACATGTTGCGTCTGTCCCTGAATGATTTTGTGCCTTTATATTCTGTGTAACATTGTTGCACCTTACTTATTAGGAAAAATATAAAGATTAGTTGGATCTGAATTGCGACAGCGACATCGCCAAGGTACATTGCTGTGGTTACAGCACAACGAGAAATGACTGAATTGTATGTAGATACCCACTAATTCCAGATCTTCCTCATAAAAATTATTGTAGATGTTGCTGTTAGTTTATGCCATGTGATTGAGGATAGGAGCTGGAGTTTGGGAATGAATAAAGTAAATGTAATATGGTGATCCTAGAAATCAACAGGTGTTCGATTCGAAGGTTTAGAAAAAAAAAAAAGCAAACGCGTCGAAGAGAATAAGAGTCCGTCCCCCAACATGATTATTATTGGTGTAAACTAAATGCAACTCCAAACCAGAGTCTTCTTGCTACTCCTGTAGAGCAGAAATTCTTTTTCCCTCCCCCATTCTCTTTTCTGTCTTGATTTTAATCCTTATTTGTTTTTTTTGTATATATCCGAAATAAAACGATGTTGGCAAATAAATAAATAAAAAAAAATGAGTTCCTAGAAATACATCTTTATCAATGAACTCAGAGTATTCTTAATGGATGGAAGAGCTGTGTTCCATGAGGCCTGATAGATCTGTAAACACTTTCGATCTGTTTGAGGAGACATACAGATGAAAGCGAGATGTCGTACTACGCTTTAAAAACTACTCTTTCTTAGAGCGCTGGTGGAACACAATTATTAATTTGTCTATAGACAAGTTTGTCGATGCTCATGGTTGACTGAAGAGGTTGGTAGATGCACCCCTCGTAAATAGTTCTTATAAGAATTCTCCTGACAATACTGTATATTTCCGATCAGACAATTCGTGATCATCCTGATTTAAATCCACAACAGCATCTGAAATATGGACCTAAAGTAGATTTATTATAAGATCTGTCGTTTATGCTTTCGGACATATTGATTACAACCCCAAACAAGAACCCATCCACCTAAAACCGTGCCATGCTATATCAGCTCATATATAACACAGGAGATGGACATCTACAAGAGTGATTAATTAGACAGGGACTACACATCTCTTGGTAGAGCGGCACAATAGTAATATGTAAAGCACCCTTGACACGAATAGCCACCTTTCTTGATGATCGACATCGAGTGCTCTCTTGAGAATAAGCATTAAAAAAAAAAAAAAAAAAAAAAAAAAAAAAGCCGCAGGACGGTAGGGAGAAGGACATATCGTCCGCATGCACTCCCTATTCCCCTTTGTCTCCCTTCCTCTTTTCATTTAATGGTGTTTAGATTAATATGCACGCGATCATTCGGGCGAGGATAGATGCGCCACTTTTTTTTTTTTCTCTCATGCTTTCAAGTGTAGAGCGTTAACATTGTTCATTTAAGAATAGCCAGCTACTTGTGTGGCAAAGCATTATTAGGCATTATGTTGGATGGTAGTTAGCCGGCAGCACAGTTGTGGGGCGTTGACTGTTAGCATAATCTCCTGAGATTCAGCTGTTATACAAGATCAGAAGGAGTATAGAGCATACAGTCAGTCAGACAAATGGTACAAACAAGTAGCTAGAAGGAGCATGATTTCTTTCACTTTCATCAGATCGATATTCAGCCTCATTATCAAAAGTATGAATTGTCCAAACCTTTTTTTGCATATTGATGTGGATATTTGGTGGCTTGGTTTGTTTTCTGATCTTTATTTTTAAGGGTGCTTACCTTTTCAGTATCCAATAAAAATGGGCCCTGAAGAAGTGATTCTTCCCTAGGCTCGGTGCCATCCTGTCTGCAAAGCGGCAAGCCACCAATCACCGTTCCATAAATGGAAGGCGGGCTCTCTACTTTGCAGACAGGCTGGTCTCATATCGAAATTTTTTGAGGGAGCGCTCAAAAAGGAAAGGTTATATTTTCTCAATTAGAATAGCAAACCAATTCAATCCGCGCGCTTGAACATGAGGCTTTGTTCTTGAAGTTCTTCGATTGAATTGAGTTTACTATTTTAAAAATATAACCTTTCCTTTTTGAGCGCTCCCTCAAAAAATTTCGATATGAGACCAGACTGTCTGCAAAGTAGAGAGCCCGCCTTCCATTTATGGAACGGTGATTGGTGGCTTGCCGCTTTGCAGACAGGATGGCACCGAGCCTAATTCTTCCCTGTAGCCTCAGACAAACCTGGATTCTATCTCCACCTGGCTGGCCCATCCTCGAAGTGATTTAGGGAACCTTTAACCAATTTAGGAGTTTGTATTAAAACGTTCTTCTCCTTCTTCCTTTGCTCTCATTCATTATTTCCCTGAATTTATTTGTCTTCCTCGACAATGCTATTAATACCAATGAAAAGGAGAGCCATGTGTGTGAGATGGTGCTTTTTTTCTTTTTTCATTTTTTTTACTGCAGGTACGGTACGATACGAAATGAAATGACCATGCACATCATGTGTACTACATGTAGTACAAAAAAAAAAAAAAAAAAAAAAAGTCGCGTTCTTGTTTTGGTCCCCTCCTCTCCTTCTTTAAAGGAGAGCTTTTTCCTTCCCCGCTATCCGCCATCCGTCAAACGGTATCCAGGCTTCTTGGCATTTTGCACTCATTATGTTTGAATATTAATCCAAAGAAAGATCCAGTACCAGCATCACTCCTTGGAAGAAGGGAGCGGCATTAACAGCCAGATCTTCTTCTAAAAAAAAAAAGAAAAAAAGATATAAAAACAAATCCTTCATCCAATTTATTTTTTCTCCATCCCACAACAGTCTTTACAGCTTCCACGGCCTCTTCCACAGTAACCTCTCCTTTCCCCGTCTTTATTAACTGAAAATGAGAATCTTTTCCTTTGTTCCCGCCGTCTTGGCCCTCAGTGTCTTCTCTGCCGCTCAGGCTGCTCCTGCGTTGATAACGCCCCGTGATAACTTGGACGCTGTTATCGGCATCTTTGTCGGCGCTCAAACAAAGATCATGGCTGATGTCGCGGCCAAGATCACCGCCGACGTCTGCGCTGATGTCAACATCGAAGCCAATGCCAAAGTCGTCGTTCTTGGCGGTCTCCTCACCACCACTATAGATGTTGAAAAGATCAGCCTCAATGTGAAGGCCAAACTCGATGCTGATATCAAGCTCTATGTCGATGCTGCCGTCAAGGCCACTGTCCTTGTTCCCATCAGAGCCATCGTCTCCAGAGTCGTCCTCAACCTCTGCCCTCTCCTTGAAAATGAGTGTATCAAGCGAAACGCCCATAACATCGTCGTTGCTGTCAATGCTGAGATTGATGTTTGCCTTGATAATTTGTTTGTCGAGCTCAAGGTTAAACTTCCTATCCATATCCATGCTCGTGCTAAGATTATTATTCGTGAACTCACCCTCAATGCCGGTATTGCAACTGCTGCCATTCGTGCTCGTATCTTCATTTCCGCCAAAATTGATGCCCATATCAAGGCCTGGATTAATCTCTGGGTCAATCTCTGCGCCAAGCTCCAATTGGCTGCTGACATTGGTCTCTTATAAAAAAACCATGTCCCCATTTTGTACATGACTGTATTGCTACTTCTTTCCCATTTCGTACTATCTATTATCATTCAATAAATATAACGTATTTTTTTTCTTTTTTAATTTTCTCTCTTATGCACTCAACACACTCAGAGTTGAGGCTCTATCCTTTTTTCTTTTCTTTCTTATAGCGGTGAACAAAAAAAAAGAGGTTGATATTGAAAGAGAGGTAAAAAAAACGGATGAATTTATTGAACAGATAGATGTATTTCTCTTTGTTTTCTTCTTTTCTTTGCGTTACTTAAAAGTTCTTGGTGAACTCAGTGGTAATATCCTTAAGCTTGGCGAAGGACTCGGCGCTCAGATCACCAGACTTGCGGATCTCCTCGAGGAGATCCTTGTGGTTAGAGACCAAATGAGGAATGAACTGACGCTCGTACTCGCCAACACGGTTGACAGGGATCTTGTCAAGGAAACCATTGACACCAGCAAAGACGATAGCGACCTGGTGCTCAACAGGGAGAGGCTTGTACTGAGGCTGCTTGAGCAACTCTGTAAGACGGGCACCACGGTTCAACAAGAACTGGGTGGAAGCATCCAAATCGGAACCAAACTGGGCGAAGGCAGCGACCTCACGATATTGAGCAAGGTACAACTTCATGGAACCAGCAATCTTCTTCATGGACTTGGTCTGAGCGTGAGATCCGACACGGGAGACGGAAAGACCGACGTTAATGGCGGGACGGATACCCTTGAAGAACAACTCAGCCTCCAAGAAGATCTGTCCATCAGTAATGGAAATGACATTGGTGGGAATGTAAGCAGACACATCTCCTCCCTGAGTCTCAATAATGGGAAGGGCAGTCATGGAACCACCACCGAGCTTGCGGTTCATCTTGGCAGAACGCTCCAAAAGACGGGAGTGAAGATAGAAGACATCTCCGGGGTAGGCCTCACGACCTGGGGGACGACGAAGCAAAAGAGACATCTGACGGTAAGCAACGGCCTGCTTGGAAAGATCATCGAAAACGATCAAGGAGTGCTTGCCGTTATCACGGAAGTACTCTCCGACAGCGCATCCAGAGAAAGGAGCGAGGTACTGAAGAGGAGCAGCCTCAGAGGCAGTGGCAGCAACGACAACAGAGTACTTCATGGCATCATTCTCCTCAAGGGTCTGGACGAACTGGGCGACAGTGGAACGCTTCTGACCGACAGCGACGTACACACAGTACAACTTCTTGACTTCATCAGTGCCGTCGTTCCACTTCTTCTGGTTAAGGATGGTATCCAAAGCAACAGAGGTCTTTCCGGTCTGACGATCTCCAATAATCAACTCACGCTGACCACGTCCGACAGGGACCATGGAGTCAATACACTTGATACCAGTCAACATAGGCTCACGGACGGACTCACGAGGGAGAATACCGGGGGCCTTGACCTGAGCACGGCGACGCTCAGTAGCGGCAATGGGACCCTTGCCATCGATGGGGTTACCGAGAGCATCAATGACACGGCCCAAAAGAGCCTCACCGACGGGAAGATCAACAATGTTACCAGTACGCTTGACGGTATCACCCTCACGAATGAGACGATCGTTACCGAAGACGACAATACCGACGTTGTCGGCTTCCAAGTTCATGGCCATACCCTATATAAAGCATTAAAAGCAAAACAATATATTTGTCAATGATCCAATGATCGTGTCACGTCTAGTTCATACTAAGCGTGCATTTCTGATTTGCACTCGAGTTACGCCTTTCCAAGTATATAAGCTTGCTTTTTACCTTGACACCGCTGGAGAATTCAACCATCTCCTCGGCCTGGCAGTTCTTCAAACCATAAACACGGGCAATACCGTCTCCAATGGACAAGACACGACCGGTCTCCTGGATATCGACGGATGAGTTGAGGCCGTTGATGCGATCCTCAAGGATCGAGGTGACCTCAGAAGTGGCTATGATAGTTTACATATAATGTTTAAGTTGAGAATGAATCGTACATATAAAGAACACTGCTCTAATACGCAATAAAAATAATAAAAATAAAAGGTTACATACCAGGCTTGGCGGTGGCATAGTTGCGGATGGCAGAGAAGGCACCGACATTGGCGCGAACCTATCGACAATAAACAAGTTATAAAAGTGTAAATTTGCTCAATATCAGTATCCACTAGTAAAAAAGCGCGTGTTGCGTGGAAAAAGAGGGAGAGAGTCGTATGTGGATGAATGTAAAATTTGCTGATCGCTCAGATCGAGCCCTGTATATTTTGGAGATCCGACTGGTCCCGATCGAGAGATCCATCAACGGATGAACCAATATGGCTCCAGAGAGAATGATGTGAGCAACATGCAACCAGAATGGGCTACACTGATTTCATTTCACTAGTCATTGTTAAATTCGTAATGTGTTGTGATCGCTCAATTGGGTCCATATTATGATCACAGCGTAAAAGACGATGTTTTTTTCCTCAGGCACAATAGAGTCACATTGACGAACGTTATCATCAATACGGATGTACTGGACTTTGGAAGAAGAGATATTTCACTCAGTTAAGTAGAATATTACAAGACAATGAGTGTAGTTGATATGATGATTTAGGTCAACAAATGTTAGGTGATCAATCAAAGTGCCTGTCTCAGAGCGTGATGCTCCTGGTCAGATGACGAGAATACTCGAAGGTATGATTATAACGGATGAAGCAAAAGTACATAAAGAGTGATGCGTAAACCGAAATAAGATTAAGTGTACAATGGTTATGTTGAGAGGATTATTGGTGGCGACGAGAGTTGGAGAGTCCATTAGGGGTGATTGCGGGAGAAAAAGAGAGAAAGAGACAAATCATAGTTGCAAGCGTGGTAACGAGAATGAATAATTGGATGTGAGAGTCGAGGTAAAAGTGAGCGGTTGGGTGAAGAAGAGATACATACCACGGGGGAGCTGCGAGCCAAGGCGATGGCAGCGGGGCGAGCAGCGCGGCTGAGAGATCTAAGCATGGTGATGATGCGTGATGGGAGAGGGGAGAGGATAAAGGAGGAAGAGATGAATCTCGTTACAAAGTAAGGTAGGATATACAAAAACGCTTTCGATGAGATTTGTCTCTCCTCTTCCGGGCCAAAACAGAAAGTTGCAACGTCACTCTTTATTTTTTGTGCATTTAGAGAATTGGCAATTGAGGGAAGCTGCCCAATCAGAAAAATTCATGCAAGAACTTTAATGCCTACTAGCCCACTTCCGCGCACCATAAATCTAGTATTGCTATAAAGCTATGTCGCTTCTGCACGAAGCGCGAGTTTTACGGCCGGCATAGTTCAGGAGGCCATACTTGATGTATAATCAGGTGATGTGTCTGTCACCCGAGCTATGTTGTCTCCTAGTGGGAACTGCGACATACGATGACGCGACCAACTAAGTTTCCAACGTTTTTGCATCTGCAGCACACCATCGAAGTGTGCCATTCATCAGCACACAGGATATTCAGCCAAAATGGTTTTACCTATCACCAATATAAAATAACTTGGTCGCTGCTGTTTTCTTTTAATAAGCGTGTGATCCAAGTTGTTGCTATTACCTTTTTTATAAGGAGAGAAATAAAGCAAACTCACTATCACCCATGACAAACAGTAACTGAATGGGGCCCTTTGATGACTTTCCTTTACACCCTGCTGCAACCACTGTTCTATCGATTCCTTTGTTCTCAATAGCTGTCAGTGCCTACCTGAGATGAAACCGTTTGATTTTGACCATTGTGGTGCATAGAAATCCCTATGCGGCCCTTAAACCAGAAGAACAGAGTGAATGTGAAGCTCAATAGACTGTTGTAAATGCTCCCGCGGACTCTCTTGCTGCCCAGCTTCTGATATAGGGGGTTCGATGGCTTTAATCTTGCTTTCAATCACATCTATTCCCGCCTTCCTCTTCGCACCTTCAAGATCCCGAAGGCACTTTCTAGTTAGGTAAGCGTGGGACCTTTGTGATGTAGTGATGTTTACTGAATGAATGGCATTGTCTAAGCTCATTACAAAGCAGGCCGCAGTACTTTTGATCTCTGGGTCAATCCCGACTACTACCGGTTGATTCTAATCCTTAATAACCTCGTCAACGCTAGCAGCGCCTCCCAGCATCTGCTTGACGTCTTGTAGCTTCGACCGTGTGGTGTCTGGTATTTTTTTCGGATGAGGTTGGCTTTGCTGTCTGCTCCAGAGAGCGCCCTAGAGTCTTTAGTTCGTAGCCATTCGTCACAATCGAGCCTCTCAATAAGTACTTTTCCTACTCAGTGCCGTTATCGATATTGGATCTCTGCTCTATGGGACTCTTTAGACGGGACTTAATAAACTTTTAAAATCATTTTTAGCTCCAAGAAATGCTGCTTTACCGGCGCGGCGTAATTTCTCCATTTGGCTATTGAAATCATTGTCGAGGTTAAGTAGGGCTCGATCAGGTGGCATTTGAGAGCTGGGGTTGGGAAGGCATACACTGCGAGTCTAATTAAGATTCTTACTGAACAATAACCGATACATCAACTCTCCTAGGTGATCCGCGGAATGTCTCAATGCGTCCTTCCACGATTTAAACGTATACTTCAAGCAATCCTTGAGATCTTTTGGCTGTCCACCGAGCAGGGCTTTCAATAGAGACTCCCTCGTAATCGTAAAGAGGCTTCTTTGAACCCACAAATTTTAATGCCATTCTTACTCGCAAGAGGACATCTGACTAAATGATTGAAAAAATGGATTGATATTTAGACGTGTGGGGGACCAACTTCGCCTCTTTCTTGAATAGGGAAATGACTGCATGTAGTCTATCTGGATATAAGGATCCCAGTGGCCCAGTACCATAACGGTCTATATCCTCCTCCCCCTTAAGTGATGGAAGAAGATGTCTTCGCCATCAACACATTTTTACCTCTTTTACCCCACTCACAAATCATGGTAGAGCTGAAACACCCTGTCCGGCTATGAACGGACGTCGCAACACGGAGTTGAGAGATGGTTGGCGTATGAATTTGTTTTAGGCGCTGCCACCTACAGTTTCACCCGGTTTTGAGGTTTTTGTGATAGTTCGAGCCATTGATTGCTCTATCCAACACTCCACGCCAGAGATCTGTGCTGCGCTCTTTTTGGTTAGATCTTTCAAATAGAAATATGCTTTGTTTAACAAAATTCTCGTAGTTGAAAAAAAGGACTAACCAAAAAGAGCGAACAACGGATCTCTGCTCCACACATTGACACAGTTAAAGTTTATGTTGGAGGTGATGGCCTTTAGTTCCCCTTCTTTCTTCTTCTTCCTCCTTTTTCCTTCCCCTTCTATCCTTCTTCTTCTCTTGCCCATCCTACCTTACTGCATTCATTTCTTATCCATTACCCTCCATCGCTCCATTCTTTCTATTCTCAAACAATGCCTCCATTCATTCCCCCACTTTCTGACCACTCCAAGACAGTGTCTAGTCTAAGCTCAGAGCGTGCACTTGTCTCATTCAATGTTGAGTCACTCTCTCAGTTCTTGTATGGCGAGAACTTTGAGAAGCGACGCCATATCCGGGGTCTGGTCGAACAACACCCCGTCTTCTCTAACGCGGATAAACCCTTTTTGAGCCGTGAACGTCAATACGTCCGATCTTTAGAAAAGGCAGCAAAATTGGTTGAGATGCGCAAGCAGAACAATTGGTCTGATGATGATATGATGATGGCCATGATGCTGATCGGTGACTGGACTCCCCAGTTCTTGGTAATAATAATTCTGGAACTGGTAGGAACACTGATGACCAGTACCTGAAAATACTTACAACTCATCTTAATACCTCTGCACTTTAGCATGAGGCACTTTTCATCCCTACCCTCAAAACCCAACTCACGGACGAACAGCAAAGGATTTGGCTTCCCAAGTAAGAAAAAAACACTATTTTTCCAGCTTCCTGCCATACCGTGCTTTGCAAAGTTACTAGTCTAAGAATTTTTTTTTTTTTTTTTTTTTTTTTTTCATTCTTCATCTTTCATATGATCAAATAGAGCTCAAAATTACGAGATTTTTGGATGGTAAGTGTTACTGTATCTGCAATATCTTTTGAAATTACTGTGCATTGTTCTTGGTCCTAACGTTACTAAATGTTTTCTTCCATATCTCCGTACCTTCTTTTTTCCTTTCAGTTATGTTCAGACTGAAATCGCTCACGGAAGCAATCTTCGCAAGCTTGAAACAACCGCCACCTACATCCCCGAGACAGACGAATTTGAAATTAATACACCAACGCTCAATTCTATGAAATGGTGGCCTGGTGCTCTCGCCCAAACCAGTACTCATTGTGCCATCTACGCTCGCTTGATCCTTCATGGCAAAGATTATGGTGTACACCCCTTCTTATTACAGATCCGTACTGCTGGAACCCATGCTGAAATGCCCGGTATTGAATTGGGTAATTTAGGCCCCAAAATCGGGTTCAACACCGTCGATAATGGTTTCTTACGAATTAATAGAGTCCGAATCCCACGCGACCAAATGATGATGCGCAACTCCAGAGTCACTCGTGATGGCAAGTACGAACCTGCCAAGAACGCAAAGATGAATTATTCAACCATGGTGGCCACCCGGGCCTACATTGTCAAGAATGCAGGTTCCGCACTAGGTCAGTCCTTGACGGTCGCCATCCGGTATTCCATGATCCGTCTTCAAGGTGGAGACCGTATTCCATCTCAAAAGGGCGAAGAGGTCAAGGTTATTGATCATGGTATGCAACGCTTCCGATTAACGACCTCATTGGCCTTGAGCTATGCAATGTTGATGACCGGTCAAGTTATGACGGATATGCATCAGCGCAACTTGAAGAACATGGTCCAAGGGGAACTAGGCCTAATGGCTGTGGTCCATGCAACTTCTTCAGGCTTGAAGGCCTTGATCTCGGACTTGGCTACTGCTCATATGGAGGACGCACGTCGTTCCTGCGGAGGACATGGTTATGCTTGGTGCGGAGGAATGGTTGATGTCTTGACCACAGCCCTACAGGATGTAACCGTGGAAGGTAAAAGGCCCTTCATTCTTTATCGCTTTTCTATCATTTATAAACTCTATCCATTTGAAGCTGTCTTTTTTATTTTTATTTTTTTCTTTCTACTCTTCTCATATTCACAAATATTTGGTTAGGTGAAAATACAATCTTGCACCTTCAAACTTCTCGCTGGTTGCTTAAGACAGCCCTTCAAGCCCTCGAAACCAAAGATCTGTCTTCGGTCCCTGCTGGCTTGCGATCTGCTCTTCAAAAAGGTGACGAAAACATTATGGAGCAAGAGAAATCCATCATTGTCCCAGGACAGCCCATCAGTGGCGAGGCTTTAATCGCTGCATTCTGGCATCGTGAGACCCGCGTTCTTCAAGAAGTCCTGGCCCGTATTACCAAGGACGGAGCTGGAGAGGAGGCTATGGCTAAATCTCAAGTTCGAATGGTCGAGTTATCCAGAGCTCATGGTGAAGGCATGCTAGTCCGTAACTTTTACGAGGCTATTCAGAAAGAGGAACAGGCTATTCATCGAAAGGGTGGTGATGTGACCAAAGGTTACTTGCCTGTTCTCAAGATGCTCTTCGAGTTGCACAGTATCCATCGCCTGTTGGAACAAGCCGGCGATTTCATGGAAGATGGATATGTCTCCAGGCAACAAAAAGCCTGGTGCAAAGACCGTCGTGAGCAGTTAATTGACCTGTTGAGATACGAGTTGATCGGGCTCGTAGATGCGTATGATTTCTCGGACAACCAACTCAATTCTGCCATTGGACGGTATGATGGACGTGCCTACGAATCGCTCTATGAGTGGGCCAAATATGGAATGACCCTTGTTGATAAGGGTAAGAACGGGGGTGTCTTGGGCTTTGATGAAGTTCTGAAGGACCTTTTTGCAGAGGGCCGCCGTTTGAATGGGAATCCTAAAACTTTAGGAAGTAAAGAAAAAAAAAAATTGTTCTAGGTATTGTTGCGATTAGCAGCCATTTATATAGGTTTTTTTACTATAGCTGATTTTTATCACTTTTTATTTAACAAAGATCACTAGATCATATTAAAGACTTCTTTCTTTCGTTCTCGTTACTTATTATGATCTTGGTATCCGGGATACTCAGTCAATCCGAAAAATTGACTAGTGATGGTGCGCTGTTCTAGCAATTCCAGGATCACGACACACAAGAGCTCTGTTCGATGACAAAAAAAAAAAAGCATTGCAGTCTGCAAGGGATATACAGAAGGAGCGTCTTCAAAAGTCCACACTTGATGATTTTTTTCTCGATAAGGATTGTAAATATCATGTGTCGAGGAGGGTTGAAGGGGCCTATCATTGTGGTCTGGTCATTTTTGGAAGAGCATAAAACGCATAAAAAATTTATTGATTAGGCTCATGCTGCGTCGTTACGCAGCTCGGTCCGAAACAAATCTCTTAGCTTGATGTGGAACCTTTATGACTTTAATAGATTTTGCTGTACGCCAAGGGAAAGGATTCAGATCAGAAAGTAAGCAAATACACAGGAGAAACCTAGGACCATGGTGGTGGCCAAGACGGCTGGAAGAACATATGGTGCTGCGTTCTCGGTTTTGCGCCCTTCTACATCTGATGCCATGTCCCGTGCCCATAGTTGCTGTGGAGACTCGTCGTCGACCCGAAAGCCGTTTGAGTGTAACCGAGCTTGAAAGCTTTGATCATTTAGTCGCTCGTTCTCAGTTTTCTCAATAGTAAAAATCCCTGATTGGTAAATCGGTATCCAGCCTGCGTTCGAGAACTGAACCACGAAGCCCTTTGATGAAAATTTAGTAGATTAAAAAAAAAAAAAAAAAAAAAAAAGTTACAAAAGATGCGCTAGTTACTAGCGTAATTAAGGTGGCGACAACAATGATTATTAGTATAACACTTACCTTTCCATGTTGGGTAAGGTCAGTGGGGACGGTGAACTTGAGTGATGAGGTAGTTTCATATTCCTTCGCTATTCTAGCCACAACGCCATCGTGTAGACAGATGCCATCGCACACACCTAATACCAAGAGATCCACCTGCCAGCTTTCAACCGAGACGTCTGTGTGGTCATCTTGTACCACAATATCATATGTTGTCCCAGGAAACCATACTGTGTCCGCATTAGGATTTGTAATTTCAAGCGCGCTAGATACGAATACTGAACATTGAAGTAAAAGGTATGTTGACAGGGCGATATATTTGTGCATGTCTATCCTGTGTACTGGCACGAAAATTGAATTGAAAGAAAAAGGATAATCAATTAAGGATGGACCAAAAGAATCAATGAGCAAAGATACTAAAAGAAGATACAAGGTAAAAAAAGGGTTGTATAATAACGTGAGAGCAAGAGGGACTTTGGTATGTTTTTTTTAAGTGAGTTGTCGTTGACAGGAAGTGTAGTAAAGTTCAAGAGAAAGAAAAAAAAGAAAAAAAAAAAAAAAAGGGGAGGTAATGGTAATGGTCATGGCAGGAATGAATGAATGATGTATGAAAGAGAGAATGAATGTTCTTTCCCACAGTCACAAGGTCATTGGGCGTATTTTTTACACTATTTGTTCAGTTAAAGCAAAGGATCTGTCTCCTTTAAACGCTACAAATCGAAAGTGCGAAAGTGGCGCAGGACGAAACACTACTTGAAGCCGTGTCCAGAGTGTGCGAGTTGTGGTGACTAGTAGAGCTGCAAATGTATAGAAGGGCAGTGTTGTCCGACAGCTGGAGAACAAATGAATGCAAAAAAATAAAAAATAAAAAAAGGAAGGATTGCTCAAGAGGTTGATTGCACAGCTTGAAACTTTAAATCTGATAGAGATGCGCGTCTTGTGCTCACTTCCGAAACATCCTTTTCCTGCATATTAGATCAATTAGATTTGTGGATTGTGAGGGTATTGATCCATGGATACAAATATACCAAACTTCGTCATCTGTCAGTTGATTCTCAAGCCAACCTTGTCATGGCAAGGATCAACAATTGGTCTATAATAACCCGGAATAAATGGGAGAGATTAACGAGCGAAAGTATTGTTCCCATTTGAGCGTCCTTCTTCTGGACCATAGCACTGATAATTCAGTTTTATTGAAGAGCACGTGAGCCCACCGCCCTTCAGTCTTTCACCTATGAATTAATTAATTTACACATTGCTTTTTTCAGAATTACATTCTTGCTCCTACTCAACTCTTCGTATCCGTATGAACATGATTCAACAGAATCCTTAGAGATCCCACTAATCATCCCCATTTCTACCAATTCTCTCAATCAAAACTCTATGCGTCTCCAAAATTTTCGTGATGTAAATTTGTCAAGTTGTTATATAAAAAAATAGTCGTTCCTGGCTGGACTGTTTATTTTGAAGGCGAAGCATTAGATTCACACATTTCATTGCTTTCCTCCGATGTGGATTACATGTCATTGCAAGGATGTGATCGTCTCAAGTTCACGGACATAAAAAGAGATCTGTCGAGCTATTAATCCTTATCAAAAACCATAGTTCTTCAATCACCAGATTCTCTGATAGAAATTTAGTTTCGCAAGACTTTGGAGAGCACTATTGATGTCACAACTGTCCACCTCTTCATCCAGCTTTGGAAGAAAGCCAAACGTTTGCCTTTAGAATGCTTTTCCATCCCTCGATCCCCAACCAACTTCCTTTTGTGCAACGATGACATTGACGAATTCATTAAAATGCGGATAATTAATCCTTACCCATATACACAATTGAGTTGTCTGTATTTTGATTAGAAAACGCCCCGGATTATCTCAGCTCGGAGTCACCTTTTGTTCTTCGGATCCAGCTCAAGTAGGCTCGAGTATTTCTATAAGTCAATGTCTTTTCAAATCACTGGACAGCTTTTATTTGACACATCTTTCATTACGGAACGTCAACATAAAGGACGAGGACATAGCAGCACTTCTTATACAAATGACAGAGCTATGACAGCTGAATGTCCCGCGTTGTAATTCGGCTCACTCTCTCTACGAGAATTGCTAGAAGATGGACGAATGGCTTTGGATAACGGATGCATGTTACGGAAAACAAGACGTCAGAGACATTGTGATACACTCAAAATTTTTACCAGGCTTCATCGATGTAATAGAAATTAATACTCGACTTTTAATGATCCAATTGTGAGAGAGAAGGGTTTGCTGGAGAATGAACTTTGATCAGTCTTCTTTTTTTTTTTTTTTTTTTTTTTTTTTTTGTTAATAAAAAGAAGATGGGAGAGCCATTAACCATTCAAACTGGCCTTTACTGACTACTAATAGCGATCGCTCATAACAAAATCCTCGAATACTTCAGAGCGTTTTGATTACTTAGTGCATACCACAATGAACCTATTACAAGATGTCTGTCTGTATTATTTGGGCAAGATTAGACATCAATGAAGGATCCAACCCCCTCACATCTTACCAATATGATATGGTGATTTTTATTGTAAAATCAATATAAAAAAAATGACAGAATAAGGTAGTTTTACTCCATTAGATCAACATGCATGGTATCCTCCCTATGATGTTGACCAGAACTATCGATACAATCATTCGAGCCGTTTATGATAAAATGCGCAACCTCACACTCGCTGCATTCACTACACTTGTTGCAAATGAATTGACATCCCTTGGGTACTTCACTTTTAGCGATCAATGGTCTTGCCTTGGAAGTGCTCCTATTTGAGTTTGTATCCAAAGCCTCACTATCCAGTGCTTTGACTTCAGGCTCCATTGATGTCTTTTTCTTGGTCTCATGGCTTATCCCTTGGGAAATCGAAGACCGTCCTATATCGACGATAGCTCCAAGTTGTTCCAATAGCTTTCTATTCACTTCGCACAGACCAGTAACATTTCGAATGCTTGCATCAGCAGCGTTAAGAACTGATTGTCTCGTACTCCACTTCAAGCGGACATGACATTGGCCATCCTCCTTTTTGACAATTTGCCACATCCTGACAGAGCCATCATGATATCCTGTCACCAAAAAGCAACCTTCCTCGGAAACATTCCATGCAAGAGTTAAAACATCCCCGCCTACGAATGGGATAACAGTCAAGCACTGAGCTGTCTGTGGATCCCACAATCTTACGGTCTTGTCGCGGCTGCATGAGGCAATGTACTGACCATCACAGGAATAAGACATAACCCTTATACGCCCGGTATGTCCTTCAAGCGTGTGTAAAATAGTTCCTGAACCAGCATCTACCACATTAATAAGCCCTCTTTCGCTTCCAATAATCATCAATCGGCTGGATGGTGAAAATGCGACCATTTCCTGAACCTCCTTGAAATTCATTTCATAACAGAGCTCCCCTGTTTCTGCACTCCGTAGCTGCAGCTTTGCCTTGTTTGAGGAGTTTAATGCAATCCTCTGACTGTCGGGCGAATAAGCGAAATAGAAGAGATACGACCTCACATCCGTCAACTCATATAGAAGCTCTCTGGAGTGGGTTCTCCAGACTCTGATTATCTTGGCATCATTATAACAAGCAACTTGGTGGCCATTGGGTGAGAATAGCATGCACTGCACACTACTTCCATTCCCTTGTAGAGTGTAGATTAATTGTCCTGTTCGCGTGTTCCATACACTCACGCCCCCCTTATTGTGACCACAGGCAATTTGATGGTCAATGGGTGAGAAATCAAAAGCTATGATGCCATCACTCCGATCTTCTGACTCCAAGGTATGAACAAGTTGGCCTGTTTGAGCATCCCAAAGGTAAACTCGCGGATCATTAGAGCGACCACAAGAGGCAAGCAGCTGACCATTAGGCGAATACTTGATGTCGAGTGCTAGGCTTTGTAAGACATGAATGCACTGCCCTGTACCACCATCCCACATACGCACTGTGCCGTCATTGCTGCATGAAGCTATGTGCTGTCTATCTGGCGACAACTTTATGTGTATGATGAGTTTTGTATGACCATATGAACTGTAGCTGGACTGCCGTGATTGCGCGTCCCATAGGCGTACTGTGCTGTCTTCGCTGAATGATGCAACCTGATGGCTGTTGGGTGAATACGCTACGCACCATATATTGCTAGAGTGGCCATAGAAGGTGTTGATCAGTTGCCCTGATCGCACATCCCAAAGTCGTACTGTCTTGTCGTCGCCACAAGTGGCTATCTGTTCTCCACTTGGTGAATATTTTAAGTTCCTAATGAATTTGGAATGGCCAGTAAGAGTATGGATGACTTTTCCTGTTTGCATATTCCACTGAAATGCCTCTCTACGGGAGAACGAAGCCATAAGTTTCCCATCAGGAGAATATTGGACACCATAGAAATCATAATTATGCGTCAAGGCTTTCTTCTTCTGACCAGATCTAACATCCCACACATCTAATGAGTGAGCTTTGAAACCATGAGCGATGAGTTCTTGGCTATCAGGCGAATACACGATTTGGTCAATCCAAGGCCCGCAGCCCTGGAGCTTTAGTATCAACTTTCCTGATGCTACATCCCACAACTGTACTGTCTTGTCTTCGCCTCCACTTGCAATCTGCTTTCCATCAGGTGAATACATCACACTTGTCGCCCCTCCAGTGTGGCCTTCCAAGGTATATTGGAGCTTGCCAGACCTTGCGTCCCACAAATGTACTGACCCGTCCTTGCAAGCAGAGGCGAGACGATCACCACTTGGCGAGTATGCCACATGTCTAACAATGTCTGTATGGTTATCCAAGCTTTGAATCATTTTGCCTGATGTTGCATCAAACACGGTAACCGTATTCTTGTTATGCCATATGGCGATGTGTTGGCTATCCGGAGAGTATTTGAAGTTGTAGCCGCGCACATTGGCCTCTAGCGCAAGGCGCTTCTCCCATGTCAATGTATCATAAATGCTGACGTAGCCCTCGTTGGTGCGCCCATCGTACACAGCTGCAGCTAATGTCTTACCATCAGGCGAAAATGATCCATTGTATACATCGCCTCTTTCGCGAAGAAGTGGCCATTCTCCAAACTGTACCCCTGACATCTTTGCTTCACTCAAGTCTGCTTCTCGAAACCAACAACTACGAAGGCTGGCTTTTCTCAGATCTGCTCCTTGTAGTTGAGCACATTCGAATATACCATGGTCAAGGTCTGCTCCCGGGATCTGAATGCCTCGCAAGTCTGCTTGAATGAATTGCTCCCTCGCTCGAATCAAGATCGTCATTGCATTGGCTGCTGCTACTCGCCACTTGCCATCGCTCTTCGACAGTTCAACGTACTCGTATAGTTGTTGTTTAAACTGTGGCTCCAGTTGAGCACGTTCTTCAAGAAACTGGAGAATAGACGGCTCGTTCACAAAGCTCCTCCATACCAAGGGTGATGTCTCGTCTGGACTGGTCGAATTAATTTCTTGCTCAGTCACATGGTTCTCTTCTGCCTCAAAACTGAATACAGAGCTGATACTATGCCGACGGTGTGTCGATGTCACTTCTTCTTCCCTGCTGCTTACGGTTCTATTCATCGCTTCCTGTGGTTCAAAAACCGCTCGCACCAAGCAGTACTCCAGAATAGACCGATGGACAAATCGATACTGGTTACCTGTGCGGCTCAGGGGCGATGCTTCTCGAAGAAGATTCTTCTCGCTCTCTCTGCTAAAATACTTCTCCTTCCATGTATCCCTATGTTTGGATGGAGAGTAGTCCACCACAGGGTTGCCATCTTGATACTTGTAGATCGCCACAGCTAGCTCTATCAAGTATCTGATTCCATTCTGTGCGAATCCTTCATCACATAATGTTCGGAACACCTTCTTATCCTCTGACACTAATATCTCGCCTAGTCGCTTCTTGCTCCGTTCGAGCCACAACTCTACAAACTTGTCATACAATGTAACGCGCTTGATCTCTGTTTTAGAGATATCTTGATATGGATCCACCATCCGTGGCAATACTTCCAGTGATAGCGATAGTATGAATGGGTTCTTTACAAGATCTTTCAGGCTGGGTACCATCTTGAGTGCCCGCTGATAGTCTTCTATATCCCACATTAGGTCCATAGAACCAACATACTGTTTGATATAGTCATCAATCTGAGCCTCAGAGAATGGTACAATCATAGCTTCTTGAAACAATCCAGCATCTACTTGGTGGTTGCGGTCGATAGGCTGGAAACGATCTCGATAATCTACCCCAAGATACTCACTACGACAGCTGATCACCAACTGACATTCCCATTCGCCTGGCTGATTGAGGCGGTTAGTGACATACAGATTGTTGGTTTGCATGGTCTCGTCGTATCCATCACAGATCAAAATGAATGACCGAGTCATCTTCAGTTCTTTGATTTGTGCATCGGTAAAGTCGTACATTCTTAGCTGTTTCGCGACCATATCTTTAGTAGGGTCATCGACCGATGGCAGATTGATAAAGAGTGGGATCCGGCCATACTTCTTTTGATAAGCTTCCCACAGAGTGGACTCTAGAGTGCGGTTAAATGTCGACTTGCCTGCTCCTGAATTACCCTGGACAAGTAACACTTTCTGATCGCTGTCCAGGAACTCTTTCACTTTGTCCATCAGCAAGAACAGTTTTTCATCACTCGCTTGAGGACTTGCTTTGGCATATTGTTGAATGTAAAAGTCCCGTTCGTTTTTGGCTTCCATCCGCTGTCGCTTAAGTAGACGCAGGCTCTCTTCAACATCAGGTTTATTCTGCACACGATCAAGCAACGATGGGGATGCAGGCGGAGGTAGCGCGGCAATGAAGGGGAACTGTGTTGCTGACTCGCTGAAACAGTCCCTGTACATTTGTTGCTTGTTGGTATCTCCATCTATAGCAAGATCATCCAGAAGTGACTCCGCGGCTAAAAAAAAAAAAAAAAAAAAAAAAAAAAACATATTTAGAGCATATAGTATGCTATTAGTACCTTCTCTTCGCACAATCTAACTAAAATATGGTATCGGGCCTGCTCACCTTGTAGCTCTTCCTTTGGTAATGAGGTTAATCCCTTCAGTATAGTAAGGATCCACTGTTTGACCGCCACATGGTGACCCCAGTCTTTGTCATTTTTGTAAATCTCGCCAAGGAAACTAACCGCATCTTTACGTACCTCCACGGCCCACTCTGAATTGACTGCTATACGTGCTAAGCGCTGACATAACCCCCATTGGAATGCTAGATCTTGTCGGCAGGGTGCCTTACACGCAAGGGCCTTGAACTTGGTGAGCTCGCCTGACTGGAGGAATGTGTCAGTTCCACGGAGTGCTGGATACCACGCAGTTTTGCTATCAAAGCTGAATCCTTCTTCCATACTCTGTCTGAATGCCGCTCCACTCTTGTAAAGTGAGATTACTCCACTGCACACGCTCCGACTCATGCCAATAGCATCTTCCACAGATGGGAGCTTCTTCTGGATATCGGCCAATTCGTCCATAAAGGCATTTAGGTCCAAGCCTTTGACTGCACTCACTACTCCAAACACTCCTCGAGCCACTGCTGATGTACGTCGAAGCATGGATTGCATTGTTGTTTCATCGTTTGGAATATAGAGTAGAGCTTGAGAAGCATAGGCTGCATGATACACCAGATGAGGGTCTGAACTATTTTTTAGTCCTTTCAAGTAGGCTGCTAATGGCTCATGGAGTTGTCCTCGCTTCAGACCCTTGACTTGACTATTGACCATGGCATCGAGCACATGCGAGACTGACACACACAATCGATAAATGTGATCACTGGACTGCCCATGCGTTCCTCGTAAGTGAGAATCAAGCATATTGAGGGTATTGACCAGATCATCAGAATCAAGATACCCAAGAGGGACATGCTGCATCAACTGGGCCAACCCTTGGAGCAAATGAGTCTCTAGCATGATGTTCTGATTGATTCCATTGACCAAAGCCATGAGTAGTGCCCTATACTGGTCATAGTTGAGGACTGGAGCCAGCATCACAACTTCAGCGACAGTAGCCTCGGTCTTGATACCCTCATGAATGAACATTGTAATCACATCTGAAGCCAGGCTATGGAGTCGGTCTTGCTCAGTCAAATCATCTGACCTGGCCAAAGACCACTCTTGCTCCTGGGCTGTGAGCCCTTTTAACGGCTGAGGTGCAGTGGGAAGCAGGCTGAGGCAGTAGGCGAGCTGCTGGGTATCGTTCAAGCGAGCATCCGGATGAGGGAGGTTGCACTTGAAGCCCACCTGAGCTACATCGTGGTCAAATACTCCTGTGGGAATTATTGCAATGTTATGGATTGCTGAAGTGCTCACGACTTTAATCAGCCCCTTCATTTTGCTGATACTAATGTCACTATATTCCTGACCACAGCTGTTGTTGTTGCTGATAGGGTTACTTCCTTGGATATATCCCCACTTTTCTGCTTTTCTGTCACTTTTCTGTGCATCGTTCATGCGACCCAGACGTTCAAATAAGCGAGTGATCTCATAATATGCCGAAGCGATACTTCGACATAGTACTTTGTCTTCGTTGGAAGCAGAGGAGGCAATACGCTTCTTCTCTGACTGCTGAATTCGAGACAATGCAAAGTCTGCATCGAGACATAGCTCCATGAGGACGTCGTGGTCATTGTCTATCCTGTGGGTGTCCTCCATGTAAAGCTTGAAAAGCCTCAGAGCCTTTGATGGTGAAAGGACACCTCTTGTCGAAGTATATGTGGCACCAAACATTGGTTGCTGCCTTTCTTTTTTTCTTTTTTTCTCTTTCTCTTCTATCGACTCTACACTTTTGATTTTTGATGAGGGGAAAGTCGCTTTAAATGACAATGCTAGTTAAAAGGATTTGCTACCTGGATAGGCTAATAGGTGTGAAAGGACAATGCCTTAATGTTTGTGGTTTTGTGTAAAGATGTGAATAATTGGGAAAAGAAACCAAAGAGGGAAAATTGATCAATTTGGATGTTTGCATGATTGGTCACGCCACTGATGCAATTGATAATGAAGCATGAAAGTAACAGAGGTGGAGAAAAGATAAACGGTTGCTGAGGCTGCTTCCAACCCAAGAAGCCTTTTCATGGAATAGGATTTGCAAGCAAGCCAAGAGCGTCTCTTAAACATGACTGACTCCCCTTCATTGGCGCTTCAACTTGAAAGAGAGAGGGAAAAAAAAGAGTGCCAGAAGCCAACCTCTTTTGCCTTTTGGGAAATTACTCTCGACCATTTCCTTTCAAAATCTTTGTAGGCAGAGAGAGCGGCACCTTCATGACGCTTTATGAACTCATTAGTGAACTCTGACGCCCCGATATCTATAAAAAAAATATAATCACCAAGACTATGTGAACGGTCGCACATTAGGTTTCTTTTAAAAATGCAGTAGTCATTCATGACGACAGACATCTAGACTGGCCATTGTCCTGCTGGCATATTTTTATTTTTGATTTATCATAACGAAGAGGGGGACGCTTAAAGTAATAAAACCCATATCCTATGCGCACCTTTTTTTTTTTTTTTTTTTTTTTTTTTGACAGCTCCTTTGATGATACTTGATTCAATTGATAAATTGGACCCCATGTAGTTCGAATATATCGGCAACTGAATCCGCAGTGCGTGGGTTCTCATCCAAATCACCAACCAATTGCTCGATACTAGGCCAGTGCTCTACAATCCATATCGCTTCCTCAGGCCCCATCGCTTGATAACATTCATGGCTGAAACATAAAATCTTTAGGTTCTTCAGGCCTGCTAGTTCATCCAATCCAGCTTTCAGTGTTAGGCCCAACGTCTTATTGGGGCCATCTGTAGCAGGAGCCGTTAAGCTGAGAGAACGCAGCTTAGTCAGCTTCCCTAGTCGCTCAAATACGGCCCGCTGTTTCGTCAAGGCTTCTTCTTCAGATCTCTGATCTATATCCACCACTAATTCGAGTCCGAGTGTAGTTATTTCAGAGCAGACCCACTTTGTGCCATTCGCAATTTCCATCGCCGTGATCCTGAATGCATGCAGGGTCCTCAAACGAGGGCAATTAGATAAGATCGTTTGAGCAATACCATTTGCCTTGCTACTTTCTTGTACGCATTCCTTACTGGCAATCAATTCCCTGATTGTATCGCAGAGTCGGCCTGCCTGCGTCACTCCCCCTCTATTGGCAGAGCCATTCACTCGCCCTCCTCTGTCTACTAGTAGTTCTTGGAGAGAAAGCCATCCAAAACAGGAGTGCGGGAGCATGAGGGCAATGACTTGAGCCATCTGCCTAAGAATGGCTGCCACTTCCTCGTCGCTAAGTGAGCATTCTAAATATAATATCTCCAAATGTGGAAACATCCATGGATACTGAAAGAATGCTGTCCTTGAGATAATACTATTAGTGTCTTCTTCTTCTCCGTCAATGTTCTGGTTTTTAGTACTGATAGTTAGTGATCGTAGGTTTGGACACTTTCGAACTAGCATTCCCCAACAATGTGCTGTTGAATTATGACGAACGTAATCGATGTCTGCAATATATAGATATTGTATGTAAGGAAGAACGAAGCCGCTGTTCTCATTCACGGTATAGTGAGGGAACTGAAGAATATCTATGTCGCTCATAGTCAATGATCTAAGCTTCGGACAAATCAGGAAAAATAAATCGACCTTGTCGTCCTTAACTACCATGTTTGAGATATTCAACATGCAAATATGAGGGCACTTTAAGAGTGTCCTCCAAAATTCTAATCCAGAAGGGTCGTTTGGGCCGTAATATGATAAGGAACATTGGATCCCTCGTATTGTCGAGCTGTGAGCCTCGATCAAACGATTAAACTTCGCCAGAACTGAAGGATAAGGATTATTTAGTAAAATGGCCCGTATGAACTGGAGACGACTGCACCCTCTCAGTGACATGTATTCATCAGGGTGGTATCCTTCAAAATAGAGCTCCTTGATATACTTCTTATGGTCCTGAAGCACTTTGCCTACCGGAATGATCCTCGTCTGTCTATGATTAAGGCGAACGATCTTCCATACACGCTCGATTAAGACCCTGTAGAAAGTGCTGGAGACGCGGAGACAGGTCACGAGGTCCCTTTGGTTGAGGAAGCTACTTACGTTTCCGATTATTTCAGGAATGTCTAATGGGTGTTGCTGCATGATGTCACAATGGAATTGTAATGAGTAAAGCATGAAAAAGATGATTTACAACGCTTTTATAATTTGGTGGCAACACGATTTTCCATGACTTGTTTTTTTTTTTTTTCTGTTCTTTTGCCTAACAATTCATTCATTCATTACTCTCTGCTGCATGGCCAATTTGTATTGATATAATGAACTATCAAATATACTTCAGTAATGCTGTAATGCTACCTGAATTTTTATTCAAGCAATCAAGGTAGTAAGCCGATAAGACAACTTTTTTTTTTCCTGTACGCCAAACAGATCAAGCAAACTGAACAAACAAACTCTATTGGAACTAGCACAGACCACACGAGTCCAAGAAAAGATTATCCAAGGTTGTCAAGGCAGCCGGTAAGCAGAAGATGAAGCAGACAGAAATAAGAGCTTATTAGATATCTCACTAGCACCAAGGTATCAAGAAGAACTAAATACGATTCATTCGCAAGAGAGGACTGTTTTCAAAATAAAAGAAAAAAGAAAAAAATCCCAAATTGCAAGCACTCTTCATATGAGAAAAAGGGCCCACAATGACTCGATGCTGTCGAAGGCTGGTGACAAAAGAAAAGAAAGCGAGTCACTATGCCTCTGAGAACGTATAAAAGGATCTCGCTTTCCTCTCTTTCTTGGTTCCTCACCGTAAAGCAGCAGGCAACTGTTCAACATGTTTCCACAAATTGATTGGCGCAACTTTAGCCGAGTAGCTCATGATTTACGGGGAGTGGAGTTGAAGCACAGAGGGTCTGCCCTGTCGGGACCCAGGTAGATCTCCTCTGAGTCTGCGCGTGCAACCAGACCACCTCCTCGCGGTGCGCCCTGCGCTGTCTGCTCTCAGTAGCAGGCAGGCGAAGAGTCTGGCAACTCTTTCATCATATTTATGCTATTCACAACTACTTGTCAACACTGTGGTATTCATGGTAGACATGGCTATATGGTCAACCCTTGCTCTTGCCTCCGAGTCTTGTCTTGGCAAGTGCGCCACCAAATTGAAACATGTGCACTCATCAATAACATCTTCAGCCTTGTTCAGACGTTCTTTTCTTAAAGTCACTGAATGGACGCCTCCATTTGGACAATTCCATCGCAACATGCATCTTTAGCCATTGAACATTTCTGAATTAACTCAATTGCTCGAAGACATGAGCATTCTTGTTGGCGAAAAAAAAAAAAAAAAAAAAAAAAAAGAGAACATGCCCATTCCGGGCCACAGAGTTCTTACGAGCTTTCTGACACCATCACATGAGGCTCTAAATTGGCCAGTTTTTATGTCCTGCCAGAGAAAGCAAATACGTGACTTGGTAGCATTTACATCCAGCCGCAGAAGAGATAGTTTGAAGGAATAGCAAAGACAGAGAGTAGGGATCCTCAGGAGTAACTACACAAAGCTATCCAGCTTGGATATCCTGGACTAAGCGTTTAAAGAAACTAATCCTCCTCTTTCCAATACATTGACTGCCAGCCAAATCTTACCTATCGCACTGATGCATTAATGGACTTCCCTGACTAAGCTGATCTCCTTCTCGACGGCCTCATAAAGTCAAGGCTTTTGTTATCCAAATTGACAAGACGAAATACCTGAAGTTTTCCCTCAATTGATGCCATGATCCATGGCTGTTAGTGGTGTATTGCTTGTGGTAGTAGTATGGTATGGATGATGGTTAGGAGCAAAGACAGTAGGGATTGAGGGGGTCAATGAGCAAGGGCAGAATGGAAAGCTTTAAAGAAGGAAGAGTGTTAAGAAAGATGAAGATAAAAAGAGTTTAAGGGAAAGAGGGCTTCGACGAAGCCATTAAACAAATCGAAAATCAAGGGACAGTTTGTCCCACCCATAGTAGATTCCTGCCAACTTGATGTCATTGCCATCTCAGTCGCAGACTACAGTTTTGTTCCAGGTCTGTCAACACTCCTTGCTGTGCTATCGCTTAGTGTTCTCAAAGAGGAGTTCCTGATCGTCGGTTCCATGGTATTTAACGATGGATTATGTACTAAACATACAGTGCTGGCTTCTACAACAAGGGCGGAGCTTGTTCACTTAAAATGCTGCCTTTACCTCCAGCACAAAGGCCTGTGGATGAGGAAAAAAAAAAAAGAAGTCCGAAGGGTGAACAAGGAGGTGGCAGCTGTAGTTGGTGTGCTTGCGAATACGAATAAGTCTGTTGGGATGGATCTTCGAGGCGGCTTAAACAGGAGTCGCCAGTTTATTTGAACCAGTCTTTACTTCAGCTCTAGTCATTCATAACAAAGAGAAGTGTATAGCAGAAGCAGGCGCCTTGCATTCGACTTGATACTGAGCATTTGCTAAACTGTTGATATTGACCATTGACATGGAGGATAGATCGATGCTTCTTCTATAGGGATGGATGCATGGTTGACACTTTTATTGGACTCATCCGTGGCAATCTGCAACTACAAAGTTCTACTTCTTACTATTCCGTTATCTCGCTGTAACTTTGATTTACGCAGTTTCAAGTTTGGGGATCGTAATGTGGGACCTAAATGAACACAATGCCTTGGTCGCGACAAAATGCTTGGAAGAGCCTTCAAACCCCACAATTGTGAATGTATTGCTCTTGGCTGTTAAGGTATCGTAGACATCGAGATCACTGAATGTGACAGTAGCAGGCACAACATTGTCACCAATGGCCAAGTGTAGGTTTGGGATTTTTACAACTCCCACCAAGTCTCCAATATCGTTGAGCATGTTGAACACAAGGTCCCCCAACTTCATGCTAAGCTCCGAAGGGTTATGGATATTAATCATGGTTTCCGCTGTGGTGACGTCCGAGTCAGCATCCTTGGTGAGACTCACTAGCTCCACATACTCCATCTCTGGGAAGTTATTCAAACCTCGTATAGTGACGGGGCCTGAGAGGCCGACGTTAGTAACGGTTAGAGTCTTGGAGGAATCAGCACCACTTGAAGCACTGTTCTCTGAAAGGCTAGGAAGCTTGAACCAAACATCAGTGTTCCCACCAACGGCAAATGTATGTGAGGGTTTGGTTATCAGATTCGCGATAAAGTTGATGAATCCATCCTCATGTCCTGGTATAACGTTTAAAGAAGTCTTCGCAACCGGGACCATGAGAGTGCTACCTTGGACCTCGGCAGAGACGCTTGGAAACTCTAACCTACCGACTGCGACACCATTGTCCTTTTGTTGGAAAGAGAGAAAAGAGGAAGAATTGTCAAAGCTTTGATTCATTGTTCAGTCGCGGAGATGTCGAAATATGCAAGATATTTTACTTACAATGATATTTTGCTAAGGAACCAAAGAGGAGAAAGAGTAAGAGAATATTAGCCGCTATTACTTTTCTTTTGATGACCTCGCAGTGGTCCTTGTAGGGAAACAGGTCATCTACTTACATGAGCAGCAATCTTGCTTATAGGCCAACTGATTCCAGGGAACGAGGCCAATTTCACCTTCAGATTTGGTAAGGCCACAGGCATAGACAATGGCTCAGAGCTTGTGAAATCGATATCGAACTCGCCAAGGCTAAACTCTCGGACAAAGCCGAAATCAGTCTATATGATGTTAAAGAAAAGAGAATTATAAATAACTCTATCAATATTGTATATACTCTACCTCAAAAAGGATTAATAACAAAAGGGAAGCAAAAGAAAAAATAACTTACCGCGGCAGCTGCAGCGCATTCTGGGGTCCAAGCATCTTCACCCTTCATGAAGGCACTACAGTATGAATATATAACCATGATAAGTTTGCAAAGTAGTTTTTCCTTCAAGGTGATGGTATTTATCTATAAATCACAACTATAAATACAGCAGACATTTACCTCGCGAAACAACCGATAACTTTGGTTCCATCGATAACTCTCTTGGACATCGATGGCATTGCCAGAGCGGTGGCAGTGAATGCAATAGCGCTTGTAGCTAGGACTTGAGTAGAGACTTTCATGGTTGAAGGAACTGTGCTTTTTGTTGTATTTGTTATCTTGATTGAAGGGTGGAATGTGGAGGGATATTTATATCAAAATCACAAAAGCTAAGAGTAACCAGATTCTAGTTTGTAAAGAAGGGGTTAAAAAAAAAAAAAAAAAAAAAAAAATAACACATAAGAATAGAATAGAATAGATTATAGAGCCACTTCTCCTCAGAACTGTAGCAATGCTACTTCAGTCATTTACATGTACATTCCGACTACTTACTGTTCCGACTCCTGGGCTGTTAATCTAAACTGGCTTAAAGTAACAACTTTTATATGAAATTCCATAGTTCTAGCCAAATTGAGCACAGCAGTGGCAGAGATGCCACTCTCATTTCAGTTACCCCTTTGCGTTTAACCCTTGAGTGATAGGCTGTTTTGCTCCATATCAGGGTGTTAAGGTATTACCATTGGTCAAAATAGTTCTCGATCTCACCAATATACTATCCCCGGACAGAATCAACTCCATTTCACCCAAGACGGCATTCTTAGTTCTGAATGGAGGGGGACAATTACGGTATCTACTCTACTTATCGCAATGTCCCCAACCTCATAGTTAACCAGCTCGTACTCGAGGCGTGTAGACCTTTGAAGCTATTATACAACCCCTCCATTGTCAAAAATAATGGTAATATGACTTCTTTTTAACTGCTCAAAGAATGGATGGCTAGCAGAAATACGGATATCTCGATCGCATATACACATTGCTAACAACAGTTTAGGATATAGCTTAAAAAAAGAGTAGAAATAAAAATGAAAAAGTATGGGATATCTTCATCTTAAAGCCGTAAGCATTTGTAGCCGGTCCAATGCTTTCTAGGCATGAACACTGACTTACTCTGAAGCATTTAGGCATCAATGCTTCGGTTAACGTGATCCTTAGGAGCTTGATTCATTAAACTTCTGAGATACAGAGCATCAACGTATCCTTGGGAGCTTGTCTTTTGATAGCACTCGAGAGCTATCGAATAGTCTTTTGGTACTGCTTTATTGTGTTCGTACATATAGCCTAGGTAATACTGAGCGGTGTCGTGTCCTTACTTTGCTGTATTGAGATGCCAGTCAACGGCAATGGAATAATCCTTAGGAACCCCTTTGCATTGAGCATGCATGTAGCCTAGGTCACTCTGAGCAATGTTTTTTTTTTTTTTTTTTTTTTAATTGACTGCCTTAAGGAACCAGTCAATGGCAACCACATAGTCTTGTGGAGCTTTGGCCATATGCGTACATGTAGCCTAGATTATTCTGAGAATTACCATCCCCTTGGTTGGTTCCTTTAGGAATCAGCCAACAGCAATCGAAAAGTCTTGTGTACCTCTGTACCTCGAGCATAATGTGGCCTGGATTGCTCTAAGCGACGACATTTGCTTGCTCAGCTGTCTTGAGGGACCAGTCTGTCGCATATTTCGTCTAGCTGCATATGAATATCAATACGTATAGACGTACAAAAAGGGACTTAGCACTACAGTCTTGATGCTACAGCTTATTCAGTAGTCTTAGCGTAGCATGAAGGAAAAACTAATAAATACTTAAACGATGTGGTACTGTGCTCCCCATTCAATTCTCACTTATCTTCAACCTTGCGGTTATTATTGCCCACAGCTCATGGCTTTCGAATAGTCCTGTGAAACCCCTTTGCCCTCAAGGTGTATAAACCCCAAACTACTCTGAGCATCATCGCCTCTTTGCTTGAATGCCTTGAGATACCGCCCAAAGGTTTTCGAATAATCCTGTGAGACTCCTTTGCCACGATCATAAATGTAGTCTTGCTTCCTTTGAGTAGTGACATTTAGTCCGAAGATCGTTCTGAGACATCTGTCAATGGCATTCGGTTTATTTCCTGAGCTCTCTTCGGGACATTTTGCTTGCGCTAGCCCAAGCGGTAGCATCCCCTGGCAGAGTCTGATAAAGTCGCAGAATCATGACTTGGGGGACCCTCTAAGAGAAGCTGTGTTACTGTTGAAGAGGCTGCGCCATTTTGTCTTCCGAAAAGATCCTCTATAGCTTCCTTGAAAACTTGGTGGTTATCGTTGTTACTTATTTTGACGGGAATAGAGGCGACTGCTTGACATGCCTCTGCGACTACTGGCTTTTTCATTCTTCCTCCTTGAACCATTGTCCGAAAGGAAATGGTTATATCCGGTACAATTTTTGGCTCGGTATGGATTCGGAGCGGCTTCGTACTACTTTGCACTGTTGGAATGGTTGTGTCCACATCAAATATCATTGAACATCAAAACGACCGTTATCACATTATGAGGAGTGCCAGCAGTAGACATTCACCACTATCATCAGGAGTATCATTATTTTTGCTGTCCTTATTATTCAAAACTATCGCTCATGAGAAAGGATAGAGTCGCTTTGCCTTTCTTTATATGGACTGCATCTTTGTAAGCAGACACAATGCCATTCCAGCGGATGATATACCATTGTGTTTGACGGTCATACCGAGGCTCAATATTGTAAGTCTGACACTGGGATTGGTGGCCATCCAAATTGACAAGACGAAATACCTGAAGTTTTCCCTCAATTGATGCCATGATCCATGGCTGTTAGTGGTGTATTGCTTGTGGTAGTAGTATTGTATGGATGATGGTTAGGAGCAAAGACAGTAGGGATTGAAGGGGTCAATGAGCAAGGGCAGAATGGAAAGCTTTAAAGAAGGAAGAGTGTTAAGAAAGATGAAGATAAAAAGAGTTTAAGGGAAAGAGGGCTTCGACGAAGCCATTAAACAAATCGAAAATCAAGGGACAGTTTGTCCCACCCATAGTAGATTCCTGCCAACTTGATGTCATTGCCATCTCAGTCGCAGACTACAGTTTTGTTCCAGGTCTGTCAACACTCCTTGCTGTGCTATCGCTTAGTGTTCTCAAAGAGGAGTTCCTGATCGTCGGTTTCATGGTATTTAATGATAGATTATGTACTAAACATACAGTGCTGGCTTTTACAGGATAGAGCTAGTTAAAACTAAAAAACTGAACAAACTGTCTTTACTGGCTCTAATGAGTAAAGAGGTATGCACTGATGCGTGTTGATGACCATTGATTATATATTTATATTGCGGGAGCAAGCACGATTGCTTCTCAATGGTTCCTTCAGGTCTGCATTTTCAACTGGATTTTAATTGGAGTGACTACTACAATCGCCTCCCTGTACGATACCTTCTTATTGATCGTTGCTACTGACAGTGCCGACAACAGCATGTACAGGCAACGATGGAAAAACAAGCACTATACTACGTTTAGCAGCTATGCTTTCTGCTTGCCTGACTAGGCCACCTACACTGAAGGAGTACAAGGAGCACTGCTAATCATTGTCCATTCCCCTTCTATTTTATTTGTGCCTACAAAGATGCTATACAGGCGCTCCTACTCTACATAGCTTCACAGCCATCGATCCCTGAAGCGCAAACTCAGTCTTGTCTGCTCCAATCGTCTCAATGACGCGCATCCATAGATCTCTATCGTACACCCTTTTTTCCCCATCAGAGCACCTTTGTATCCAAAAAAATTAAATTAAAAGCGATATCTAAGCCCCATTTAATTTGGGTATGAAATAAGGATTTTTATAGGCTCGTCACCAGCCTGAGGACGAAGCGCACGTGTGTTTACACGTGCTGCAAGGCAAGCGTGCCTAAAAAGGCAACTGGTGGCTTGCTCTTGCAGATGCTTCTCTCTCAGGCTGGAATCAAAAGTCGACTATTAGCTGGCGACTTAAATTTTTTGAATTTTTTTTTTTTTCAAAGTCAAAATCATATGGAAGAGCGTACAAAACACATGCAACTCACATTCATGCTTATATGGAGTCAATCTGGCATATATAGATCGGATACACATATACTTTTCAACATTAACTTTTATCTTTCTTTCTCTCTCTCTTACCTTTCTTCTCCCTCTCCCTCTCCCTCTCCCTCTCCCTCTCCCTCTTCCTCTCTCTCTCCCTCACCACCTCACTCTTCCCCTCGCCTTCACCCCTTCTCTCACTCTCATTGCGCTCCCATTGCAATCTCATTACACACCTGCTACACACTCATTACCGACCTGTAGTTTTCTCTAACATTTGCAAAAAAAAAATTAATAAAATATTTTGCAACATGCCAAAAAGCAAGAAACAGACGAAACGTGCCACTTCTTTGAGAGCCGTTTATAACGTGATGGCAAAGCATAGGCTTTCGCTGAGGGCTTTTTTGAAAGCCTCGTTAGTGTCGCAAGACTCTAATATTAAGCGTAAGGTTAATTTTTTCTATGCAAATGATGGTCCTGCAGAAATTATCGACCTGTGGCAGCGAGGCATTACGGACCCGGAGCATATGAAGAGTGCTCTTTCTGGTGCTATTGAATTTGTTCTCCATTCTGCAAAGGATGAGCTCAGGGAGGTTACAGCAGATAACACGTTGCGACTTCCATCTAATGGTGTTTGTAAGGAGAGAACCGATAAGTTTTCACTTCAAAATATTGCCAACAGATTTCAATCCATTGCTCCTACCGTTTATTCGCTCCTGAATGGCCTTACCAGAGCGAATAAATCAAGTTCCAGGGATGCTACAACAGTAGTTCCTGTCATTGCAAGTATCTTGGGCTTCTTATACAGCAACAGATGCAATTATCTTCAAATGATGACTGGATTATATATGTTTGGTAAAGGTGCGCCTGTCAAGCTTGTCAATCTTTTCTCAAAGGCAGGACTTTCAGTTTCTCATCCCACAATCATGAGGGGTCTAAAGGCATTAAGTACGGACTCACGCGATCGTATCCAGGCTACAGTAAGAGAAGTGCCTTGGTATATCGTATACGATAATATAAATATGGCGTCTCACAAGCACCATCAACGACTTGGAAACAGGGACATATTTGTAAGTGGAACTACAGCAACTGCAATCGTCTCAAATGTTGCAGCCGAGGAGGAGATAAACTTCAAGCCCACACAATCCCTTCGCCTACAGGACTTGATGCCTACTGATGACAATGAAGCTCATCTTCGAAAAGTTTTTCAATACCACTTGGTCGGAGTTCTACTCCGAAATTTTAAAAGATTTGATGGGCAATCAATGCCAGCACCTACAAAGCACTTACTGACGCTCGAAAAGACGAAAACTTTTCCGCTTCCATCAATGCGTATTGACCAAGGAACGATTCGCGGTAACTTGGAAGTCTTGGAATTTATAACGGAAGCTGCGCTGGAACTCCCGCATGAATGGTTTGAGGGACGAAGAATACTCATTGCTGGTGACCAGCTGACGGTCAGTAGGCTCCGTTCATTGAAGGAATTACGTGCAGACGATATCTCATCATACCACCGCCTTGACTGGGTCATACCTGTCATTCAGTTATTCCATCTTCAAATGCTTCTGGCCTCAACAATTTTGCGTACCCATTATGGCACTGCTTCAACACCTGGTTCAATTGCGTTCAATGTATCGTTGCTTGAACGAAAGAGGGTTTCCCTAGAGAAGCCTGATTTTCATGCCACAAATGAGCTTCTCCGCGAGTCATTTGATGCACTAGTACAACGGGCATGGGAGCTTACTCTACTAAGTACAAACTTGGAAGAATTTGCGGAAGGTGTCTCCGATGAAGTACTTAAAATTGAACTCATGGCGAAAGTGGACACACTAATTGATAGATTTCTTCTGACTGGCTCCTTAGAAATCCTCGATGGGACCACATCTAGGAATTCCGCCTTGTTTCTCCGTGACATGCTTTTTTACTTGGAGCTATCGTCTGCGATCAAAGCAGGTGATCATGGGCGCATTGAAGAGATTCTAAAATGGATCACAATAATGTTTCAAGCCGGATCAACAAAAAACTATGCAAATGAACTTCTGCATCTACATTGCGGCTTTGCTTACTCCTGGTCCAAGCAAACAAAGGATGCCGTTAGATCTTCATGGCTAGTCAATACCACTGGCCAACCAAACCGTTGGATACCAGCAGACCTTTACCAAGAGCACAACAATTTATTGATCAAGAATTTATTTAAAGCGAAACGAACCTGTGACCACTGGGAAATGGAGGAAGAGACACTTTCTGTCAATGTTCAGACTCTCGGTGATCTATCGGACCAAATGGAGATTGATTTTAATATTCCATACACAGGCACTAAACATGAAAATATGTCGATGAGCGATGACATCTCAGCAATCCACAAGTCATTAGTAGAGTATTATATCTTTGACAACATACCTCAGGAGAAGAGGAATCATCCAAACTTTGGAAACGCCACATCAGTGGCTAATCTCCTCATAGAAGGCATAATAAAAATGAATGAAGGCAAGCGCATCCAATCATTCGTCAATTCAGTCTGTGTCCGGAAGCAGGGTGGGGATTTGAGCGTTGACAATGATATGAATGTAGATAATGAGACGGAGATTGAAGACGAGGAGGAAGATATGCAGGACGATATTGTTGGTTTTGATATTACTGATTACGTCCATGCGACCTGTGAACAATAAACCAAAGAGATTCTGTTTGCTTAATTTGTTTATTGAATGATAAAAATCTTCATGGTTCCCAAGATATAAATTTTATATTATTTTGTGATGTTGTTGGACTACTTAGCTCTTTGCGCTTTCGTGAAGACCGAGATGTCAGTTTCTCTTTTCTAGGGTGCTCCTGCGGTTGTTCCTGCGGTGGCTCGTGCTCTTGTAGTCCTTCTTGCAATGGTTGTTGACATTGCAGTGGTTGTCTGAGCAGCAACTGATTCAGCGGCGGCTGTAACAGCAGTTGCTGCGTTGGTGGATTACTCAAAATTGCTTGCAATATCTGTTGCAAAAGTAGTTGCTGTTGTTCCAGTGGTTGTTGCAACTCTGATAGCTTGCAACAATGGCATTCTTGGTGCTGTAGAGGCCCTAATGCATCCCATGGTATTAACTGCTTCAGCGGTGGTTGTCGTATTAGATGATGGACTTTTTGCGACTTGAGTAGCGCCTCCAGTCCTTGAATTGTGCTAAATTGCCCATATTGTCTTTCCTGCTGATGCTCAAGCAAATGATGCACTTGCTGTATTGGCTTTGCCTCCGCATCTTGTACTGATGGACGACTCGCTGCTCTTGATTGTGTTCTCCTTGCCATGATGTCCGTCTTCAGATCAACAATCATGTCATCCAGAGTTTTTATATGATCCTGCTTAATGGAGAGCCATGGAATGACAGATTGAACTGACTCAGACGGTTTTATCCTCGCGACTTTTCCAGCAAGTGTTTTGATCATTTTGTTTGACATGATACATTCGAGGCTTACAAAGAGAGAACGACCTTCGTATTGCTCCTTGAAAATGTTATACCGCCATGTTTCAATTGCCTTTACTATCACCTTCCGCTCCGCTTCAGTGAATGATACTTTCGGAAGTATACTACCAGAGTCGCTTGTATCTGCCGCAACTAATCCATGTAAAGATTCCTCTGTTGATGGAAGAGAAGGATTACAGATGTCACAACACCTTGAAATAACTTTATGTTGGTTCCCGAAAAAGTTATTAAGGAGCTCGCGGCGACAACCTGTAGTTTTGACATATTCAACAATATCTTTATCCACATTACCTCTAGAATTACTATTGGATGCCGGGACAAGAAGGATGCCATCCCCTTCTAGATCAGGGTTGCGTGCTGCACGACCAAGTCTCTGAATCAGGGTTGGCAGATTTTTAGGATATCCGTACTGAATGACTCTGATAACATCATTCATGTCGCAACCCATGCCAGCGGCCTCTGTGGACATGAGGACTTGTATTTCGTTGTTTTTAAAATCAGACATTCTTATCTTCTTTAGGGGATCTGACTTCATCGAGTGATATACTGCGACTTGACGACAGCCTATGAGCTCACCAACGTGTCGAGCTGCTGCTTCCGCCTGTCGAATTTCATCAAAATAGACAATTGTCTTGATGCCATCTTTCAGAAATTCGAGATCTTGGTAGGAGGACGCTTTGTATCGTAGTTGCTTTACATGAAGCTGGATATTAGTCCGATCGTTACCATAGTTAAATATAACAGGATTACTAAAATGAAGCGTCTTCAAAACTTCAGAGAGAAGCACTGGGGGCAATGTGGCGGAGACGGCCACAAAGCAGGTTGAAGGAGACACTTTTGCGCGTAAGTGCCCGAGCTTCGCATAGTCAGTTCTAAATTGTCCTCCCCAAGTCCCAATACAATGGGCCTCATCCACCACCACCGCTCTTAATCGGTTCTTCCATTCAGGGATGCTCCAAAGTGAGCTCACACGAGGGTTCTGAAAAATTATCTCAGGCGACATAAACACAGCGCGGTACTTTCCCTTAACCAGATCACTGACTGAAAACTCTGTTCCTTTCTTCAGATGGATGTTTGGGATACCAGATAAGTCGAGTTTTTCCGACTGTTCATCTCCTAGCGCTCTCAGCGGCGTGATAATGACTATAATCTCTTTCGGCCACAGAACTAGTGGAAGAAAATACACCAACGTCTTGCCCCACCCTGTACCAGCAATCAAAATATAATCTTGATGGCGTCCAATTGTCTCCACAACTTCAAGTTGCTCCTTTCTTGGGTAAAACTTGAAGGTATCATAGCATCTCTGACCAACATCATCAGGTAGGATGGAATATTCGCTTGCTGGGTTTGCTGGAGTACCAGTAGCTGACATTTGTTAATGTTGCAAAATATTTTATTAATTTTTTTTTTGCAAATGTTAGAGAAAACTACAGGTCGGTAATGAGTGTGTAGCAGGTGTGTAATGAGATTGCAATGGGAGCGCAATGAGAGTGAGAGAAGGGGTGAAGGCGAGGGGAAGAGTGAGGTGGTGAGGGAGAGAGAGAGGAAGAGGGAGAGGGAGAGGGAGAGGGAGAGGGAGAGGGAGAAGAAAGGTAAGAGAGAGAGAAAGAAAGATAAAAGTTAATGTTGAAAAGTATATGTGTATCCGATCTATATATGCCAGATTGACTCCATATAAGCATGAATGTGAGTTGCATGTGTTTTGTACGCTCTTCCATATGATTTTGACTTTGAAAAAAAAAAAAATTCAAAAAATTTAAGTCGCCAGCTAATAGTCGACTTTTGATTCCAGCCTGAGAGAGAAGCATCTGCAAGAGCAAGCCACCAGTTGCCTTTTTAGGCACGCTTGCCTTGCAGCACGTGTAAACACACGTGCGCTTCGTCCTCAGGCTGGTGACGAGCCTAGGATTTTTAATTAAATAGGATAAAAATGTGATGAACAACTTTCCCTGTCTTCGGGACGAACTCAATTTAAAAAACCATCAGACTCGAGAAAAAGGAAAGGAGATCACCAACATTAACCAGCACGATGAAACTCCAGACATTTATCCTCGCGCTTACATTAGCGATTTCAGTACAGGTCCTTGCAGAGGTACATAATTTCAGGATTAATGGGAGAAAAAAAAAACTTTTGTGACACTAGTTGACATCATATCAAGTGGAGAGGAAGCAGGGAAGGAAAGGGGAATTGATATGAGCGCGAAATGGAATGGACCAATGTATAATATACAGCGGGCCCTTTTTTTTCCTTTGGTTTCTATAATCAGATATTGAGGGGATCCATATATATTTATAGCATGGATCATCAATTTGATGAATTAATACTAATAGTATTTATTTATTTTCCTGACTTCTTTGTAGGAGGTGACGCTTGGAGTCTTTCACAAGTTGAGTGATCACGAATCGTTTGAGAAACGTGGGGAGATCCGCTTTGACGCAGAAGAATGGTTCGAGTTGAAGCAACAACGTGAGCAAGCTTCTGCATCGGCGACTCAATCTGCGAAATTAACATACCAGCAGAGGAAAGAATTGTTGAAGCAAAAACAAGAGCAAAAACAACAGCCAAATCAGAATCAGCAGCAGAAGCAGAATCAGCAATCATCGCCTATTATCTATCAAAATGTTCAAATTGATCCTGATAGCATGGCTCGTTTGGCTGAGGATTTCGTTCTTAATGTGCAAGCACCTGTCAAAGTACATGAGCTGGAACCTGAGCCTGAGGGACCCGAAGTGGATGAGGATGGACAATTTGTTGAAACTCAGGAAGAATTTGAGCAGAGGTTAGAGGAATGGAGGGCGCAGAATGAAGCACAAGAGAATGGAGGCTTGTCGACAAAGACCCCTGGAAGTTATGCATTCTATCAAATCAAGTTGAAAGATGAAACTACAGGCTGGGAGGCAATGTCGTCTATCAAGTCTGTAAGTCATTCTACGTAAACCAACAGTATATATTATTGTGATTATGACTATGACTATTATTATTATTAGTGTTCTTTTTTTGTTTCTAGTATGGACGCGTCGTCTACGGATCTCTACAGCTTAAAAAATCATATGTATATGGCTCGTCATCTTTTGCTAACAATTTTTTTTTTTTTTTCCCTTTATGCTTGTCTAGTGTTTGTTAGTAGCCTCGAATTTCCAGGAGCAAATCACGTTGCATTTGGATAGTGATCGTGAGGTCTTTGCGTTTGATTATTACACCACTGCTAGTCGATGTGAAGACAAGGACAAGCAGGAATTTTCTTTGACTTCCTTGGATCATTTCAAGGATGTGAAGATTGACTTTGCTACAGCTGTCTCTGGGCCCAAGTATGTGTCGTCATTTCTACGATTCTTTACGAGTCTCAACAATGATCCGTATCTTTTTCTTTATTCCTATAACGGTGTAACAACGTGTGTCTATTTTTTTTTTTATCTCCCTTTATTCTCTTTATTCTGACTTTTTTTTCTTCCCCCTTTCTTTTACATGTTGGGGATACATTTCTTTCTTTTTTCTCTCTCCTTCCTTCCTTCCGTTAGGGCGCGTTACGCTAAAGCTCAGGCCATCAAAATTGATTCCCAGACCGGTAAACCCGAAGTTGAAAAGACATTCTTCCAGAAGTATTGGTAAGCCTTTTTTTTTTTTTTTTTCTCTGTTTCTTGCGGCCATTGAATCCTCGGGTCGTGATCCGTTAGAACATTTGGGGGTGAATGAAGAAGGCGTAGAATGCCTAACTGAGACACGTTTTCTTTTTCTCGTCTTTTCGTTATTTGTTATGTAACGCTTTTTTTTTTTATCTCCGTAGGGTGTATATTGTACCAATAGTCCTTATGATGTTATTTACCGGAGGTGAACCGGAGAAAACCGCGGCATAGAAAAGAGACAGAACGCGAAAGGGAATGCGGTTGATAACGTTTTTTGATTTTGATTTTTTTTTTTTTTTTTTTTTTTTTTTAAACAGCCGCATAATGTGTCAAAGAACGCGTAGTAGAAATGGGGAATGGAAAGATTGGGCAAATTGCTTGACTCACGATAGTCAAGACAGACATACAAATTTTAGTTTTATTTTATTTTATTTTTATTTTTTTTTTTCTTTTTCTCAGGATAGATACCGGATATTGTATTAAAGAAAAAAAAAAAAAAAAAAAAAGAGAAGGCGAAAGAAGATTTATGAATTATGAATTAAGAATTAAGAACATAATACAACACAGCACCAATCATTGTCAACCTTTATCAATCATTGTATAGGATGTAAGAAAGAAAGAAAAAGAAAAAAAAAAAAAAAAAAAAAAAAAAAACTGCGCTGCTCCTTTTTTCTAATCATTTTATGATGATACTCCGAACGTATGCATGCATGTAATTATTTACGACGTTAAAAGAAACATCGGAAGGAGGAAAAAAAAGTTGACGATGACGATTGTATGGTTTATTGAAGAAATCTAGAAGTACAGTATACTGGAAATATTTTAAAAAGACAAGAACGTGCGCAAAGCCTAAAAAACGATAGATTCTAAAAAAAGACACAAAGGAAAGGAAAGGAAAGGAAAGGAAAGAAAAAGGAAGGGTGGGAAAATGCCGTAAAGGGGACGTGCGGGGATTGGATCTGGGCGTCTTTTTCTCTTTTGGGTCTGGCTCTCTCCTTTCGATTCTTTCCATGATGCATGGACTAAGAAGAAACATGGATCCAATAATGCGGTTTTTTTTTTTCTCTTGTGTCGTCCTGGGAAAAAGGAATTTTCTTAAACTCCGTTCGTTATTCAATGTTGTCTTTTTTTTGTATTATGCGGGGTCGTGTTGTTGATTTGCGTTACAATATTTTTTTTTCTGCTCTGTTGCGTCTTTGTTTACTTGTGGAAACGGAAGAAGGTAGACTTCTTCTTCAATTCGCGCTTTGAAAGCTTCTGTTTGTTCTTCTTTTTCCTGTCTTCCTTTGACATCTTGTGTTTAGCATGATTAGCATTTTTAGGACCACTGGTCGAGATTTTTTGATCCTCAGCCATATCAGTATCCTCAGCTAATGAATGATACACAAAGAACAAAAAAAGATAATTAGTGAATATTGACGTAAAAAAAAAAAAAGCGCTGATACATGGATGAGTTTTAAAATATCCTTTGTGCCTGAGCCATGACCACAAGTCCTTTCAGCAGCTGACTGCATGGTCGCACGGAACCATAAAAAAAAAAGGTCTGTCCCCAAAAAAAAAAAAAAATAAGGCAAACTTCGATGCAGTTCCAAACAAGGAATCCCAGACGGATATGAACCTCCCCAAATAAACAAAAAGTAATGAATCCATTTGAAAGCAAAGCAGCATTCAATTCTACTCAATAATTCTTTCAAATAGAAAAAACTCTTGTAACTACTTTCTAAGAGATCGATTGGTTCGTTAGATAAGAGAGTAGGCCTTTTTTCTTTTGTTTTTCTTACTCTTCTCGACTTGCATCGGTTCCTCGCCTCGAGCAATAGCCTCAAGCTCAGAAGTCTTTGGGCCTTGAGCATCCTTCTTCAAGCGTTCAGCCAAACGGTGAACACGAGCAGTTTCTACAGGACCAAAAACAGTTTCACGCTTGATAGCACGGAATTTGCGAGCGGACTTTGACCTGAGACCTTTAGCCATTGTGAATGAGTGAATGAATGTGTATGATGGGGTTAAAGGTAGGAAGGGTTGATGAAGAAAAGCTAAAAAAAAAAAAAAAAAAAAAAAAAAGCCTTGTTTTTGTTTGTTTACTTTTTACTCTCTCTGTCTCTTGGATTGAAAAGGAAATGATTGCGTACGTAGCCATACATTGTACGTGCAAAAGCTTATAAAAAGGGTCACATTTCCCCTCAAAGTCAGAAAAAAAATCATCATCATTCACTCAAAGCTTCTTTTCATAAGCAATATAAGCCCAACTTTCCCACCTTTCAAGCAAAAAAAAAAAAAAAAAAAAATCTTCTAACCCTCTCTCAAATTTACCCTAAAAAAAAAAAATGAAGTTCATCACCCTTGTCGCTGCTCTCCTCGTCTCTGCTGCTGCTGTCTCTGCTGCTGCTATCCCTGTCCATGTCAAGGATGCTGTCGCTCTTCAGGAGGAGCAGATCCAACCTCAGAACCCCGCTGGCGAGCCTGCTCGTACGTATCTTATTAATTTTATTTGTCTCTTTTGCCACGTATGCATCATGAATCACTAAATCTGATATCACGCGTATATCTTTTTACTTTTATTTTTATTAATAATAATAAAAAATAGCCACTTCCTTCAAGTCTTACATCGTGGTCTTCAAGTCGACTGTTGCTGCTCAGTCTATCGAGAAGATCGAGCGTGAGGTTTCGTTCCTTGGTGGTAGAATTGTTCACCGCTACAACACTGTCCTCAAGGGTTTCTCTGCCTACATCCCTGGCTCCGTTGTCTCTGCTTTGAAGACCAACCCTGCGATTGACTACATTGAGGAGGATGGCACTGGTGAGTTTTCTCTTTGGAGAAAGAAAATCCCTACTGTCAAAATGGGGTTAAATGTATTTCTTTTTTTTTTTTTTTTTTTGCTATTATTACTGACACTGTCTTCGGTTTGCTATTACCTTTTTCTCCCTTTTTCTCCCTTTTTCTAGTCTCCGCCCTCTAAAGAAAAAAAAAAAATCGTATTTTCTTTTATTGCATTTTGCATGGACCGGTGGAGGGGGGACTTGTGTGTTCCATAACACCCTCCGCTCCCTCAAGTTTTCTTTTATATTTTTTTCTACTATTTTCATTAACACACTTCAATAGAGGGAGAACACAAAATACCACAAAGCATCACATACCATAGCATAATGCATTTTATCATATTTTCATAAAAAAAACTTTTTTTTTTTTAATTTCAACATTCATCTATCAATCCTTTTTATCAATAAAGCCTTCTTTTTCTTTTTATTACTTTTTATGATTAATGTGCAAAGCAACGCCGAGCAACATTTACTTTAAAGTCTTTAAAATTAAGTTCGCAAGCCAGGAATGCATGCGCCACGTTCCAAAAGGAACAAGTAAAGATAAAGATCATCGTGCCATAAACCGTTAACCACCCCTTTCTTTCCCATACCCTTCATGTAGCCTCCTAAATCATTTTTTCTCACATTTACCACTACAACTAACTCTTCCATCCATTCATTATTTCATTCCTTCCTTTTTGTTTTTAAAAAAGCCCTGATACTTTATCTTTATTATCTTCTTTTAGAGGAAAAAGAAGAAAAAATCATGCGACAGAGGAAGAAATGAGGAAAAAGTAGAGGGAGAGACTTAGTGTAGGTGGGGGAGAATTTTTTTTCTTTTTTAAAATTTGATTCCCTGATATGAAATACTCTCCTATTATCTATTTATTTATTTTTTTTCAAGCATAAGCATAAATGATAGGAAATTAGTGCGTCTGGATGTGCACGGAACCAGTTCTAAATGCCAACAACAGGCTTTTATGCGCACGGGGTTTAATTTAATGTGCTTTGGGGATATTAACGTGCCTCTATCTCCCTCTATTCTAATCATACCCTACCCAACCAATTGAGATTTATTGCTAGACCAGAGCACTTTTTAGTTCATCTAATTGCACGATATGTACTTTAAAAAAGCATCTATCGCTTACCTGAATGGAAGGATATGTAATCTATCTTGTTCTTTCATTATCGGTGGATTATGACTATTAGGAGATAGCAACTCAAGTTGGTATATTTAAGAGTAAACCTGCTAGGGAAGGATCTGCGAGGTGATCCAACTTTCTACTCTATTGCATCACAGAAAAGAGTGTATATCGTAAAAAGCAGACGAGGTTGAGCATTATCATGGAGAAACAGTTCAATGGCTCTTTACAAAGGACAGATGCATAGTTAATGGTTAGCTCTTTTATTGAACTGATCTGTGGTATTTCGCAACTATGAATGCACCACTTCTTGCTATTCTCTGATTTATGCTGCCTCAAATTTGGGGATCGTAAGGTGGGATCTATATGCTGATAATACGGCGTCCGAAACTAAGTGTTTCGCAGTGCCTTTAAAACCTGCAAATGTGAATGTGTTGCTCTCGCTTGTCAGGGAATCGTAGATATCGGAATCGGTGAACGTGGTGGTGGCTCTCATAAAGTTATCACCCCGGGCCAAATTGACGTTCAGGAGCGTAATGGTTCCCTTCACGTCTTCATCAGCATTGATCAAGTTGAATACAAGATCTCCCATTTTAATGCTAAGCTCCGAAGGGTTATGGACGTTAATCGTGTGTACTAGTGTGGTGACACCCGAATCAGCATCCTTGGTGAGGCTCTCTAGCTTCACATGCTCTACTCTCTGAAGGTTATCCAAACCTCGCACAGTGACGGGGGCCGAAATACCGATGTTGGTGGCAGTAAGAGTCTTCGAGGAATCAGCACCATTGGACTCACTACCACTTGAAAGGCTAGGGACCTTATACCAAATATCAACATTCCCTCCGATGGCGAATGTATGCGAGGGTTTGGCAAACAGACTCGCAATAAAGTTGACGAATCCATCTTCATATCCTGGTACAGCCTTTAAAGGAGCTACTCCGACATTGGATTTGAGCATGCTGCCTTCGACCTCGGTAGGGGAGCTTGGAAACTCTGACATTCCGACTGCGACACCATTGTCCTTTTGTTGGAAAGAGAGAAAGAAGGAGGAAAAACTGTCAGCACTGCGATTCAACCTTTAGTCGCAGAGGATGTCAAGGTATGCAAGATAAGCTACTTACAATGATGTTATACTAAGAAGCCAAAGAGGAGAAAGAGTAAGAGGATATTAGTAGTTAGTACCTTTTCTTCTGTTGATCATGCAGGGTTCTTTGCAAAGAAGCAGACCATCCACTTACACGAGTAGCAAGCTTCTTAATAGGCCAGCTGATTCCAGGGATCGAGGCCAATTTTACTTGCAGATTCGGTAAGGTTAAAGGCATAGAAAATGGTTCAGTGCTTGTGAAATCGATATCGAAATCGCCAAGGCTAACCTCTCGGACAAAGCCGAAATCAGTCTATATGATGTTAAAGAAAAGAGAATTATAAATAACTCTATCAATATTGTATATACTCTACCTCAAAAAGGATTAATAACAAAAGGGAAGCAAAAGAAAAAATAACTTACCGCGGCAGCTGCAGCGCATTCTGGGGTCCAAGCATCTTCACCCTTCATGAAGGCACTACAGTATGAATATATAACCATGATAAGTTTGCAAAGTAGTTTTTCCTTCAAGGTGATGGTATTTATCTATAAATCACAACTATAAAGACAGCAGACATTTACCTCGCGAAACAACCAAAGACTTTGGTTCCATCGACAACTCTCTTGGACATCGATGGCATTGCCAGAGCAGTGGCAGTGAATGCAATAGCACTTGTAGCTAGGACTTGAGTAGAGACTTTCATGGTTGAAGGAACTGTGCTTTTTGTTGTATTTGTTATCTTGATTGAAGGGTGGAATGTGGAGGGATATTTATATCAAAATCACAAAAGCTAAGAGTAACCAGATTCTAGTTTGTAAAGAAGGGGTTAAAAAAAAAAAAAAAAAAAAAAAAAAAAAATAACACATAAGAATAGAATAGAATAGATTATAGAGCCACTTCTCCTCAGAACTGTAGCAATGCTACTTCAGTCATTTACATGTACATTCCGACTACTTACTGTTCCGACTCCTGGGCTGTTAATCTAAACTGGCTTAAAGTAACAACTTTTATATGAAATTCCATAGTTCTAGCCAAATTGAGCACAGCAGTGGCAGAGATGCCACTCTCATTTCAGTTACCCCTTTGCGTTTAACCCTTGAGTGATAGGCTGTTTTGCTCCATATCAGGGTGTTAAGGTATTACCATTGGTCAAAATAGTTCTCGATCTCACCAATATACTATCCCCGGACAGAATCAACTCCATTTCACCCAAGACGGCATTCTTAGTTCTGAATGGAGGGGGACAATTACGGTATCTACTCTACTTATCGCAATGTCCCCAACCTCATAGTTAACCAGCTCGTACTCGAGGCGTGTAGACCTTTGAAGCTATTATACAACCCCTCCATTGTCAAAAATAATGGTAATATGACTTCTTTTTAACTGCTCAAAGAATGGATGGCTAGCAGAAATACGGATATCTCGATCGCATATACACATTGCTAACAACAGTTTAGGATATAGCTTAAAAAAAGAGTAGAAATAAAAATGAAAAAGTATGGGATATCTTCATCTTAAAGCCGTAAGCATTTGTAGCCGGTCCAATGCTTTCTAGGCATGAACACTGACTTACTCTGAAGCATTTAGGCATCAATGCTTCGGTTAACGTGATCCTTAGGAGCTTGATTCATTAAACTTCTGAGATACAGAGCATCAACGTATCCTTGGGAGCTTGTCTTTTGATAGCACTCGAGAGCTATCGAATAGTCTTTTGGTACTGCTTTATTGTGTTCGTACATATAGCCTAGGTAATACTGAGCGGTGTCATGCCCTTGCTTTGCTGTATTGAGATGCCAGTCAACGACAATGGAATAATCCTGAGAAGCTTCTTTGCATTGAGTGTGCATGTAGCCTAGGTCACTCTGAGCGGTGGTCTTATCTTGATTGACTGCCTTAAGCCAGTCAGTGGCAATCACATAGTCTTGTGGAACTTTGGCCATATGCGTACATGTAGCCTAGATTACTCTGAGCATCAGTATCCCCTTGGTTGGCTACTTTAGACATCAGTCAACAGCAATCGAAAAGTCCTGTGTAACCCTTTTGCCTCAAGCGTATATGTGGCCTAGATTGCTCCGAGCGATGACATTTGCTTCTCAGCCGTCTTGAAGAGCCAGTCTGTCGCATATTTAGTCTAATTGCATATGAACATCAACACGTACAGACGTACAAGAGGGGCTATTTATGACTTCTTGGAACTACAGCCTTAATACTATAGTTCACTCAGTATTGGGATGGTTGTGTCCACATCAAATATCATTGAACATCAAAGCGACTGATATCACATTATGAGGAGTGCCAGCAGTAGACATTCACCACTATCATCAGGAGTATCATTATTTTTGCTGTCCTTATTATTCAAAACTATCGCTCATGAGAAAGGATAGAGTCGCTTTGCCTTTCTTTATATGGACTGCATCTTTGTAAGCAGACACAATGCCATACCAGCAGATGATATACCATTGTGTTTGACGGTCATACCGAGGCTCAATATTGTAAGTCTGACACTGGGATTGGTGGCCATCCAAATTGACAAGACGAAATACCTGAAGTTTTCCCTCAATTGATGCCATGATCCATGGCTGTTAGTGGTGTATTGCTTGTGGTAGTAGTATTGTATGGATGATGGTTAGGAGCAAAGACAGTAGGGATTGAAGGGGTCAATGAGCAAGGGCAGAATGAAAAGCTTTAAAGAAGGAAGAGTGTTAAGAAAGATGAAGATAAAGAGTTTAAGGGAAAGAGGGCTTCGACGAAGCCATTAAACAAATCGAAAATCAAGGGACAGTTTGTCCCACCCATAGTAGATTCCTGCCAACTTGATGTCATTGCCATCTCAGTCGCAGACTACAGTTTTGTTCCAGGTCTGTCAACACTCCTTGCTGTGCTATCTCTTAGTGTTCTCAAAGAGGAGTTCCTGATCGTCGGTTCCATGGTATTTAACGATGGATTATGTACTAAACATACAGTGCTGGCTTCTACAACAAGGGCGGAGCTTGTTCACTTAAAATGCTGCCTTTACCTCCAGCACAAAGGCCTGTGGATGAGGAAAAAAAAAAAAGAAGTCCGAAGGGTGAACAAGGAGGTGGCAGCTGTAGTTGGTGTGCTTGCGAATACGAATAAGTCTGTTGGGATGGATCTTCGAGGCGGCTTAAACAGGAGTCGCCAGTTTATTTGAACCAGTCTTTACTTCAGCTCTAGTCATTCATAACAAAGAGAAGTGTATAGCAGAAGCAGGCGCCTTGCATTCGACTTGATACTGAGCATTTGCTAAACTGTTGATATTGACCATTGACATGGAGGATAGATCGATGCTTCTTCTATAGGGATGGATGCATGGTTGACACTTTTATTGGACTCATCCGTGGCAATCTGCAACTACAAAGTTCTACTTCTTACTATTCCGTTATCTCGCTGTAACTTTGATTTACGCAGTTTCAAGTTTGGGGATCGTAATGTGGGACCTAAATGAACACAATGCCTTGGTCGCGACAAAATGCTTGGAAGAGCCTTCAAACCCCACAATTGTGAATGTATTGCTCTTGGCTGTTAAGGTATCGTAGACATCGAGATCACTGAATGTGACAGTAGCAGGCACAACATTGTCACCAATGGCCAAGTGTAGGTTTGGGATTTTTACAACTCCCACCAAGTCTCCAATATCGTTGAGCATGTTGAACACAAGGTCCCCCAACTTCATGCTAAGCTCCGAAGGGTTATGGATATTAATCATGGTTTCCGCTGTGGTGACGTCCGAGTCAGCATCCTTGGTGAGACTCACTAGCTCCACATACTCCATCTCTGGGAAGTTATTCAAACCTCGTATAGTGACGGGGCCTGAGAGGCCGACGTTAGTAACGGTTAGAGTCTTGGAGGAATCAGCACCACTTGAAGCACTGTTCTCTGAAAGGCTAGGAAGCTTGAACCAAACATCAGTGTTCCCACCAACGGCAAATGTATGTGAGGGTTTGGTTATCAGATTCGCGATAAAGTTGATGAATCCATCCTCATGTCCTGGTATAACGTTTAAAGAAGTCTTCGCAACCGGGACCATGAGAGTGCTACCTTGGACCTCGGCAGAGACGCTTGGAAACTCTAACCTACCGACTGCGACACCATTGTCCTTTTGTTGGAAAGAGAGAAAAGAGGAAGAATTGTCAAAGCTTTGATTCATTGTTCAGTCGCGGAGATGTCGAAATATGCAAGATATTTTACTTACAATGATATTTTGCTAAGGAACCAAAGAGGAGAAAGAGTAAGAGAATATTAGCCGCTATTACTTTTCTTTTGATGACCTCGCAGTGGTCCTTGTAGGGAAACAGGTCATCTACTTACATGAGCAGCAATCTTGCTTATAGGCCAACTGATTCCAGGGAACGAGGCCAATTTCACCTTCAGATTTGGTAAGGCCACAGGCATAGACAATGGCTCAGAGCTTGTGAAATCGATATCGAACTCGCCAAGGCTAAACTCTCGGACAAAGCCGAAATCAGTCTATATGATGTTAAAGAAAAGAGAATTATAAATAACTCTATCAATATTGTATATACTCTACCTCAAAAAGGATTAATAACAAAAGGGAAGCAAAAGAAAAAATAACTTACCGCGGCAGCTGCAGCGCATTCTGGGGTCCAAGCATCTTCACCCTTCATGAAGGCACTACAGTATGAATATATAACCATGATAAGTTTGCAAAGTAGTTTTTCCTTCAAGGTGATGGTATTTATCTATAAATCACAACTATAAATACAGCAGACATTTACCTCGCGAAACAACCGATAACTTTGGTTCCATCGATAACTCTCTTGGACATCGATGGCATTGCCAGAGCGGTGGCAGTGAATGCAATAGCGCTTGTAGCTAGGACTTGAGTAGAGACTTTCATGGTTGAAGGAACTGTGCTTTTTGTTGTATTTGTTATCTTGATTGAAGGGTGGAATGTGGAGGGATATTTATATCAAAATCACAAAAGCTAAGAGTAACCAGATTCTAGTTTGTAAAGAAGGGGTTAAAAAATGAATAGAGTACAGTCGAATTCTGGTTTTCTGAACGATACACAGTGGACAATTTTAAAGTTTTACTGCAAGCTCTTGAACAATGGACTTCATTGCTTCATATTGGGATGTTAAGGCACCGCCATTGGTTAAAATGGTTCTCTATCCCACTAATATACCATTGTTGGACAGAACCAGCTCCGCCTCACTATTGCTGTAGCACCAGGGCGGCATTCATATCATAGTTCCAAATGGAGGGAGACAACCACAGTATATTCTGTACTCAGTAGATTATCCTTGAGTCCATAGTCAACCAGCTTGCATTCGATTTGTTCAGACTTATGGGACCATTCTAGAGCCTTTTGTGCGTCTCAAACTACTTTATTTTAATGCTTTTTTACATAGTCAAAAGAATGGACACCTAGCAATAATGTGGATATATTGTCTATCTAGACATATATGTAAAAAATAAAAATAAATAAAAAAAAAAAAAACTAGTTCAAAAGTGAAGAAAGGATCTATAGTCTCATTGCGCGCTCGAAATCACAAATGAAAGATATCGGATATCGAATATCAAGGACCTCTCTGTCATTATAAAAAATGATGTGACATATTTAGGAATATTTCAGATTGAGTACATCTTAAAGCTCCAAGCACTTGCAGCCGGTCATTTACTCCCTGTGCATTAACATCACCTTAGTATACGGCCATTGGATATAACCTCGCTTCATCATGATCTTAAGGAATTCCCTTCCTCTCTTGGGTCATTGAGTCCATGAGGCGCTGAGCATCAGCTATTCCTTGGTCGGCCGCCTTTTGGAACCAATCCATAGCTTTCGAATAATCCTATGTAACCCCTTGGCCTTGAGCGTACATGTGGCCTAGATTGCTCTGAGCAACGGCATTTCCTTGCTCAGTTGCCTTGAAGCACCAGTCCATGGCTTTCGAATAGTCTTGTGAAATCCCTTTACCCTCAAGATACATATAGCCTAGATTACTCTGAGCATCATCATCTCCTTGCTTGGCTGCCTTGAGATACCATCCAAAGGCTTTCGAATAATCCTGTGAGACGCCCAAGCCTTGGTAATAAATGTAGCTCAGCTTCCTTTGAGCAGCGACATTTCCTCCGAAGAGCGTTCTGAGGCATCTCTTGATGGCATCCGGTTGATTCTTTGAACTCTCTTTGGACACATTGCTTGCATTGATCTGATCCATGGCATTCCCCGGTAGGGTCTGTATACCAGGCGACTCTACTTTTGAATCCGCAATCCCTTCAACAATTGCTTTTGCCAAAGTTACTGAATCTTAGCTTGGAGGATCCTCTAAGTGAGGCCCAATTACTGTTGAAGAAGTTGCGCCATTATGTCTTCCGAAAAAACCCTCTATATCTGTCTTGAGACCTTGGTGGTTGTCACTGTTACCTTTTCTGACAAGACTAGAGACAGTTGCTTGAGATGCCTCTGTGGGTGCTGGTTCATCCATTCTTCCTCCTTGAATTATTGTTGAGTCTGGATGTGATTCTCCCGGATTGCTTGTCTGAGAGGAAACGACTATATCCAGTACAATATCAGACTCTGCACGGATTCGGAGTGGCTTTATACTATTTTGGAGTATTGAAATGGCTGTGTTCACATCAAATATCATCCAAAGTCAAAACAGTTGATATCACAATATGAGAAGTGGCAACAGTAGCCGTTCACCACTATCATTATCAACATCGTTATTTTTATCATTTTTATCCTTACTATTCAAAATTGTCGTCCATGAGAAAGGATAGAGTCACTTTTCCTTTCTTTATATGAGCTGCATCTTTGTAAGCAGATGCAATGTCATTCCAGAGAATAGTGTATTGTTGTGTTTGGCGGTCAAACCGAGTCTCAATATATTGGATATCTGATACTGGATTCGGTGACCCATCCAAGTTGATGAGACGAAATGCTTAAAGTTTTTCATCAATTGATGCCATGGCCATTAATGATGTATTACTTGTAATAGAGACACTCTATGTATGATGTTTAGGAGCATAAGGAAGATGGGGTTGAGAGGGACAATGGGTAAGAGCAGAGTGAAAGAGGCTAAAGAAGGAAGAAGCTTAAGAGAGATGAATATAGAGAGTTTAAGGGAAACAGGGTTTCGGCGAAGCCATTTACTGAAATTAAAAAAAAAAAATTCGATGAAAATGAATTAAACAAATCGAAAATCAACATCTTTGAACCCAGTTCGAATGCTTTGGCCCATCATTAAAGTAGATTCCTGTCAACTTGATGTCATTGCCATATCGGTCGCTGACTTCGCATTTCTCCTCGGTCTGTCAACACCTTTATGTATCTCCAAAGAGGGGCTCCCGACCCTCGACCATATGCTATTCATTGACAGTAATATATATCAAATAAAAAGCATTGGTTTCTACAATTAGGGAAGAGCCAGGTTTACCGAAAAAAAAAAAAAAAAAAAAAAAAAAACTCACCAGTCGTTTTTTTCAGATAAATACTCTGTAGTCTGCATTTTTTATTTTTTTTTATTTTGTCAAGCAAAAACGAATACAATAGCTGATAGGAATGCAAATGTATTGATCGCACCACACATATAATCAAAAAAAAATCCATGAGATGATGTTGCCTTCTATATCTAATAATCTCTTATAGTTGCTATGGCCGTTGCTTGTGCGTCAATGGCAAAATGGAGAGTAAACATTGTAAAAAAATAAAATCCTTTCTATTATTGTGAAGACCTTAGCAAGACCTATTCAGGAACGCTTTTTTAGGCTAAGTAACTTATACTCATAAGCACTTGAGCCAACCCATCACTTTCTGATCCCCAATGCTATCTTGGTCTCCAGTTTTTTTGATACCATTGCTTTGCTTCAACATCGCGTTTAGGGGCCCCCTTTCCACCTTGAGACATTGATTTAATGAGGTGCTGAGCATCAGCATATCCCTGGTCGGCTACCTTGAGATACCACTTGATAGCCTTCGAATAATTCTGTGACACTCCTTTGCCATGCTCATACATGTGACCTAAATTGTATTGAGCGGTCGCATTCCCTAGCTTGGCTGCTTTGTAATACCAGCCAACGGCAATCGAATAATCCTGTGGAGCTCCTTTGCCATGAGAGTACATAAACCCTAGGTTACTCTGAGCGGTAGCATGTCCTTGGTTGGCTGCCTTAAGGAACCAGTCCATAGCGTTCGAATAGTCATGTGGAACCCCTTTGCCATAGGAGTACATGTGCCCTAAATTACTCTGAGCGATGGCATTTCCTTGGTTGGCTGCTTTGAGATACCAGTCAACAGCAATTGAGTAGTTTTGTGGAGCTCCTTTGCCATGGGAGTGCATGTGGCCTAAATTACTCTGGGCGATGGCATTTCCTTGGTTGGCTGCCTTGAGGAACCAGTCCATAGCTTTCGAATAATTTTGTGCAACTCCTTGACCATGTTCGTACATGTAGCCTAAATGGATCTGAGCGGTGGCGTCCCCTTGCTTGGCCACCTTGAGGAACCAGTCCATGGCTTTCGAATAGTCCTGTGAAACTCCTTTGCCGTGATAATACATGTGGCCTAAACTACTCTGAGCATCACCATCTCCTTGCTCGGCTGCCTTGAGATACCATCCAAAGGCTTTCGAATAGTCCTGTGAGACTCCTTTTCCATGATAGTAAATGTGGCCTAGCTTCCTTTGAGCAATGACATTTCCTCGACGGATTCTGTTAAGACACCTGTCAATGGCATCCAGATGATTATTTGAATCTCCTTCGGGCATGTAATCTAGATCTAGATGGGCCTGGGCAGTAGCACCGTCTGGCAGAGTCTCCCCACCAAGCGATATCGCTTTCAAATCCGCACTCTCTCCAACAACCAATCCTATCGAAATTGCAGAATCGTAACTTGGAAGGTCCTCTGAGTGAAAATCACTTACTGTTGAAGAAGCTGCGCCATCATCTCTCTCGAAAATATCCTCCATATCTATCTTGAGGCCTTGACAGTCACCAGTGTTCCCTATTTTGGGAAGACTAGAGATAGCCGGTTGATATGACTCTGATGCTACCAATCCTTCTATTTCCCCTCCTTGAGATATTGTTGAGCCTGGATATGCCTCTCTTGAACTGTCTGACTGAGGAGAAATGACTATGTCCAATGCAATATCGGGCTCTGCGCGGATCCGAAGTGGTATTATACTGTATTGGAGTATTGAAATGGTTGTGTACACACATCAGGTTTTGTTTAACATCAAAATAATTGATGTCACAATATGAGAAACAAGTAAAATGGTCAACTATCATTTTCTGTATCACCAACTGTTACCACTTTTATTCTCGTTTTCGAAATCATAATTCTTACCATTCAGAATTATCGTCCAGAAGGAAGGATAAAATCATTTTTCCTTTCTTTATATAAACTGCATCCTTGTAAGCAGAGACAATGTCACTCCAGAGGATGGTGTACTGTTGGGTTTGACGGTCAAGCCGGGCCTCAATATATTGTAAATTTGATACTGGCGTTGGTGACCCATTCAAGTTGATAAGACGAAATGCTTGAATTCTTTTCTCAGTAGATGTCATGGTCGTTAATGATGTAGTGCTTGTGAGCGTAGTATTGTATGGATGATGGTTAGAAGGCTAAGGAAGAAGTAATCGATAAGGACAATGGACAGGAGCAAGGTGGGAAAGAGATTAAAGGGGGAGGTTTAGAGAATAAGGAGTTTCGGCGAAGCCATGGTTTGAAAATAGCACCGAGGCTGGGAAGACATTGACTGCTCTCAGCTTGTACCACCACTGATGCATCTGCATAGGAGAGGCACACAGCCTTTGACCATTTACATTTTCATTAGGCATAAAGCGTCGCTTTCAACAATAAAGAGAGAATTGGGTTTACCAAAAAAAAAAAAAAAAAAAAAAAAAAAAACTTTACCTTTTGGGGAACAAAAAAGTGCCTCATCAAGCCGCCAACAATTTCTTTTCCCTCATATATTTTACCTGCTCCATTTTTTTATTTTTGGCGAGTAAACTGGTTTACATCACGTCGACGATGTCACACACATAACCAAAAGTACTTCAGGGAAAAAAAAAAAAAAAAAAAATTAAAAGAACCCAGGGAGTTCTTTATCTAATGGTTTTATAACCTCAAGGGTGGTGTTGTTTGAGCGTCTTAAACACCTGTAATCCGGTCCAATATTTTCTTGGCCCATCTTGTTGGTCCTGCGACTTTTTACGCCAATGAGGGGGTTGAGTCTTGAGATACCAATTAGATCAAAGGGCTTTTGAATCGTCCTGTGAAACTCGATTGGCCTGAGCGCTTGCCACTCGTTGGCTGACGGGCTGTCTTGAGACACCAGTCGTAAAATCCGGTGAAACCCTTTTGTCATACATGATAGTGTTACATACGCGTGGCCTGGAATATTTCGGGCTCGGACACTTCTTAATTCGGCCTCCTTGAGACAAAACTTTCTATACACGTGCTTTGGTACGTGTAACACACCTCAAAAAAAAAAAAAAAAAAAAAAAAAAAAGTTCCTGGGGCACTATTTTTGTTGAACGTTATAAACGATTGCCTTGGCTTTATCTGAACGTGTCTCAAAGAAAAGAATAGAGAGAGAACCAGAAACGGATATTGAAAAGCTTGTTAAAAAGTAAATTAATAGCAAGACAAATAAACTTCAACCTTTTTTTTTTTTTTATTATGGAACATGAAAATGGAGTATTGGAATATTTATATATTACAAAAAAAAAAAAAAAAAAAAAAAAATGGATGCAATGAAAATGAATGAGCTGGAAGGAAGTGAAGGAAAAATTATATGTACAATAGAATGATAAGAAGAACTTGAACTCAGCTGCAAAAAGAAAAAAAAAAAAATAAGAGCAAGCTTAAACCTTTTTTTTTTTTTTCTTCTTTTTAGAATGCACTGCTGTTGTAAACCAAAGATGAGGCCCAATGAACGATATCTCTGACATTGTTCACTATATCGACAGCCTTCTGTCCAAAACCTCCTTTTCCGGCCTGATTTCCATCAATTTCTGGTGGGCCTGAATCACACAATCTTGAGTCAGCAGTGGGAGAATAAGAAGGTGAAGGTGTTGATGGACTTGTTGTTGTAGTAGTTGAATGTGCATCATTGAAAGCGTTACTGTTGCTGTTACTGTTGCTGATGGACTGTGGGTTCAAAAGGATGGGATCGATTTCGATATCCATCCCATGCATATTCTCGGCTTTCAATCTGGTTGGATGGATCCTTAATATACTCCTTTGAGGATGTTTCGATGAAATCTTCATGAGGATGCCAGTATCATCTTCTTCTTCATCATTAGTACTAGTGTCATTTGCCATCTCATCATCCGACAAAGCTTCGGTATCGACTGATACACATTGCTCTACTGAGTCATTGAAACGGAGTTTTGGTTGACGATGTTGCTTGATCACCAATGATTCCTGGGCTTTTGAATTGGGCTCAATTTTGCGATCCAACTTGAGGTCCGACTGAACATGGAATAAGGTGTCTGCTTTGAAGAGTTCTGAAGCAGTCTTGTGTTTGAGTGCTGGTTTGAGGCCACCAAGTTTTTTTGTAGGAGAAGATGACTTTGGTATTTTTGTTCCCCCTGGTATCGTTTGAGCACCAAATCGAGCAAGATCGAATTCATCAATGTTGGCTTTATAGAGTGGGCCATATAGCCAGGTGGTGTCGCAATCCTTGAGCCTATTTAACGATTCACAGCACAAAAGGAGAGGAAAAAGGAGATCAGCAAACATGACAAATCGGAACTTGAATGGCTTATTTCTTTTGAGGGAAGGAGAAGGAGAAGGAAGGAAAGAGAAGGGAGAAAAAAAAAAAAAAAAAAAAAAAAAAAAAAAAAAGCTATGCTTACCAATTCAGTGTTCTCGGGTTGACAGTTTTGAGATTATGACGCTGTTTAGCCCAGTTACGCCAGGAGGCGTTTTCAAGTCGCAGGCCATTGATAAGATCGTTTTTTTGTTTAGTCATGAACTTCCAAGAAGCAGCGATATCATCTTCATTGTTCCAGCCACTGCCAAGGTAATCAATGGCGAATGCAGGCTGAACTGTTGGAATGACACGACCGGCGTCAGAGTCATCGTGCATATGTGTTGTCTTTGCGGATGTGCCCTCTCGATGGATTGGGAGTCGAGAGGAAGAGGCAGTTGATGGTGTTGAAGTGGAGGTGTTTTTGGAATACTTGTTTCCTCTGCGAGAGCGTTCGCTCGTAACAGAAGAGCTTCTGTGGCGTCGACTTGAAGACGAAGTCATTTTTGAAAAGAAAGAGAGGAGGATTTCAGAGTAAGAATAAAAATATGAAAAGGACTGAACGACTGAAAGAATGAATGAGTGAGTGAGTGAATGAATGAATGACTGACTGAATGACTGAATGACTGAATGAATGACTGAATGAATGAATGTGAGTCAGTAAATCGAAAGGAGAGAATGAAAGGTTAGGAATGAGAAAGACTGAAATATATATATGTAAAAAAAAAAAAGAGAGAGAGAAGAGAGCAAGAGCAAGAGCAAGAGAGGAGAGATAACGAACAAATGAACAAAAAAGGTGTAATCAGTAAACTAATTTTTTAATACTTTTTGTCCACACCAACCGAACATTTTGACATAAACGTCAAATCGGAATCCATCGTCTGCCGCCACTCCTTTTTTTTTCTTTTTATTTTTTTCTGCACCGATTGTCTGCTCTCTTCTGTCTGTTGTCTCTGATGGAAAAGAAAAAAAGACCGCAAACATGTGGCTTCGGATCTTGTAATCTCCCCTTTTTGACCTTTTATTTTATTTTTTTTCTTTTTGGACTGACCTGACCTGACTACATGAAGAGTACATTTGTGTATCCACACTGTGTCTCTGTCCATGCCTATGCTTTTTCATTGTTCACATTCCAACAACTCCACTCATGTATTTACATGAATATCCATCACACACACACACACACTTTCAACTCATATCGCATATCGACTACGGCAACACATGCTGCGGCAACCCTCTCGTTTATTGCTGTGCCTCCTTTTTTTTTTCTTTTTTTTTTCTTCTTTTTTTTTTCCCCTCCCTTGTCTGCGCCACAAAACACAAAAAAGCATTTGCCACGTTTACTGCCTTGATCCAACTGTTTATTCAGGCGAATCATTAAATCAGCAAGAGCATTTTACTTTCATTGAATTGATACTTTTGTACTTTTGACAATGTGCGTATGCATATGAAGAACATGGTCTCATGTTTACAATCAATCTTCTTGAGAGTCTAGCCCACAAGAGGGGTGCGCAAACAAAAAATAGACATGGAAGGGGATTAGTTAGTTAGTGAGAGAGGGGATATACATGATAGTGGGGAAGGAATAGTCCGAGCAACGACCTAGTCCCTTTTTTTCATGCAAAAGGGACCGAACCAATGAGCTTTTTTTTATTATTATTCGAAAAAAAATATATCAATTGTGGCGGGAAAGAGTGGTTTTGAACACGACTATTTTGTCTTTCATGTGGTCCAAAAAGAGACAAATAAGATCAAGGACAATCAACCCATTTTGTTCCATAAAAATATACTATCATTATCATCATCATCATCATTGTTATTATTATTATTATTTAGAAGGAGAAGAAATAAGCTGAGAAAGGAAGCAATTTGCATGCTTATTTTTCCTATCAATTCACTCTCTCTTTGTCTTTGTCTTCAATGCCTCCTTTTTTTTTCTTTTTTTTTTTTTTTTTTTTTTGATGCAAGGTCAAGCGTTGACGAGCTTTTTTTTTTTTTTATTTTTTCCCTACTGAAATGAAGTGGTCCTGATGTTTGTTATCTATTTGCTCTCATTGTTCGATTCCACGTGTCTCCTACCCTACCAAATACGGCCCATGGTTGCGGAGTAACAAGGAATAGGCATTTTTGGTGCTTTGGTGGAGAAATAAAATAAAACCGTTCCATCCGATTTCTTCCATTGCCACAAAAATAGAATCCAGAGTCTACAAGTCTATAGTCCATCGCCCATAGTTCATGATCTATAGTCTGTGGCCTAGAAGTCTTTAGCGTCCTTACCCAAAATCAAAAATAACATGCCTTCGCGAGTCATCGTTTGTTTTTTTTTTTTTTTTTTTTTTTTTTTTTTTTTTTTCCTTAACACTCCTGCATTAGTCATAGCCTACTTCTATGGATCCATTAACGTTATTGACATGTGTCGATCAAGCCTTGAAACTGTAAACACATACATTATTAGCACTTCACCCAATGTTGCTTCCTTTCTGTTATTCAAAATTAGCACCTTGACTATGACAAATGCCTTTTTTATTTTCAGAATTATGCATTTTTGCATTGTGCATTGTGCATAAAAAAGAAAAAGGGAAAAAGCATTCCAGGGAGATGTAAAAAACCCTTTTTTTAAATCTTTAATAAATCTATTTCTCTAAAGATACAACACGGATACAACGAGCACAAAGCGTATCCTCTGTTGTAGATGTATAGGTCCAGCAGCGTGGACACTTGTGCAGTACGGCCTTGCGCACTACAAGACGACATGATCCAGTGTTGGCTAGAACTACGTTTCTAGCAAAGGATTTTTCGTCGACATGAGTTGTTGCTGTCGCAAAAACGGGAGTCGTAGTTGTCTCATCACATGCACTTTCATTACCACTAAAAATGGTAACACCCGATGTGATGAAGATCCTTGCCAAATCGGCTGCATATGTTTTGACTATATGACCTAGTACATCTTCTTGCTGTTGCTGCGATTGTTCTTGCTGTTGCTCTTGCTGCTCCGCCTTAGTATCCTCTGCAGCAGGCAACCAAATCTCAACGATGGCCTCCAATGAAGGCCCGATCATTCTAGCAACTCGAGCCCGCTCAAGCAACCGATTGACCTCAACACGAAGCTGTTTCACCACCCGGAACTCTTCACGAAGTGTAGTATTGCTCCATGATTCTGGAGCTTCTAACCAGCCAACACGGAACACACTAGGTTGAGGATTGGTAAAACAACCACGATAATGCTCATAGACTTCTTCAGCAAAATAGGGTGCTAGTGGAGCAATGCTTTTTATGAAAGCAGTCAAGGTCTTTTTTTTAAAAAAAAAAAAAAAAAAAAAAACTGATTGAGTATTTCAGTTCATTACAGCCACAAGAAACAAAAACTATTTGAAAACGGCAGTAGGCTAAGAACTTACATGGAAGAGCACTGTCTGAACTGCACGGCGCTTCAAACTGTTTTCCGCCTCTGAGTACAAAGTATCTTTGACGATGTCCAAATAAAAAGATGAAAGGATTGTGCTACTAAAGTATTGCAGCTGACCATACACTACAAGGTCAATTAACAAAATAAAAACTACATGTCAGGCCCTGCGAACTACTCAATACATTGTAATTTTATTTTTATAAAAAAAAATAAAATAAAATAAATAAAAACTCTCTCTCTCTCTCTCTCTCTGCTTCTCTTACCTTTGTTGAACATGTACTCATCATAACCAGCATTAACGTTCTTACAGAAATGATAGACCTCCGAAAGCATGAACTTGTCAAGACGACTCAGATCCTCATAGCCTACAGCCTCCGATTCGTTGAAACCATTAAGGTTCCCAAGCATAAACCGAGCTGTGGACCGGAACTTGCGCACAGCTCCAGCAACTTGGTTCAAAATGGATTTTCCTATGGCGATATCCCTTGTATATTCAGATGAGGCTGCCCACAAGCGCAGTAGATCTGTTCCATAGGCTGGATCCTTCTCCAGATCCTTGCCACCCTTAATAATCATGGCTGGATCCACTGTATTTCCAAGAGACTTTCCTTGCTTTACACCATTCTCATCCAGCAAAAATCCGTGTGTGATCAGAGTTCCATAAGGGGCCTTGCCTGTCAATGCCACTGAGGTCAAAAGAGATGATTGGAACCATCCATGGTGCTGATCAGTGCCTTCACAGTACACATCCGCCACAAAAGGAAGATGTTGACGTGACGCCATTTCCTCAATCATGGTCCAGCTCGTACCACTGTCGAACCAGACATCCATGGTATCATTCCCTCGACAATACTTCTTTCCATTGTTCCTGTACTCGGGTGCAAGCAACTCTTCAGTGGTCATATTCCACCAAGCATCTGTCCCATGTTCCTTGACAATATCGATCACATGCTGTACTGATACCCTCGTCAACAAAGGCACATCTGTCTCGTCCTCATAAAACACTGGAATAGGAACACCCCAAGAACGCTGACGAGAGATGCACCAATCCGAGCGGGAGCGCACAAAGCCCTCGAGGCGACGCCTTGCTCTCTCTGGTATAATATGAACGCTCTTGATCGCCCTCAGTGCATCCTCCTTGAATGAACTAACATTAACAAACCACTGAGAGGCAGCACGAAGGATAACTGGCTTATTGGTGCGCCAATCATACGGATATTTGTGTACGTAAGCTTGCTCATAGATTAATCTGCCTTTAGCCATTAGGAGCTTCAAAACTTTAGTAGTCCCCTCCGTCTGAACATCAAGCCCCTCCAGTTCTGGACCCGCCTCTGCAGTAAATTTCCCTACGTTGTTAACAGGAGAAAAAGGTTCGATCCCTAAAGGAAAGCAGGCTCTATAATCATCCATGCTATGACCCGGTGCAACATGGACTAGACCGGATCCAGTGTCAGATGCAACATAGTTTGCAGCAATAAAAGATAATGTTTCATTTGTCAGAGGGTGATGATATCGAGTCCCAACGAGTTCCTCGCCATTGACTTGACCGAGACACTCCAGATTATTACTATTGCTGTTGTTATTATTATTAACATCGCCGTCCTTGGAAGCAAAACATTTCTCCATTTCCTCCATGCGATCAGTGGCGGCCAGGTAGACGAGATTATCATTAGCATTGGATGATTTGTTGTTCCTGAACACTGTGTACTTTGCTTTGGGATGAACAGCAATACATCTGTTGGCCACCAATGTCCAGGGGGCTATTGTCCATACTACAGCCTGTAATGACGTTGATAATGGTAATGTAACTGCGAGTGCTGGAGCTATAAAGGAGTCCCAAAGTCAAGGAATGAGCACATAATTTTTTGAGGAAAAAAAAAAAAGAAAAATCATTGCATGAATTTGTCAAAGATATTCGTCATATATATATAAAAAAAGAAAAAGAAAAAAAGAATCTTCTTTTCTTACAAGGCTGAACGATATGGAAAGCAACCCAAACAGATTGACTTTGATGATTCTCCTTAATAATGAGTTCCAATTCAGCGAGCGCAGTTTTGGTAGAAGGTGCCCAATAGACAGGTTTGTAAGCACGATAAATAAGACCCTTCTTCATCATCTCCAAGAAAACAGTGAGTTGACGAGCCTCATAATCCTTGTCCATAGTCTTGTAACCATTCTCCCAATCGCCTATTACTGCATAGGTTGCGAACTCAGTTTGTTGTTCATTCACTGCATATTGAGCTGTTGCTTGAGCCGCCTTACGAATCTGATTAGGACTCAGGTTGGATAGGTTTTTGACTTTGAGTCCTGCCAAAGCCTTTAATTCAATAGGTAATCCATGACAATCCCAACCAGGGCGGAAGCTAGGAAAGGAATAAATAAAATAAAATAAAAAAGACAACTGTTAGTCATGTCCATAATTTTTTTTTTTTAAAAAAAAAAAAAAAAAAAAAAAAAACACTTACTCGACTTTAATCCCCTTCATGACTCGCTGACGATTAATAAAATCTTTAATCATTTTGTTGAGAGCATGGCCAAGGTGAGGACGACCATTAGCATAAGGGGGACCATCATGGAGGACGAACAAGTCTCCACTCGAGTTATTATGTTCACGTTGCCAAGAATAGAGATCGGTTGTGCATCGTTGGCGGAACAAATGCTCACGAAGAGCAGGATCAGCCCGAAGAGGGAAGTTTGTTACGGGCAACAATAATGTGGAGACATATCTCTGATCAGATTTTTTTTCCTTCTTGATGATCTTGTTCTTCTTGGGGATAGACATTGTGAAATATTAAAAGAAAAAAGATAAGAAGAAAAAAAAAAAAAAAAAAAAAAAAAAAAGAGAAAAAGAAATGTCTTTTGAATAACAATCTTTTTATACGATAGCAATCGTAGAGATCGCCTTTTTTTTTTTTCTTCTTTATATATAAGAGTGAGAGTGTGTGTGTGTATGTGTATGTTGATAATGTTGGTATGTTGGCTTGTTGGCTTGTTGGTATGTCGGTCTGTGTTTCAGTGGGTTGAAAACAGAAATGCAAAGTTTGCGCTCAAGTTCATTTATTTGGCTCACAACTCTTTTTTTGTAATGTCGTCAATATGATTTAATTTTTGTGATGACTGTGCATTGATCCTTTAGCATATGGGGTACACGTACTTTATTTTTTATTTTTATTTTTTACTCCCCCTCCCCCAACTGGGGGAGATTGGCTACCATGAAGGTGCTACTGGAGCAATGTCTGGTTACTCTTCAGGAGAAACTTGTCTTCCTGTATCTAAAATCCACTCCCTTTCTCCTGCTGCTTCTTGATCTAAGAGACAGATCTTGTCTTAAGATTTAAATCTTCTCTGCCAGTCTAAACCATTCTGTGTTAGCCTCATCATGATCCCTGCATCCAAGCATACCACGCATAACCTTGTGAGCTAGTGTAACCTTCCATCCACAATATATAAATATATATACAGTATATCGTTGTGTTGGAATCCCGTAAGCTTTATTGGTCGTAAAAAAAACCAATGGTCCTACACCAATTTCCTTTTTGATTTAACCCTTACCCAATTATGAGTTTTCTTCATAATTGACCAAAAGCCAAACCAAATACCGTTTCAGTACAAAGTCCCGAGTGATCTTTCAATCAATTACAGTCCAACATGATTTTTATGAACAAATTCATAATGAAAAGTGTTCATAAAAATGAATGAATTTGATCTTCACAAAAGGTGTGAAAATTAAGGCACACATGACACAAAAAAGTTTATGCTAATATATCTTCCGTCCTGGTCAAGCATTCGTATGCATTATCCCTCTTGAAAGAGAGAGCAAAGGAAGAGCAGTCTTCATTTTTTTTTAATTCGTGCTTTACCTCACCCGAGAATGACTGGCGTCTTTTGTAAGCATTCTTTTTGTTCATGATGTTAACTGCTGAATGAAGAACGAAAGACGTTTTTCTTTTATAATGTGCGTCAATACATGAGCGTTTTAAATACATTTTTTGTGAAGGTCAATTCATAAAAACACTTCTACATCCCAAATCGCTTCCTCTATAATACAAATCTTTTTTCTATTTTTTTTTATTTTTGAAAGACATACTCTTGGCCTAAAGCCTCCATGCTTTTTTGCGAAATGGATCCTCTCTTGCCTATTTCTCCCTTCAGTCATACTTTCCGCACACACTCTCTTACAAAGGCCTGTCTAACCTGCCTCATCAAACGGGAAGAGATGTGGAAATGACTCTTTCGTGTGTTTTATGCCAAGCATTAGTTGTGAATAATCTGAAACTCTATTTTTTTTTTTTTTTTTTTGCATCTTCATTAAAAAAAACGGCCTCAAGCAAGCTCAGGCCTCTTCGCACTACAGCTGTTTATTCGTCCGTTAGCTGTGCTTACTTTTTCTTGTATTTTGCTAGGCTCGTAACCAGCCTGAGAAAAAAATATTCGTCGTCACAACGTCGGCGGCTTTGCCTCAGGCTGGTTACGAGCCTAGTATTTTGCTTTTTGATTTTTGCTTGGTTATATACGAGATACAGGGGAGAGAAGAAAGTGGAGCGAAGGGGAAGAATGAGTACGCCACTGTTTTTTCTAATAAATGCTTTGCCACAACCTTCAATCCTCCCATCACCTTGTCACCTCCTCATACAATCTCACGATTCATTCCCAAAGGGTCTGGTAGAGAAAACCTTCTGGAATTTCACCTCGTATGATGCAAGGGAGAAGAAAGAAAGAAATCAACTGTAGCAGATTTGAATGAAATAACCATCCTTATTCCCTGTCAAAATAGGTAACAACAATCACCGCAAAAGCCCCAAACAGAGATGGATGCTCTATTCGGAAACCAAGATCGTGCAGCTTCTTCAACAGAAGCTGAGCATCATTCTGAGGTTATTCCAAGTTACGAAACTGCGATTTCGACAAGACCAACTGCTGACCAGCTTGCAGAGCTAATGGAGATGTCGCTTGGTGGAGAGGCTCAGACAGGAGATAACACTGCTGGGAGCGGTTTAGCCTACATGAATCCCAAGGACGAAGGATGTTCACCAGATTATTCGAAGGCGTTTGACTGGTATCTCAAGGCAGCCAACCAAGGAAACGCCATTGCTCAGAATAATATAGGTTACATGTACTATGATGGTATAGGAACTACACAGAGCTATGATAAAGCCTTCGTCTGGTACCAGAAGGCGGCCGGAAATAATAATGTTGGCGCTCAGAGTATGCTAGGCTACATGTACTACCATGGCATAGGAACTGGTGCGAACAGTCGACAAGCCTTTTATTGGTATTCCGAGGCAGCTAAACAAGGGAATCCTACCGCTCAAAATAATCTAGGCTACATGTACTCTCATGGCCAAGGGACTGTACAGGACTATTATAAAGCTGCCGAGTGGTATAGAAAAGCAGCCGACCAAGGGGATGTCACTGGTCAGAGCAACTTGGGTTACTTGTACCTTGAGGGCAAAGGGGTTATAAAGGATTTCTCGGGAGCCCTCAAGTGGCTCCCCAAGGCAGCCGAACAAGGAAATGTCGCTGCCCAGATCAATCTAGGATACATGTACGAACATGGTAAAGGAACTCCACAGGACTATTTAAAAGCAATCGAGTGGTATCGAAAGGCAGCCGACCAAGGAAATGCCATCGCTCAGACTAACCTGGGCAATTTATACTATCAGGGCAAAGGAGGTCCAAAGGATTATTCGAAAGCTTTTGCTTGGTATCTCAAGGCAGCAAATCAAGGAAATGCTGATGCTCAGCTTGCCCTTGGTTCTATGTATCGAGATGGGAAGGGTATCCCTAAAGATCATGATAAAGCAAACCAATAATGCCTATGCCATGCAAAAGATGAGCCTATCCGAGTGCTCAGTGTTCTTTTCTGTTTTTTTTTTTTTTTTTTTTTTTTTAATCTAAAATGCTGCTCAGTACGACACTTTTATATATATGTATATATATATATTAAATGATAATGACGATTATTGATATTCAATATCGTTCACTTGTCTTGATGATCAATAATGATCATAAAAATCCATCCAGGTCAGGTTATTTTTTCCCTGCCATCCTGTCATTTCTGCACGATTTGGATATATACGTATATGATCTACAAACATTCATTGTTAGGGTGATAAAATAATAATAATAATAATAAAAGTAAATAATTGTGCGTAGACTGTGACAACGGCATTGCTTCTTGAGTATTAGTTACATTTCAACGAATTGAGCGCTAGATTACAAATAAGGAGTCATCTGGAAGAACTGTTGGTAACTGTTTTAGGCTAGAGATTCCCTTTCTTCATTCTCTTCAAGGTAAAAAATAAAAGCGGTATTTTAGTGAACCAGCTCCCTCCTTAGTGTAGAAGCCGGCGCTGTATGCTTAATACATATTGCCGTCAATGAATGTCGCATGATCGTTTGACTGCAAGGGCTTGGGCGAGCAATTAAGAAGAGGATAAAATATAACGAAGTTGCCGGTTGCTGTAGAAAAAAAAAAAAAAAAAAAAAGTGAACCTCCCGTCGTGTGTCAACACCAGAATTACGGCTCAACGCTTTTTTTATCTATGGCTTTAATGGTCCTTTCAAACACAGGACATTAACTCCGTGAATATTTTGTTCTTTCGGTTCGGTGAATGTTAACTTATCGTTTTACTGTTGCGATAATGTACTCATAATTGCATGCCTCAGGTGCCCTCAAGCTCCTCTAAGGCCAGTTTTTAGTTGAGAGGATGCCAAGACCGCATACCTCCATCGTTTTTAGGACTACATGTGCTGTGTACGGTGCATCGGATGGCTGTATAGGCTAATAAGTGTATTAAAACCTTCGTGCTTGTATTTCGTGGCTCCACTTTCCATTTGGTCTTTTTTTTGCATCTGCAGAACCTCATTCCCTAGATACAGGACCTAGCCGTGGATAAAATGCCAATATGGAGTGCTGGAGTCGGCCACTTCTTCAATAAAAACCCCTTTAACGATATATTATTCGTTTACCTAATTTAAGCCATACTTTCTGAACCTTGCGATGGTGATGATGGCACATGGTTGCCCAAGGATCATAATCAGTAGGAATCACCCGTTCGACTTATAGCCTTGGTCATTCCAGGTAAAGGAATGGCTTCCTATTCAGATGATGCCCGACACCCCAAAGCCTATAGCTGCCTTTCAGCTCCTTCTTCCCTATTGGATCGCATAGGCACGCCAATCTGTTTTACTATGACGCCTTCGCCTCCAGAAAACAGAACTCGGGCCTTTAGTTCAACAGTACCTGCGGGCCCTAGTGGTTGCTTCTGTACATTCCAAGTCATTTTTTATAAGCTCTACTATGACCATGATTCCAAGTATAACCTTGCAAGCCAGTATTACTTACTTATAGATCCAGCGCACCATGATAAGAGTTTGAAACCATTTGGTCATGATGACAGACTTTCCATGGCCCTCTGTCAAAGCTTCCTGTCATTTCGGCCATGGCTTCGTTGAGTGGTCTCCCCTACATCCGCTTCCTTAGCATTGCTCGCTGTATTATAATGGCTGGTGGTGAGCTAAAACTGCACGGCATGGTAACTTTTAGCGGTAACTATCAAGATTATACCTTCGAAGATATCGCATCTCTGGTATAAACTTGTGGATGACCTGAAGCGGTGAGACCTTATTTGTTTCTCCTCTTATCCCTTCATGTCTAAAAAACGTCGATTCATGTTCTCCAAGCTCGCCAAGACCCTTTTTTCACCACAGTTGTTTATTCGTCCATTAGCTGCGGTTGCTTGCTTGCTTGCTTTGTGCTTGCTTTCTTTGTGCTTGCTTGCTTTGTGCTTGCTTTGTTTGCTTAGTTTTCTTGATTTGTCTCGGAATAGCGCATACGAGGGAAAAGGGGAGAGAGACGAAATGAAGTCCGAAGGACTCGACCATACTTTCCAATAAATGAGCTTTGCTAAGACCACAGCTCTCCCTCTTCTTTCTTCTGCTGTCGACATATTCCATACAATACCGCAAACCATGCCCAAGGAACCTGGTAAGGAAAAAGCTTCAGGCGCTTTGCTTCGTAAGATCCAAGGAAGAAGAAAGGAATACCTTGGTTACAGCGAATTTGCATGAATTAACGCCCTTAGTTCTGCCCAAATAGACAATAACAATGATCACAAAAGCCTCAAGACAGAGACAGATTCTCTATCTGGAAACCAAGGTGGAGTAGCTTCTTCAACAGTAGCTGAACTTCATTATGAGATTGTTCCAAGCTATGAATCTGCAATTTCGACAAGACCAACTGCTGAGGTGCTTGCAGAGCTGATGGAGATGTCGCTTGGTGGACAACCTCGGCCAGGAGGCACCACTGCTCAGGGCAACCAGGGTCACGTTAACCCTGAGGCCAAAAGATGCTCACCCGACTATTCGAAGGCCTTCGACTGGTACCGCAAGGCAGCCGAGCAAGGAAATGCTGCAGCTCAACGCAATATGGGCTGTATGTATTACCATGGCGTAGGAGCACGGCAGAGCTATCCGGATGCTATATTCTGGTTTACCAAGGCAGCCGACCAAGGAAACGCTGATGCTCAGAGCATTCTAGGCTACATGTACTATCATAAGAAAGGATTTGTATGGAGAACCTCTTATAGAGGCTGCTGGGAGCTCGTAGTAAAAAGTCAATTTATGACAATTGGAAGCCCTCCTGATGAAGAAAAGACGATAGAGCGCTACCAGGATGCCCACGAATGGTATCTCAAAGCAGCCGCCCAGGGAAACACCTTCGCTCAGAATAACATAGGCTACATGTACTCTCATGGTAAAGGGACCTCACAAAATTATTTGAAAGCTATCGAATGGTACCTTAAGGCAGCCAACAAAGGAGATACTACCGCTCAGAGCAACTTAGGTTTCATGTATCTTGAGGGCAAAGGGGTTTCAAGAGATTACTTGAAAGCCATCGAGTGGTTTCTCAAGGCAGCCAACCAAGGAAATGCTGGTGCTCAGACTAACTTAGGCTATATGCACGAACATGGTAAAGGGACTTCACGGGACTATTCAAGAGCTATTGAGTGGTATCTCAAGGCAGCCAACCAAGGGAATGCCGTTGCTCAGACTAATCTAGGCAGCATGTACTATCATGGCAAAGGAGTTTCGCAGAACTATTCGAAAGCTTTTGATTGGTACCTTAAAGCGGCTAACCAAGGGTATTCTGATGCTCAGCTAGCAGTTGGCTCTATGTACCAATATGGGCAGGGTATCCCCGAAGAGCATGAAAAAGCAAAGCAATGAGATGATGCCGACGCCAAGCTAAAGTTGGAGCAGCTCAAGTGCCCATGGCCTTTAACTCTTTTTTTAATCTAAAACACTACTTTTTATGATATTTATTTTGATATTCAATATCGTTCACTTGCCTTGATGATCAAAATAATGAACATTGCAAGTATAAAACCATTAAGCCAGGCAAATAGCATCTCTTTTTCTTCTTTATCCTCTCTGCTATCTCTCTCTTCCTACCCTATCTGGATTAACGGGCATAGGATTGGATTGATGTATGTGTTTTGTTAGTTTTTTATTTGTACGATAAGGAAAAAAAAAAAAAAAAAAAAAAAGACATTAGTCGAATCGGTTTTTATAGGCGTTTTCAAGCAAAACGCTTACAAAATTTTCCTAATTACTCCCCCTCGAGAGATGTGTTCTAAGAGTCCGATCTCACTTCTTGTACCTCTTGTCGAAAAAGTGGCAGACTCGCTTCAATTTATTATTTTTTAGTGATTCTTTTGAAAACGCAACTCTTTTTCCCCCAAAAGAATATCCTCATACCAGACCATTTGGCCCGAGAGCACCACTTCCTTCTTTACACGAACCCTCTCTCTCAAACCTAATAACGGGACATAATGGCCAAACATCTTAATCTCCTCTGTATCATAATGGAGTCTCAGCTTTGTCTTCGAAATGAACAGTGCCCATGCTAATATAATAATTAGAATATTAGACAGCCTCGAAGTCACAGCACTCCAGCTCATTTCCACTATGCCAATTATATGTGACTCCATTAATTGGCCTTTAGAAGCACCATAAAATTCTTTGTAGGCATTTTGCTTGAAAAATCACCTATAAAAGCCAGGTTCGACTGGTCTTTGTGTAGGATGGCTGTATAGGCTTATAGATGTATTAAAGCCTCTCTATCTGGCACCTGATGATCAACGTATTGTCCTGATTTCTTTTTAATGTAATTTTTTTTGTTCTAATTTTTTTTTTTTTTTTTTTTGCAAAACGCGTACCAAGGTATCATTGTGTCTGCTTCGCCTCCCTCATAACGAGTTTGGCGAAAAGGCCGTTCCCTAGGTACTGGGTCTTATTATGGATGATATGCCAATAGAGCCTATCATCACAGGTGCCAAAGTCGACCACATCTTCAGTAAAAACTCCTTGGGCAGTATGTTCTTCATTTACCTATTTTGAACCATGTATCCGACATACTATCTAAACCTTGTGACAGTGATGACGATGGCACACGACTGTCCAAAGAGCAAAATTGATAGGGGTTATCCATCCAACTTTTAACCTTGGATATCCTGGGCTTCCTATTCAGGTGATGTCCAACGCCCCAAATCTTATAACAGCTACCTTTCAGCACCTTCTTCCCTATTGGGTCGCATAAGCGCGCCAATCTGCTTTACTACTCCTTAGCCTCCAGAGGGCAGTACTTGAACCTTTGGTTCAACAGTGCCTGCAAACCCTAGATAGCTTCTTCTGTACGTTCCAAGTCACCTTTTGTAAGCTTTGGTGTGGCCCATGGCTCCAAATATAGTCTTGTAAGTCAGTATTACCTATAGGTCCAGCGCGCCACGATAAGAGTTTGAAATCATTTGATCATAGCCAGCAGAAGGAACTGAGACGAGAGGCTTTTCTTGGCCTTCTGTCAAATCTTCCTGTTGTTTTGCCCATGGCTTCGTTGAACGGTCTCCCCTACATCCGCTTCCTTAGCATTGCTCGCTGTATTATAATGGCTAGTGGTGAGCCAAAGCTGCGTGGCACGGTAACTTTTAGCAGTAATTATCAATTTTATACGCTCGGAGATGTCGCATCTCTGACATTACTTGTGGATGACCTGAAGCGGAAAGGCCTTATTTGTTTTCCCTCTTTTCCCTTCGCCACTAAGGAGTGGCAGTTCATATTCTTCAAACTCGCCGAGGCCTCTCTTTCCACCACAGCTGTTTATTCGTCCATTAGCTGCGATTACTTGCTTGCTTGTTTGCTTGCTTTGTTTGCTTTGTTTGCTTTGTTTCTGGATTTGTCTCGTAATAGTACGAACGAGGGAAAAGGGGGGAGGGGCGGAATGAAGACCGAAGGACTAGACCACACTTCCCAATAAATGAGCTTTGCCAAGGCCTCAGCTTCTCCTCTTCTTCCTCCTGCTGTCGACATATTCTCATGCAAAACCTCAACTCATGCCCATGAAATTTACTGAAAACGAGCTTCAGGCATTTCGCCTCGTCAACTTGGACGGGTCAAAAAGCTCAGTACCGCATATCCAATATATTGAGGCTCGATTCGACCGCCAGACTCAACAGCACCTCATCTTCTGGAGCGATATTACATCTGCTTATAAAGATGCAGTCCATATAAAGAAAGGAATCGTAACCTTATCCTTTCTCATGGACGACAACTATGAATAGTGAGAATAATGACAATAGTATATGACCATCAAGGTCGCTTCTCATATTCTGGTATTAATCGCTTTGATGATGGATATTATTTGATGAAAACTATACCATTTTAATACCCTAACGATAGTATAAAACCGCTTCGAATCCGCGCAGAACTTTGCAGCACACTGGACATAGTTATTTCTCCTCAAGGAGGTGATTCAAGTGAGCTGTATCCGGCATCAACAATGAAGCAAGGAGCAAAAAAGGAAAAAAACTACCGCAGCAGAGCCGTGTCAAACGACCATTTCTAGTCCTGCCAAAATTGGTGACAGTGATAATCGCAAATGCCTCCAGGCAGAGATAAATGCTACTCTATTTGGAAAACAGGGTGGTCCAACCTCTTCACCAGTAGCTGAGATCCATTCAGAGGCCATTCCAAGTTATGAAGCCACAATTTCGACAAGACCAGCTGTTGAGGAACTTGTAGAACCAGTGGCGGCATCGCTTCGTAGAGAGGTCCTACTAAGTGGCGCCGCTACTCAAGCCAATCTAGCCGATACGTGCCTTGAGGCTGAAGGAGGCTCACCTGATTATCCAAAAGCTATTGATTGGTAGCTCAAGGCAGCCAAGCAAGGAAACGCTGCAGCACAAAGTAATCTAGGCTACATGTACTACCATGGCAAAGGAGTCCTCAGTGCCTATCCGAAAGCCAGAGGTTGGTATCTCAGGGCAGCCGCTCACGGCATCACCACCGCTCAGAATAACGTAGGCTATATATACTCTCTCGGAAAAGGAGTTGCACATGATTATCTTAAAGCTGTTGAATGGTATCAAAAAGCAGCCAACCAAGGAGATGCCACCGCTCAAAGTAACCTAGGTTACATGTACCTTGTGGGAAAAGGGGCTCCACAAGATTATTCAAAAGCCATCGACTGCTACCTCAAGGCAGCCAACCAAGGAAATTCCGCTGCTCGGACTAACCTAGGCTATATGTACGAACACGGCAAAGGGTATCCACAGGACTACTCGAAAGCTATCGAGTGGTATCTCAAGGCAGCTGATCAAGGAAATGCCACCGCACAGACTAATCTAGGCAACATGTACCATCATGGTAGAGGAGTTTCACAGAACTATCCGAAAGCCTTTGATTGGTATCTCAAGGCAGCAGAGCAAGGATATGCTGATGCTCAGTTCTTTGTCGGCTCTATGTACCGAGATGGAAAGGGCATCCCTAAAGACCATGATAAAGCAAAACAACAATAGCAAAAAAAAAAAAAAAAAAAAAAAAAAAAAACAACGGAACAAATGCTGGACCTGTTCAAGCGTCCATGGCTCTTAGATGTTTTTAATCTAAAGTGCTGCTAGGTATCGCACTTATTTATAATTATGATAGAAAATTGGTATTCACTATCGTTCACTTGCCTTGATGATCAAACTAATGACCATTGCAACTATTCCTTCAACCATAAGGTATAAGACCATTAGGTCGAGAAAGCAACAAAGCCTTACGTAAAGTCATACAAGTCCTGTTTTTCCATTTCCTCTATTCTGCGCGATTTGGATTTATGAATTCTAGGAAAAAAAAAAAAAAAAAATACTCGGCATTTTATTATAGTCCCAAGCTTTGTTGCCCAACTGAAAATTATTGCTATGCTTTCAAATGTGTAAAGTTAGCCTTTTAGGTAATTTACTCTCTTTATTAAAGTTGATGGATGGACTCCTTGTTTATCGTGAAATGCATCCAACATTGTATACCTTGAGTGTCCCTTCAAGTCCTCTAAGGATAGATGTTTAGGCTTTGAGAGTGCAAATTGCACATTTCTACTGCCTCTTAAAACTATATGCCTTATATCAATATGATACTTCTGATAGATCTCTGCTCTGCCATCTGCATCCGATGTAATTACTTCACCCAAAGCAGTTGCTCTAGGCGTCTCTTGCTTTCTGTATCTGTTTTGTCTCTCATGGTGAGTATGGTAGAGGGCACGCTCTCCAGATACTGGGCCTTACCATGGACAAAAGTTTGAGAGAATTTTTCAGACTGAGGACTGGAATGAATCATCCCTTCAATAAAACCTTCATTAGAAGCATGTTATTCGTTTCACTCGCTGCTTTAAGCTTTGGGGTTAACATATACTCAGGCCCATGCGACAACGATGGCGATGGTGCGGCTGCTGTTGTAGTAAGGCTGGTTATCCTAGTGCCGGGATATTTAGGGTTTACTGTTCTTAACATGGATTGCGAAGCCGGCCACTTCCGGCTACTGTGATAATAAAATAAATGCACATACATACGAAAGCAGTAATATCGGCGAAAGTTATCAAGCACTCGACTTGACTCGTGCGGCTATACGTGAGGAAACATCACGCTAATTGCGGATGATTTGAAGATTTTTCACCCCAATGGGCCTCTTGCTGCTTGGGGTCTTACTTGCTTTTTAGAATAGTCAAGACAGTGGTTTACTTATTTATTCGTCCGTTAGCTGCGCGTGTTTTGTTTTTACTTTCGCTGTTCGTCTCGAAATAGCGCGTACGAGGAAAAAAGGAGAGTAGCGAAGAGGGGACGTGCCATTTTTTCTTATACATGGACTTTGCGACAACCTTCGGTTCTCTCTTCTTTCTCTTACTTTTGCCATCCTCCCATATAAAACCACGATCAATGACAATGACATCCACTGAAAAAAAGTTCCAGGCATTTCGCCTCGCCACCTCGAATGGGTCAACTCTAACATCAGATATCCAATTTATTGAGGCTCGGTTTAACCATAGGACGCAGCAGTACATCATCCTGTGGAGCGATGTTGTATCTGCTTATAGAGATGCAATTCATATAAAAGATGGAAAGGTAATCCTTTCCTTTCTCGCGGACGATAAGTTTAACTAGTAAGAATAATAACAATTAAGCGCTACGATCGCCCCTCACATTGTGACATGACATTAACCGTTCTGATGTTGATGATATTTGATGCAACTCAACCATTTCAATATTGTAAAACTGCATGTAGTATAAAACCTCTTCAAATCCGTGCAGAAGTTAACACCATACTGAATATAGTTATATCCCAGGCAGGTAATTCAAGAGAACCATACCCAGATCCAGCAATAACTCAAGGAGTAATAAAGGGAAAAGCAGCTGCAGCATATATGTGTGAAGTGACCAATCTTAGTTCTGTCTAAATAGATTACAGCTATGACTGCAAAGGCCTCAAGACAGAGGCGAACGCTCTATTCGAAGAACAGGATGCCACGCCTTCCTCAACAGTTGCTGGACGCCACTCAGAGACTGCTCCAAGTTATGAGTCTGCGATTTCAACACTATCAATTGTTACAGAGAGTGCAGAGTCGATAGCAGCGCCGCATGGTTGGGAGGCTCGGCGAGATCCCGCTACTCAACCCAGAGGTGGCTCACCGGATTATTCGAAAGCTAAAGACTGGTATCTAAAGGCTGCCGCCCAAGGAAATGCCGCCGCTCAAAGTAGTCTAGGCTACATGTACTACTATGGTAATGGGGTCCCACAGAGCTACCAAAATGCTCGCGAATGGTATCGCCGTGCAGCCAGTCAAGGATATGCTGAGGCTCAGACCGCTCTAGCCTTCATATACGAACAGGGTAAAGGAGTTATACAGAGCTATCGGGATGCTGTCACCTGGTATCTCAAAGCAGCCGACCAAGGAAATGCCACCGCTCAGAATAATCTAGGCTACATGTACTCTCATGCCGAAGGAGTTTTGCAGGACTATCCAACAGCTGTCAATTGGTATTCCAAGGCAGCTAATCAAGGAGATGCCACCGCTCAGGGCAACCTAGGCTATATGTACCTTGAGGCCAAAGGGGTTCCACAGGATTATTCGAAAGCCATTGAGTGGTTTCTCAAGGCATCCAACCAAGGAAATACCTGTGCTCAGACTAGTCTAGGCCACATGTACGAACATGGCAATGGATTTGCACAGAACTATTCGAAAGCTATCGAGTGGTATCTCAAGGCATCCAACCAAGGGAATGCCTCTGCCCAGAATAACCTGGGCAACTTGTATTCTCAGGGAAAAGGAACTTCACAGGATTATTCGGAAGCCTTTGGTTGGTATCTCAAGGAAGCTGACCAAGGATATGCTGATGCTCAGTTCACTATTGGTTCCATGTATCGAGATGGAAAGGGTGTCCCTGAAAATAATAATAAGCCAAAGAAATAATAGTAAAGAAGTTGCAGAGTAAGTTGATGCTGATGCCAAGTAAAGTTGGGCCAGTTCAAGCACTCACGGCTCTTGAATGTATTGAATTTAAAGCGCTGTTAAGCACACCATCATTTTCAGAGCAACGTCAGATTTTAATATCCATTACTGTCCGTTTGTCTTGATGATCAAACAATGACCATTGTAACTATGAGGCCGCTAGGTCTAGAAAGCGACAACAACTCATGGAAAGGCTACTTTCCTTCATCTTGTGCGATTTGAATACGATGGCATGCCTATTGGTTATGCATTTGCATGACAAAATTAAAAACAGAGTGAACAATTGAGCGTGGACCGCGTCCAACGTCATGTTAACTACTTTAAAGAACCAATTACTAAAATCGCTCAATCGGGTCGTTATGACCTTTTTTTGCAGCATCAGCTCAAGAACGTAGCCCAAGGAGATTTTGAATAACAACAATGCGTTTCGTAAAATTTAATGCCTTTTTAATTTTACGGCAACAGACAGACTATCCGTGCTATAATTGTTCGTACAAAGGGTTGTGTGCTGTTATAAGCTCTAATATTGCTACTGCCCTTGCACTCCTAATCCTTCTCCCTTCTTTGTGCACTCGTAAACTCGCAATTCTTTTTTCACTTGACTAAGTCAGCAAGCTTTTGTGCAACCTCTTTTTCACTCAGTCCATCCAAGAGAACTTTCTTCTCCTGGCCGTGCTCTAATGAAGAAAAAAGAAGAAAAGTCCGTGTGCATATTTAGTTTTATGAATCATTATAACTGATTTTGAACGACTCCACATACGGTGAAACATTGTAAGTTCATTAAATGAGCTAAATGGGCTAAATGGGCTAAATGGGTTTATGTTTCCCTTCATTGATCCAAAATTCTAGAGTAAAAAAAAAAGGATGGCGAGCAAGTTGCCTCGGATCAAATACTCTTCATCTATCGAATGTTTGTTTCTCCAACTGTCCTGTCCTGTCCTGTCCTGTCCTGTCATATCCTGTTCTATTCCTGTGTATTTTCTTTTTTTTTTTTTTTTTTTTTTTTTTCATAAAGACGTTTTGTAAATGATATACTAAATTAAAAATTAATTTGATCAAATTACCGAAGCGAGCAAAGATCTTGGCCTCTGTACCCTTGGCCTCACGAATAAGAATAGGGAGATTAGGATTGGCAGCTTTGACAGCATTGTAGTTAGAGGCAACAAATTGCCTACAAATTGATAAAAAAAAAGACATTTTTTTCGAATCGACTTCAGTACTTTTTCTTTTTTTTTTTTCTTTTTCTTTTTTTTTCGGAAGCTTATGGCGAGTTATCCATGATTAAACCATGTCGACGAATTATTATAAGAAAGTTCCCATAACTAATCAATAGATTGATGATCTCCACCTCTAATCCTTTAGACTAGACTTGATTCCGGCACTGTCCTGATTAGTCAAGAGTCCGGAATAACCTCCTTTTCTTTCCTCTGAGCTGTTGTTTCTCTATCCTAATGCCCTGCATTAAACTAAATCAGAGATGCAAATTTTTGAAGGTAACTTCGGGATCCATTCTTTTTTTTTGTTCCTTCCTCTTTGTAAGGTCGGATCCGACCTCCTCTAATAAAGGAAAAAAAAAAAAAAAAAAAAAAAAAAAAAAAAATGAAGGTGGGCATTAATTTACCTGAGCCCATTGCTGGCAGGTGATGTCTGACACAGGTGAACACGAAGTTCCTTGAGGCTTTTTGTGAAGGCAGACATTTGATTATGAGAAAATAGAAGGAGTGTGAATGTGTGATGAGCGAGAAATCTGAGGAGCTCGGGGTAAATCCTAAGGAATCCGTAGATTTGTATCTGAAACTACGTCACACGGTGGTTACTAACCACGTGATTAGTAAACCAGGCTCCTGTGTGTGAGGAAAAAAAAAAAAAAAAAAAAAAAAAAATGGTCAAAGCGGAAACAAATGGATACCTAAGGTGTTGTACTCGATTGTGATCATCGTTGTACTCGGTTGTGATCATCGTTGTCCTCGCAAGGGCCCCGTAAAAATTAACTCATTCAATATTGACTAATATGAACAAAAACCACATCCAATAAAGCAAATCTTCCTTCAGCTCATCATTGAGAAATAAGCCAACACGGCATCTTTAAGACTACTACTTGTCCACCATTGCTTCTACCATCAACTTTGATGTCTGTCCCTATGCCTTTTTTTTTTTAATGTATGAGTTAGCATATAATTCGAAGCTGGAGTGTAGGTGCTATGAGCTCAAGAGGAAAGAAGAATAAAGAATGTTGGATCACTGCATGGTATATTTATATGGAACATTACACACAAACCCCCTTTTTGCGTGCTGCAGCTGTAATCTGTGCGACTAAAATAGGTGTGGCGCTTTTGCATGGGCTTCTGGAGGCAAAACAGAGCTATTTAATGGAAGAGCTACAACTCATTTTAAAAAAATAACCAACATGCACAGGAATCATCCAGGGACGATATGCAGCTTTTTTTAATATGCGAGTATGCGAGCAAACGGTTATTCAGGATGCTCTTTGTAACGATGCCAACGCTCTCTTGCTTATCATGATCTTCCTACTTTTTTTATTTTGCATCAGGCACTTTATTCTTATCGAACAGCAGTAATATCCATAGCAATCTCTTAATTATTCACAAATGCATCCTACAACACGACGAAGATCCTCGCTCCTGATCGAAAAGACAGACACACATATCGAAGCTTCCTCCATCCGCTTAGATGGGCAAATAAGATGTAAAGCTTTTTTTTTCCTTCTTTCGTTGCCTCCTGATTTTCTTTTTTACCTGCGCACTGATAATAAAAGAAGGACTGTGGTTTACAGAAAAGTTCCTCATGGCCTTTCCGTTGAATGCTCTCCTCTTCGTGTTCTGCCATTCCACCTTTCCTTTTTCCCTCCCTCTCTCTCTCCTCCTCTTTCTCTTTCTCTCTCTACCCCTTCTCATTTCATCGATCTGGCATCGCTAGAGGTAGGGCTGGGTAAAATATTTCTACTCCTTCCTTTTTTTTCATCATCATCCTTGCCTTCTTTCCTCATCTCCTTCAATATATATAACCGCGCGCGGAATATGTTTATAGGGGAGACAGAAATCGAGAAAGAGAAGAGCTCATGGATATAGGACGAGAGCGAACCAAAGCAGGTCGGGTAGACTAGCCCCCCGATACAACCATGCAGTCATGTCGCTCCAATCTGTGCTCTTTTCTTTTTTTTTTGCTTTTTTTCTTTCTTTCTTTCTTTCTTTCATTTCCGTATGGTTTATCACCCTAACCCTTTCCCTCTTCCTTGCTACATCCATGCTCTAGCTAAAGCATTACTTCGCTTTTTATCCTGATCTTTAGGGTGCCTTTTTCTTCAGTCGACCGTCGACTACACTTGTATTTGTATACCCCTAACTCGGCTATCCTCAATCACTCCTTGTACTTTTATGCCCTCTCCATCTAATACCAAAACCATTTTTCCCTTTCTCGCCCACCAAGCCGCAATACGGAGAATATCATTAAAACTCTTCGTACACCTCAACCTTGAACCTTGGAACGCCCATTTTCTTTTTTATTTCATCAGATTTTACCACCAACTGTTCCCCTCGTGTCAGGTACGAGATGATATGAAGGCCTTCACTGGATAAGATACATCAGTTGCAGTCATTCATTTGCTAAATGCAGGTCCCACCCTCTTTTTTTTTTTTGCTGTTGTTGTTGTTTTTCACAGCCATGTCGCTTCAACGTTTTAGATCCAATTCTTCGTCCTTAGTATTAGATGCTCCGTCATCGCCCACCTCCTTCTCGTCCAACGTCCCCCAACTAGACGACATATCTATCCTAACTCGATGCGAGCCCATTAATGTACCACTGCCCTCTTCACCAAACTGGTCACACGAGAGACTGTTCCAAGACCCTAGTCCTTTATCTAATAGCTCACGGCTATCCTTGTCCCCAATGGTTGGTGCAGCCGGAGTCATGAAAAAGCTACTAAAGATGCGGCGAGGCTATACCAATAGTACTGGCGGGATAGGTGTGGGGCTAGCAGGTGCTCCATTGAGCCCAACGGCAATGCCATCTTTTGTTATTGTTGGTGGCCAGGGCGCGATGGCTGCAGGCTCTACGGTTTATGATGTTGATCTATTTCAGTCCCTCCCTCCTTCACCCCGCCATCCTCCTTTCATGGCGGCCTTGAGCGCAACTCATAGCTCCATAAGTCCCTCTAGCCCTAAGAGCCCCACATTCCCTCACTTTATGCTCACACGTTTCACTGGGCGCGACCATCGCCCACCACCTATGCAAATATCGAGTCCTCTTATGACGCCCATACGAAGTCGGTCCCCTCTAGGTTTAAGTGGCAGTGACTCCATTCATGAGCCCCCAGCTATATTACCCACGAGAAATAACAGAAAGAAGTTGAACAGGCGATCACTTTCTGCAGATAGTCTGTGGGCAGCAAAAGGTCAAAGACCTCCTATGGAGCGCAGCATTGGTTCGGATGGTTCTATCGAGAGGGCTTCTCGCCAATGGAAAGGCCGCATATTGGAAGCAATAGCCGATGATGACGATGGTGATGGTGATAGCAAGCAGAGTGTCGAAAGTGGCTTATTGTCAGCACAGACTCGCCATAAAAAGCAGCTGCAGGATCAAAATGATCCTGAGCTTGATTTCTATAAAAATCCTGTAGACTTTTTAAAAATGCACCATAATCTCAATACAATCCCAGAAATCTGGCCCAGCAGAAGTAAGCGGGAATCGAGTGTTCCATTCAGGCGCCAAAGTGAATCTTCTTTATTAAGTAGGGTCCTTGAAATGAAAAACAACCATTCTGAAACTCTCAGTACCAAGGATCTTGTACCAGACTCTACTCAAGGGGACGACGACGAAGTAAACCCTTTTGGTCCAGGTAGCTGTTGGAAAGATTTAGATCCCTCTTCATGTCCTACAGAGTTGGATGTAGATGCTGAGTATCGCTCTCTTCTTTCCTCAGTCGACATCATGCTGGTCCCAACAATCTCATCACCGACCAAGTTTTACGATTGTCCCAAGAGTCGACAACTGGTCAGGACCTACCTGACGGCTGGAGAACGTGAATTCGATGAGGTGGTCGAATATGGGTTCCCATCCAATGCCGTTATTGAGGATAGAGATGGGAGGGTCAAGGATTGCAGATTCCTTACCCTGAGGCTTACTTTGACTCCTTGGCATGCACGAGCAGATGAATCCAAGCTCTACGGCCCAGGAGATGCTGAGAAACACATGGCACTCAAGGAGTTGGTTAACAGATTTTTTTTAAGGACATCATCATTATTGTCTTCTTCCCCGCCTCGTGCAACATCTGACCAAAAACACCCTACTGGAAAGGGACGCAAGTCCCCTGCACTAACGTTATCAGACAACTCCAACTCACATTCACAACCAACTATGCATTCAGCTGCACCTAACCATGCTCGTTCGACACAGGAAGTGCATCCATTCGACAACATACACACAGCGTCTCCGTCTTTGTCTCTATCCTTGTCTTCGCCCTTATCTTTATCTTTTCCCTCGTCCATGTCAACGGTGAACCATACAGAAGAGCCTGAATCAAACCCTTTGTCTCCAACAACCCCAACTGCATACAGTGGAAAGCAAACTATGAGCAGTTCACCACCCAAGAATACTGTTAGGAACAGGACCACATCTATGCCTCGAAAAGACAAAGGATTCCGTATTCTAGACCCTTCTGCCTCACCAACAATCCGAAGCGTGCGGTCAACAGGGCTTTTGAGTAACAGAGATCCAGCAGAGCTCTACTGCACCTCACCCCCTTCAACCCCTTCTCCGACTTCACCAAAGTATGGCGGATACATTCATTTACTCCAACAACCGCTTACACCTCCACGGAAGGGCTCTCTCTCTGCCTTTTCTCTCCCTTTAAATATAAATGCATCCAATCATTTGAATGCAGTGCCAGCAACAGCTACAGCGACCCTTGCGCATGAAGACTACCAGACTGCACTTGCCCCCGTTATCCCGCCGCGCCGCAAAGCCTCCTCACCCACCATTCTATCAAATGAGGCTGAAATACATCAACATCGTCCTTTAAAGGTCGATGCAGTCCCTGTTCGTGTAGGATCTGCACGGTCTAGAACGGCCCCTGCGCTCTTTACCACTGCAGCAGTAAAAGCGAATGCAACACAATCCCAATCACCATCGCACGCACATTTTCGATCTCTACAGGCGGTTACTACTACCAATACTACTGGAACTACTGCATCAGTAACGACAGGAACAACGACTCTTCCAATCCCTATTCCTGGGGCGAGAAATAGTGTTAGGGCTAGTACCAGCACTATTGGCAGATATCCTCATCAGCAATTATTTATAAATGGAATGGTAGATGTGGATAGGCATAATTCATCTGTGACTACGACTTCAACTACGGGTTCAAGGATCCCAAGAGCATCCTCAAAAAAGAGGTTGAATCGCTCAGCGAGCAGTGCAAACAATATCAAGAGCACAATGGAGGTTGCTACTCGACGACCTATTATAATGTCAACTTCAACTTTAACTTCATCCGCAGCATCATCTCCAACGTCTATATCCACATCTACATCCCCACAGGGGTATGAGAATCCTCTAGTGACATCTAAAAAGATAAGAACAAGGACAAACTCAAATTCGAACACAAACATACAAACAAGAACAAGAACAAGAATCAGAACATCATCACAAGAGTGCAGTGCTGCTTCATCCATCCATCCTCTTCACACGAATAATGATCATAATATTAATAATAATAAGAAAAATAATAATAGCAACAGCAACAGCCATGTCAATGCTGCTCCAGATGCACATCATCATCTATGTATTCAACGAACTCAGTATATCCCAACTGTCAGTACTCATTGACGCTAGACACTAGATACTAATGCTTTTTTAAAAAAAACCCCCCTGTAATGAATTCTCTTCAAATATTATAAAAATAAATGTCCATTTATTCAACATAGAGTGATTGCCACTCGTGCTCGTTATAATCATAGAAGAGTAAATGGAGTATAAAATGCATGATGGATGGAATCGTATGTTGGTCATACAAAACTGATGCAAAAGAAAGCTCTTTGGCCGGGAATTGAACCCGGGTCTTCCGCGTGACAGGCGGAGATACTGACCACTATACTACCAAAGAATTTCTTGTTGGGAAGTCTTCAAATAAATACTACTTTAACTAGACGAATTAGTATTCTATAAGTGCATAAGGTAAATTTGTCACGTGGATTCCTGAATATATGGAATGATCATGCAAATGAATTAATCTATTTGACAACCCGGGTTGTCACTCTTATTTGACAACCCCCCCCTTAATTATTTTTCTCAATTTTTTTTCTTTGCGTGACAACCCGGGGTTGTCAAATAGTAAAATATCTAATTTGACAACCCCAAGCTCACTATTATTTGATAACCCTTTTTTATTGGCAAGATTATTATGTGAAAATCGTTTCTATTGCTATCCCTCAGCAACATGAAATCCCTCCAGCAATCTAAAAGCTTCCATCAAATAACAAACTTTTTTTTTTTGGTTACGAGGTGTTGTTTTTTTATTACAACTGATTTCTAAAACAAGGGTTTGCTTTTATAGAAAATGTGCCTATACGGGTAACATGCACTAAGGGGTTTTTTTTGGATAAATAAGCATGCATAAATTCGGAGTGGTTATGCGACGCTTGATGGCGCATGCGTAAGACGCGGAAAGGAAAAAAAAGAGAGACAGAAGAAGCTATAACCACAGTCATGATAATGGAGTGTTGCCACCATTTTAGAAATCCAGCTGAGAAAGGTCCTCCATAAGTACAAGAGGGTGAAGACTTGTCATGTGACAGGTTGAAAAAGACAATTTTTCTTCTTTTTTTGACAACCCGGGTTGTCAAATAACAAAAAAGTGAAAATTGAAGACCTGGGTTGCCAAATAAGCCGGTGTGACTGCTAAATTAGGGAGGGGTTGTCAAATAAGAGTGACAACCCGGGTTGTCAAATAGATTCACCCCATGCAAATGACCCTGTGGGGCCTAATTAATAGGGCAGCCCATTTATAAATTCTATTTCTAATAAATCTCATGACCTTGTGGGCCCCAGTTAATAAAAAAAAACCCTTGTGGGGCCTAATTATCAAATGCTAGGTAAGTGCGAGAGAACTTTAAGAATTTAGATCCTACATGACCTCGTGGGTCCTTGAGAATTTCTTCTTGTTATGCTTGTGAAGTAATTGGCCACAATATATATTTACATGTATCAGTCAACATGTTATATCTATCAATTTAATCGTCATTGATAAATGGGTAAGCACAGTTATCTTTACACTTTAATGTTTAGAATCATTGATTATTTAACAATAGGACCTTTCGAGCAGATCGAGGGTATGAGTATTTATAAGGATATATATAAAAGTGCCTGACTCAGGCGTTTCTGGTTTTTTAAGCCCCCTTGGGAAGTGGACAACGGAAAAAACTTTGTGCAGTGAAAACTGTGCCAACCAACATGGTCTCATGTTTGCGGTCAATAGCTGCCACCGTGCTTGTCGAGATGAAATGTCCATCATCAGCTAGTACAGTTTCAATGAGATATTTAGGTGCGGTAGATGAAGTCTCTGGGTTCTTGTACATTCTTACGACTTTGGATGGCCCGATGATAGGTTTTCCGGGCTCAGGAGAGACCAAAACTATCTTGTAGGGCTGGACATGGCCCGCAACAAAGATATCACCAGACACAGGGTCATATGAAGGATTATCAACGTAGAAGTCAAACTTGACAAACTCTTCTTGGCTAAGTGTGTGGTCTGCTTGAGGCTTGAGCACATGCATGCCAGCACCATGGCAGGCTGAGAGGAAGATAAGCGAATTGTCTTTGTTGCTAGTCATACCATTGGCACTTGCGACGCCTGTAAAGGCAACGAATGTCTTCTCAGGTGAATAGTAGATCACATTACTCCATTGGCGTCGAAGCAGCTCTTTTTTTTTTTGAGGAAAAAGAGAAGTATATATAACAGCAAAATTAGGAGAAACATTTTAACATTGCCAATGTTACTTAAAAAAAGAGGATAATTAGTCTACCTTCAACACGTCTTATGGGGCCAGTTAGATACTTATGGTCATTGGAAACATAAAATTCGCGAGGCCCCAATGCAACAATGTCATTTGGAGTGCGAATGAGCTCATGCTGGATAGTCTCCTTGTACTGGACGGCCTTGTCACCAATAGAGTACTCGAGTACCTCAACGACGCTTCCGGTACGGCGATGGTTGATGGCAAAAATGGTGAGGTCTGTCGCAGATCGCTCATGGATCCCTAATCCATGGAACACACGATCAGCTCCCTCAGGAAAGCCAACCAAGTCCATTACTTGATGCTTTCCAGACTACACATTGAATCAGGAGAGGAGAATAGAAGAATAAAAAAAAATAGAAAAGAAAAAATAAGAGCATGTAAGCATAAAGATAAAGGATAAACTAAAATCTGCCATATGCAACAATAAATAGGGCTTACAGGGATGTCATAGATCACAAACACATCTTGGAAAGCATTCTCTGTCGAAGAATTAAATTTGTCAATAGGTGGATACCAGCCCTTTCGAGCCTCTGCGTTTCCACAGGTTGTAAACGCAAGACTAGAGGCATGATGGATATGAATGTCCTCACAGGCTTCAAGACCTTCAAGAGGCTTGCAACCCTCTGTGTTGAATGGTTGTATGTCACCCAGGAGAACACCACTATCAACCACTAGGTCTTTGATTAAGTTGTAACTCAAGGCAGCAATGAGAACTATGACCAATAGGAGATCTCGGAAGAGAGTTTTGACACTGAATCCACCTGTGGCCTTTGGAGAGGTAGGCTTAGTGTGTGTTTGCGGAGTAGCCGAAGTCTTGGCGTTATTCTTGGCCATTGTGTGGAGCAAAGTTGTTGTTTTTATTTCTTTCAAATGAAGATGAGATCTGAATTGAGAAATGGAGGAATGAATGGGGTGCTATTTAAGCTGTAAAAATAAGCTACGCAGTTACGCGCCTCAGTATCGAAAAAAGTACTTAATAAATTTTGCATTAATAATACCTATGAAACAACAGCCTTTCCTATTGTCTTAGAGTTGCCACCGAAGACGTGTTTTAAATCTTAGGCGTCCTTGCTTTCACAAAGAACGAAATTATTAATCACAATAAGTTCTATGACCCTGGAAGGTCCTTATTATCAAAAAAAAAAAAAAAAAAAAAAAAAAGACAGGATTTGTAATCCTTATAATTCGTAAAGATCTCTTCTTTTCTCTGTACACCAGTGTTTTGTTAACAGCCCGCTGAAGTGCCCCTTGTTGAGATTTTTTATATTTTAAAGAAGATTTCAATTCAAACTTCCCTCCACTTTCTATTCAATAATCATTCAATTAGCAATATGGTTATCTGAGTGCAAGTTAATTGGAGGAAAACTTGAGTTGAAATCTTTAAGCCAATAGTTATCTCTAAAATATAAGGAAACTCAACAAGGACACTTCATCAGGCTGTTAACAAAACATTGGTGTAATTGGGCGAGTTCGAGCGGACCTATAAACAGTGATCTGCATTGGAAGAAGCGAAGCGGCTGTGATTTTGCAGACCAAGCACGCCTGCTTCAGTAGGGTTGTTTTATTTATCAGTCAGCTTGAGCGAGTGCTCTGCCATGCACAGCTACCTTAGACATCTCGAGTATCAATATAGGATGGAAAATACACACAAATGAGTTCTGGATATGTACATCTTAAAAAGAGATGCCTGCCAAAGTCATCCTTGATTGCTTCCTTCACGAAAAAAAAGTAGTGAAATGGCGTGCTTGCTGCAAATAGGGGAACAAGGTTTTCGTGCTACAGAAAACCAAACCAATTGAATGTCACAACAGCATTTTTTTCTTTTTTCATTGTCATCCGTTGACAAATGCTGTACTGTACATAAACAGGCTTATAGTAGTATATAATGTTCTTGATATGTCTTTGATAACAACTTCAATAAAACCCCATGGGTGTGGTTGTGGACCAATAACTTATCTCACTTACTTGACTGCCTTTGGTAATTAGGGACACAAGGTCATGAGAGTTTACTAGAAATAGGGCTCTATTGCCCTATCATTAGGGGCGCGGGCAAAGCAGTTTTTAATCGACCACACATTGCCATACTAGCATTGTATAACATCCTATCTTTTTTTGATAACATCCCGTGACGTCATGCAGAATTCATTATTAATACTGTACATTATGTTCATAAGCCACGTTAGCATGAGTGGTAACCCTTGAGGCAATGCTCCTGGTGCCTGGACTATCTGTCTGCCCGCCTATCTAGTGTTTATCACACGCCTTTTTTTTTTTAAAAAAAAAAAAAAAAAAAAAAAAAAAAAAGTCTCCCTAAACGAAATTTGCCATAAACTGATAAACTACACTAACACGCGGAACTGAATGTTTTACTTTTTTTTTCTACTTTTACTTTAATCTCCTAGGGGACTTGCCGCATCATCATGGATGTTGACTGCATGATACCCTTTGACTTTGGTAGAAGAGCTGCAACTAGGAGAATATGATCTTGTATTGTTATTGTAGTATTGGTAAGAAAAGTATACCTAGCCATTTGCTCAGTTCTAGAAGTGAAAATCGGAAAAATCAATCTTTTTGCTTTCTATTAGCTATGACCCGCTTGTATAAAAGCTCATGCTCCATAGATGCTTCAATGCATGTACTGTAGAGTAAGCTTTCTTCTTGAGGCAGATATAGAAAGCAAGAGCCGTTAAAAACCATGGATATCGACAGCGGCGACCCAGCTTTATGATCTAAGTATCAGATTTTGTAGGAGACATGGTGCTGAGCTACATACTTAAATTTCAGGTCATCAACTTTCCACCTGAAGCCAATATCAAGTTAAGAGATATCGTTCCTATTGAGTTGACTATAGTATCATAGGGAAGTACAGGTATTTTACAGTTGTCGCTTCGCTTAGCGTCATTGTAATAGGTAGTGAAGGCAAAAAGTGATTTATTAAACTATAATATTATTATTATAAGCCTTTTTAAAGACTTAAGACTATATATGTACTTTGATAATCATAGTATTCGATAGTTCGGGATCTGAAGTACCTTTCGCAAGCAGGGAATTGCTGGTTAGTATGCCAAATGAAGAATAAAATGCAAAACATTTTCCATATGGTTTTTAGTGACTCTTGCTTTCCATATCTGTCTCAAGAAGAAAGCTTACTCTACAGTACATGCATTGAAGCATCTATGGAGCATGAGCTTTTATACAAGCGGGTCATAGCTAATAGAAAGCAAAAAGATTGATTTTTCCGATTTTCACTTCTAGAACTGAGCAAATGGCTAGGTATACTTTTCTTACCAATACTACAATAACAATACAAGATCATATTCTCCTAGTTGCAGCTCTTCTACCAAAGTCAAAGGGTATCATGCAGTCAACATCCATGATGATGCGGCAAGTCCCCTAGAAGATTAAAGTAAAGTAGAAAAAAAAAAGTAAAACATTCATCCAGTTTTGCATGTTAATGTACGACGGCAAAATTATTTTTAAGGACATCTAAGCAAGGACGAATGTAAAGCATAATGGAAGGAAAGAAAAAAAGAGAGACGAAGACCTTAGTCACAGTCATGGCAGTGAAGTATTGCCACCATTTTGTAGTTGTAGAGAGCATGAAACCAAACTGTGCGAAAGGTTCTCCATAAGTGCAAGATACATGTGTCAGATTGAAAGGTAATTTTCTTTATTAACAACCCGAGTTGTCAAATTACAAAAAAGATCAGAGTTGCCAAATAAGCTTGCGTGGTTGCTAAATCGAGGGGGACTGTTAAATATATTCTCCCGTACGGCAATGGATGCGCATCATAGATAATAAATCCCGTCCTTGTTATCAAAAAAAAAAAAAAAAAAAAAAAACGGTAATAGATGTGCACTGTCCAGGAGAGCAGCCCATCTATAGACTCCAGTACTTATAAGTCCACTCGGGCTCGTGAGTCCCTGTTACAAAGAAAAGGAAATGTTGATTGATTACCATTATGGCTATGGCTATGATCTTTGCGAATCATTGACAGTAAGGACCCCCTAATTTAAAAACGCGTCTTTAGTGACAACAGAATATAAAAAGTCAGGGATATTGAATGGTTGTTGTTTCACCGAAATTAAAGCAAAACTTACTAAACACTAAACTTTCTTTTTTAATACTGAGGCGAAACTTTATTTTGTAGTTAAATAGCGCCCCATTCAATTTCATTTCATCCATTCCTCCATCCAGATCTCATCTTCATTTGAAAGAAATAAAAACAACAACTTTGCTCCACATAATGGCCAAGAATAACGCCAAGACTTCGGCTACTCCGCAAACACACACTAAGCCTACCTCTCCAAAGGCCACAGGTGGATTCAGTGTCAAAACTCTCTTCCGAGATGTCGCATTGGTCACAATTCTCACTTCTGCCTTGAGCTACAACTTTATCAAAGACCTAGTGGTTGATAGTGGTGTTCTCCTGGGTGACATACAACCATTCAACACAGAGGGTTGCAAGCCTCTTGAAGGTCTTGAAGCCTGTGAGGACATTCATATCCATCATGCCTCTAGTCTTGCGTTTACAGCCTGTGGAAACGCAGAGGCTCGAAAGGGCTGGTATCCACCTATTCACAAGCTCAATACTTCGACAGAGAATGCTTTCCAAGATGTGTTTGTGATCTATGACATCCCTGTAAGCCCTATTTATTGTTGCATATGGCAGATTTTAGTTTATCCTTTATCTTTATGCTTACATGCTCTTATTTTTTCTTTTCTATTTTTTTTTATTCTTCTATTCTCCTCTCCTGATTCAATGTGTAGTCTGGAAAGCATCAAGTAATGGACTTGGTTGGCTTTCCTGAGGGAGCTGATCGTGTGTTCCATGGATTAGGGATCCATGAGCGATCTGCGACAGACCTCACCATTTTTGCCATCAACCATCGCCGTACCGGAAGCGTCGTTGAGGTACTCGAGTACTCTATTGGTGACAAGGCCGTCCAGTACAAGGAGACTATCCAGCATGAGCTCATTCGCACTCCAAATGACATTGTTGCATTGGGGCCTCGCGAATTTTATGTTTCCAATGACCATAAGCATCTAGATGGCCCCCAGAGAGTTGCTGAAGGTAAATTAGTTTTTTTTTTTTTTTTTTTTTTAAGTAACAATGACAATGTTCCTAATCTTACTGTTACATATACTTCTCTTTTTCCTCAAAAAAAAAAAAGAGCTGCTTCGACGCCAATGGAGTAATGTGATCTACTATTCACCTGAGAAGACATTCGTTGCCTTTACAGGCGTCGCAAGTGCCAATGGTATGACTAGCAACAAAGACAATTCGCTTATCTTCCTCTCAGCCTGCCATGGTGCTGGCATGCATGTGCTCAAGCCTCAAGCAGACCACACACTTAGCCAAGAAGAGTTTGTCAAGTTTGACTTCTACGTTGATAATCCTTCATATGATCCTGTGTCTGGTGATATCTTTGTTGCGGGCCATGTCCAACCCTACAGGATGGTTTCGAGCCTTGGCGTGCATGGGAAACCCATCATCGGGCCATCCAAAGTCGTAAGAATGTACAAGAACCCAGAGATTTCATCTACCGCACCTAAATATCTCATTGAAACTGTATTAGCTGATGATGGACATTTCATCTCGACAAGCACGGTGGCAGCTATTGACCGCAAACATGAGGTCATGTTGATTGGTACAGTCTTCTCTGCACAGGGCTTTTTCCGTTGTCCACTTCCCAAGGGGGCTTAAAAAGTAGAAATCTCTGAGTTATATCTATCTTTATAAAAACTCATATTCGTACTTCAATCTGCTTGAAAGGTCCTATTGTTAAATATTCAATGCCCTTAAACATAAAGTCCAAAGATAACATACATCAATGATAATTAGATTGGTAATATGTTGACATCTTGATTAAGAGGACCCACGAGTTGACATATATAATAATAACCTCATATGGATTTTCCACTACTGTCACAATTTTTTTTTTGACAACAAGGAGGTCATGTTCCACTACTCCCTTTGGTATCATCTCGGGAAATTTTTAGCCGGTCAGTGAGTCACGTGAAGAAAATCAAAATTCATACACTTATGGAATTTTATTATTTCTTTAAATAGTTGTCAATGAAAAATTACTGCTTAAGGACTGGGGGCTATACTGAATACCAGTAAGAGCCGTAATAAGACGTAAATATATAGAACACACTGAAGTGTTATACCAAGATAAAGGTCTTTATTAGTTTATGATACAATGCTATACAAGTAACTAGTGCTGAGGTTTTTTTTTTTTTAGAAAAAAGATATTTGCACGGGCCCGTACACCTCTTATTTGCACGGGGGCCGTACAAATATTTAAAAGATCTATTTGCACTGCCCCGTACACACCTTATTTACACCGCTCCCCCCGTGCAAATAAAAAAAAGTTATTTGCACGGGGGTCTTTTTTTTTATTTGTACGGGGTCTTTATTTTAGCCCTAAACACCATAACCAGGAAGCCTTCCATGACACAGGCTTAGATCTAGAGCCGCTGCCTAAGCATCAAATACTGACCAGAATATCTTATCAAGTTCGTATGTAGCTCAGAGTAGATGTTGGCATTCTTTATGCGACTGGGACTAAATACAGAATTACAAATGATTTATCTATAGTTGAAATATACTATGCAGCTTTACTTTGCACTTTTGTTGGTTGCATTGTTATGGTTCCCCGATGCTTAACGCGTGCATACATCTTAGGTATTTCCGTACACTATTAAGCACACAACGATGAATTCAGTTATTAGGAATCTCTAACGTGTAGTTTGTGTCGGTAGATGTACAAACAATCATACAATCATACTCATTTCTACGATGTATAGCGTGCCGTGTTACTACCTACTCTCTTTCTTTTCCCTTTCTGTTTATCAAATTCATCAAAATACAATGGGTAGACCTCAGCTTATTTTGTGGAATATCTATCTTCTTACCCGATATTACTTGTCTTTTGATAGTTGGTGACAGTTCGCACTCAAAACCGAACGTGCACAATCACCTATATCTCTATATCTTAGTGGCTAAAATACTTTAATAGCATAACCGTGACTAATAGTGATAGAAAAGAGACATAAATATTCTTTTCTGTTATTGAAATATGCCAGGGTCATAATAAGTAGCGAGAACGAAAGAAAGGTGTCTTTATTATGATCCAGGGATCTTCGTTAAATAAAAAGGGTAAAAACCTTAGCTATAGTAAAAACCCATATAAATGACTGCTAATCGCAATAATCCTTAGTTTTGTCTCATTACATTCCAAGTTTATTATCATAGCCAACTTACCTTGGTTCGTCTTTAGCACGCAGTATTGCATACTCAGCACATGTAGATGCTCACTGCGTCTAAAGGACCAGCTTCATATTGTACAATCACTTGAAATGGTAATGAAGAGAAGCACTGTCTTCAATCTTATTTCTTGCCGTTTTCCCTCAGCCTGTACTGCCCAAAAACTTCAGTGATTATCCACATTGCCTCATTAATAAAAGGGTAAATTTATTGAACTTTAGCTCCATATTACATACATAGTAAGTTATATCAGTTAGGTTAAAACAGTGCACCAACTAAGAAGGAGGACAAAGAGAGGGTTCTTGTCTGCCCCACGTGAGTGGTAATTTAAATCATCGTATACGCTATATGGGTCTAATGGTAGTATTTTTGTATGTCACAAATGAGCTGTTTGGCAGCTCCCACGGCGCTGCAACTTCCACCAGTAGACCCCTCTCTACTCTAGACTCACCTCCACTTATTTATATAAAGCCAGAATCATGTAGTCTGTAGGATACACGTTGCTGCTTGTAGATGAAAAAGAGACCCCGTGCAAATAACTTTTTTTTATTTGTACGGGGGGAGCAGTGTAAATAGAGGTACGGGGCAGTGCAAATAATTTTTTTTATAAGTAAAAATTTATTTGCACGGGGGCCGTACAAATAAGAGGTTTTTTTTTTTTTTTTTTTTTTTTTTGATAACAAGGACCCTCAGGGGGGCCGTACAAATAAGGGGTGTACGGGCCCGTGCAAATAACTTCATCCTTTTTTTTATAACAACCCTCACAGTAACTAGTGCTGAGGTGAATGAGGCTGCATACCTGAAGTGATATATCAAGATAAGGTAAGGAACACTTCAGGGAAGGGGGTTGCCCTGACAAGTATACTACTCAGCCATTGGGCTGCTTCACTTTATGTGCCTTAACCAGGACTCGAACCCAGCCCCTGGGCTAGACAGGGGGTGCCCTGACGAGACGGGGTGGGTTTGAGAGTACCGCTATAGGTATACCTCTGGCTCTGCCTACCAAGACGTCACTTATTATTGATGTGGCTTAAGTAATCTCTATTTAGAATATTTAATTGCAACCCTCACAACAAGAAATTCTTTGGTAGTATAGTGGTCAGTATCTCCGCCTGTCACGCGGAAGACCCGGGTTCAATTCCCGGCCAAAGAGCTTACTTTTTGCCTCCCTATTAGGCCTTGGGGAAGCAGTGAGAATAAGGTGTGGTGTGTGGGCCGTGCAAATAGTTTTTAGACATTTATACGGGGGAGAATTCTCTGTATTCCGTTGCAACATATCAAATCGACAAGAGATGACCCCTGTTTTTTGAAAGGATTAATCTATTTGGCAGCCCAGTTGCCAAACATTATTTGGCAGCCCATACCAAATATAGTAATTTTTGCCTCTATTTGGCAGCCTACTTCTGGGGGCTGCCACTTAACTTCGCACTCTTGGGTGGCAGCTGGGCTGCCAAATACATTACTTTTTTTTTTTTTTTTTTTTTTTTTATAACAGTGTCATAACATCAATGGTAAAACAGGCAGCGTTCTGTGGATACATTGCCTTGCACAGCTAATGCCGCCGGAGGTACTAAGGGCAGCGGCGATGACATCTTCACAAAACAGCCTTCAATGTACACGGTTAGGGAATGATTTATTGAAGACGTCTAGGTAGCAGGTGAGACGCGTTTGCTCCGAGCGAAAACCTCTCATAGGCATTGATCTCCAAATGGCACCTCCAAAACTGTATGAGCGACCTACTTGAAAAAAAAAAAAAAAAAAAAAAAATAAATAGTTAGAGGCCAAATAGCCCTGGGTAGGCTGCCAAGTAAATAATGAATGTTATTTGGCAACTGGGCTGCCAAAGAGAGTCTTGAAAGTTGATTATATTTGGCAATGGGCTGCCAAATAGATTAATCCTTTTTGAAATAAGAGTTACCTTTTGACGATTATTTTCCCCTGAGAAGTGTCTGCTTTTTCTCGATTGGTGTCTACTTTTTTTCCATTGGTATGTCCCCCTTCCTATCCTGGCTATATATATTTTTTCTCGACAAGTCCCTTCCTGATCTCCAACAGCAGTAATGACAGTAAATCACAAACCAATTTAATAAGGATGAAGTTATTTGTACGGCCCCTCGTGCAAATAAAATTTCATTTAAAAAAAATTTATTCGCACTGCCCCGTAGATACCTGCTCCCCCCGTGCAAATAAATAAAAAAAAAAAAAACTATTTGCACAGGGTAGGTCTTTATTTCAGTCTTAAATACCACTACCAGGCCAGGAAGCCTTCCATGATACAAGCTCGAAAGCTAAGCATCAAATACAGACCAGAATATTTATCTTATCAAGGTCGTACGTAGCCCAGAGTAGATGTTGATATTCTTTATGTGACTCTAGGATTGAGTAAAGAACTACAAATGGTTTATCTATAATTGAAATATATTATGCCGCTCTACTTTGCACTTTTGTTGACCGTGTTGTTATAGATTGTGGATGGTTCCCTGATGCTTTCTTTCATTTAGTGCGTGCATACATCTCTGGTATTTCCGTACACTATTAAGCACACAACGATGAGTTCAGTAATTAGGAACCTCTAACGTGTAGCTTGTTTCGACAGATATACAAACAATCATACTATCATACCCATTGCTACGATACATAGCGTGCCGTGTTATTACTCTCTTTCTTTTCTCTCTCTTAAATGTCTTTATCTCTGTCTTTCTTTATTAAGAGCTCAAGCGTCCTCGATACTAAATTTCGTTTATCAAATTCACCAAAATACAATGAGTAGACCTCAGTTTATTTTGTGGAATGTCTATCTTCTCGCCCGCTTGTAACCCGAGAGGTTACTTATCTTTTGATAGTTGGTGACAGTTCGCACTCAAAGCCGATCGCGCCATAATTACCTATATCCCTATATCTAAATAGTTAAAATACTTTAATAGCATAACCGTGGCTAATAGTGATAGAAAAGAGACATAAATACTCTTTTCTGTTACGTTAATAAAGATCCTTATTTCTGTTCAATCAGGGTTGATTTTTCACCAATAAAATAGCCAGAACTTGCCTTGGGTCATCTTTAGGACGCAGTGTCGTATACTCGGCAGCACATATAGATGCTCACTGCATCTAGAGACTAGCTTCATATTGTACAATCACCTGAAAGGTTATGAAGAGAAACACTGTCTTCAATCCTATTTCTTGCCGTTTTCCCTCAGCATGTACTGCCCAAAAACTTTAGTGATTATCCACATTGGTCTCATTAATAAAAGCGTAAATTTCCATCTTGGTTGGTGAAGTATTTTTGTATGTCACAAATGAGCTGTTTGTCAGAGATTCGAAATAAAAAAAATAATGAATAACCCACTTTGACCAGACTTTTTTTCGGGTGACTGTAGAGTGGAATAGAGCGTGAAAAATATTTTGTAGATAGATAGTAAGCAGTAGAAAAGTAAGTGAGAATAAGATATGGGTTCACACACCACACCCATGGGGGTATTTATTCATTTTCTGGTAGAGAGACTTGTACCAGGTAACTACGTATCTATCTATAAGATGACAAAGATTCGTTCTAAAAACTTCATACCAAAGATTTATCGCGTCTATGTGTGGCGCGTTATTGCCACTAATTTCTACCGCTAATCTTTTTTAGCGCATTAGTGTTATTTTTACTCTAATTTTTTTCTAACTAGGCCCCATCATAATATTGCATACTGTGAAATATGCAACAGAGCGCGATGAGTATCGCAGCTCCCATGGCGCTGCAACTTCCAACAGTAATAATCCGTTTGTGAATGTCGACTCCGATTGCCCTTTCCTTGATAAAGAATTTTGTTCTGCTGTTGAGAAGGAACGCAGAGCGCTCAACAAGAACGGTTTCTTCGGACAGCTCCTTTGTGATAGTGATTAAGTAATTAAGGGTTCGAACATCTACAACAAGTTCCTTGGGGCCTAGTTGTCATTCAGATGGGTAGTTTTTTAAGTAGTTCATATATTGAGTCGACTGCCATTCCACCCTATTGAGATACTCGAAGGGATTGTTCTGCCTGTGGATTTGAATCCCATTCATAAAATCTGTAAGACCTGTCATAAGGCGGTTTTGAACAGATGATTTTTTTTTTTTTTATTTTTTTTTATTGCACGGAGGTGCCAGAGTAAATAACTTTTTGTATGGGGGCCGTACGAATAAGGCGCGTACAAGCCCATGATGCAAATATCTTTTTCCATGAAGGAGATGTTCTGCAAGATAGTTTTTTTCTTCTCCTTCTTCTTGTTTTTAACTTCTGGTGCACCTGTACATTCGTTTGCATATGATGTTCTCAAAGAAGATACAGCAGGATTTAACGCTTGTTGCTCATGAATGTCTTTACTGAAGACAATGTTATGCTGTTGAGAAGTATAAGAGAGTTCATATTGAGCTTGCTGTCTGACCTCTGAATTATATCCATACACTGTTGTAAATATCATTTATACCGAAAAAAATAAAAAATAAAAAAAAAATAAAAAAAATAAAAAAAAAAGGCTCGCCACTATACGAATGCAGTTTTTTTTGATTATGATATCCAGTTTCGATTCAGTTGAAGCAATGGTCTAGAGACGCATAGACATAATCTCCCGATCGCATTGTTTTCTAATTGTTGCCCGAGTTTGTTTTATTTTATTTTATTTTATTTTTATTTTTTCACTTGATCGAAATTGAAAGCCTGAATTTCGGCCAATATGGCCAGGCTTTAGATGGTTGCAAGCAATATAAAATTTTATAACATGTCCAATACTGGCTGCGAATTAGACACTCTTCACCAATCGCCAGTCTTTTCATATTAAAACATCGTTTTCACTAAACAAAGATAGTAATGCGCTTGGTTTGGAAAAGTCGGCATGAAAGTGATGCATTCATTTTTTTTATTTTTTTTAAAAAAAAAAAAAAAAAAAAAACAAATTTCATTGGGAAATTCATGGGAGGAAGAAGATGGTCTATTGGTTTCTTTTAATGACATAGTTAATTGCAAGCAAGAAGGAAAATAAAAAACAACTACAAACTAACTAAGCATGCTATCCGCTTTCTCACGTCAAAGCTAAACTGCAGGCAAAATAAAAGAAAAAGGGAAGGTTCAAATAACGATCTCGTCTTCAATGGCACGAGGTTCCAATCCTAAGCGATCAAGACATGTATGGTAGCGATCTGGGTTGGATTTCTTGAGATATTTAAGGACAGTCTGACGTTGATGGACCAACATGCGCAAACGACGATAGTTGTGTTTATCCTTCTTATTATTGAGGACGTGGTTGTTCAAGTTTTGAATCCTGACAGTCATAATGGCAGCTAATCGAATAATAATAATAATAATAATAATAATAAAATTGGAAATAAGAAAACAAGTTTCATTGTTTTTCAAAAGAAAAAGAGAAAAGGTAATAATAATAATAATAATAATAATAATAATAATAATAATAAAAGCCATGAGAATAAAGATTACCTTGAACTTCAGGGCTTCCAGTGTCACCTTCAAAGCGTTGGAATGCTTCCTTGGCTCTCCTGATGTTTTCCAATATGATCTGTTTTGCATTTCCATTCTCAAGGGCAATGATGCGGCGGACCAATTCTGCCTTCTGTTTCTCAATAGGGAGCTGAAGCTTGTCACTGACAAGTGTGGAGCGGTTCATGAGTTCTTCCAGGTGGATATGGGGGACCTTATCGAAGATCAATTCTGCTTCCTGATTAGTTAAGAAATGTTGGTATCCAGAAGGTTCAGATGTCGAAACTACCAAGGGCGCCCTAGATGATGAAAAGATGGAGGATGATAATGGTGAGGCTGAAAAAGAAAAGTTGGATCTTGAGGATGATGTTGATGATGATGATGATGTGCTGTCAGACTCGGTATCAGTAGTCGTGGGAGGTTTGATAGAAGCGAGAGGAGCTTGGAACAGAGTCTGAGGCTGAAGAAGCGAGCGCGTGAACTCTGTTTCCTTTCCAATGATATAGTCTGGTGTTGATTCTTCAAATTCACGATGTTTATCTTCCTGTTTCTTTAGGTTAGCCTTCCGGGTCTGAATGGCAATGTCCTTCCTTGATCGTCGAGCTTTAGCCAAAACAGCGGTTGATGTGTGGAAGGTATTGCATGGTGTTGCCTTGGTTGAAGCAACTACATTTTGAGATCGGAAAAAAAATAAAAATAAAACATTGTATATTAGCAAATGAGTCCACTGTGAATGTGTGGTTGCATTAAGGAGTCAACTCTTCTGATCAGTTTTGCTGCAGTCATGTCCATTGATCGTGTATTGCAACTTTTTCCTGTTAAGCTCGCTTTGTGATAAAAAAAAAGTAACTTCGGCTTTTTTCCTTTTCTCTCTCTTTTTTTTTTTTTTTTTTTTTTTTTTTTACTGTATAGCCGTACCCAAGGAACGTGCTCCAGGTAAGACTGTGCGCAGACCAAACATGATAAGAACAGAATACGATGGACAAGATGTAGGAGTCAAGTGAGGATGGGGCAGCAACGTCTCCGAAGTCAGTGTGGCTAGTCTCACAGGAACTTCCTACGAAAATAATAAACATTTTTTCTGATCCGTTCATTTGTGATTTACGAATAAGCCACCATTAGCTGAGGGCAAGGCCAGCTAAGGCACAAAAGAAAAAAGACATTTCTTTCATTCGCGAGAAAAAAAAAAAAAAAAAGGAAAAAGGCATGGTCCGCTTCAAGAACAGATACTTGCTATTCGAGGTCGTCTATGCGAACACGCCATTACGATGGGCTTCGATTCCAGCTTCCAATACATTAGAACTGTCTTCGACAGCTGATCAAAATCCTTTTGGAGATACTGGAAGAAATAACTGTCAACTACCACAAATCAGCAACAAAGACCTGATGGTTGCTCTTAAGGACTCGATAGCAGGGAACTTTGGAGATTATGGAGCTGGGCTAACACAGAGGCCATTGACATGTATGTATTAGGGTTGATCTCCTTTTCATCATATGTGTTGTCTCTACCCAGGAATTTGATTTAAGGATTTCTTTTTTATTGTATTTATCATTGGCAGTAAAATATTTTTCACCACACACAAACATTGGGATTCTCAGGATATCGAGAGAGGAATTGCATATTGTATGGGGTGCACTCACCTTTATTACACAGCTGAAAGGAAACCCATGCATTTTCAGAGTCCTTCATACTTCTGGTAACTTTACATTTTCCATTTTTTTTTTTTTTTTTTTTTTTTTTTTTTGGTTTAAAGCCCCTGAGGAGATCTGAATTGAATGATCAAGAATTGACTATGGTATGTAATCCTTATTTCATATTTGCTTTTATTGAATTGATAGGTACGATCCGACATTGTCAATCACGGACGATTGCCTACGATCGTGACCGGATTATGGCCCTAAGGAACCAGGCACAGCTTTTGAAAGACGATCAGGCGTTTACACAGCTTGGCCTTGCGCTTAAGGACTCATTAGACGAAGTTAATGCGCTGGAGCTTTAGAGTGGGGGATTTGATTAGGACTTGTTGTCTTTTTTCTTTTTTGTAATAGTATATATTTTTTTATTTATCTGTATTACTGTAATTAAGGAAAATGTAATCATAAATTAAAAAAAAAAGGCAATCTTTGCCAATGATCATGTGATCTGTACAAAAATGGCAAAATTTCGTACGTGAATGATTAATCACAGCTTTTTAAGTTCTGAAAGAATTGCCTGGAAGCTCCTTTTTTCCTGATCTGATCACTTTAACATTCTTTACATTCTTTACATTCTTTACATTCATTCTTCAGAAGAGTTCATCTCTCAGCCCCATACGACAACAACACACACCTCTACATTCACTCGCATATAATTCAAAATGTCTGGAAACATCGGTTGGGACGATGAGATTGTCCTTCGTAAGCGTGCTGAGCATACCAAGGTCACCCGCTCCTCTGCTGACATCAACGCTGCCCGCCGTGCAGGTGCTGTTGTCTCTACAGAGCGCAAGGCTGTCACTAATGCTGGACATGTTGGTGAAGATTTCCGACGCATTGCCAAGTTGGCTGAGACTGATGAGATTGTTGCACCCAAGGCCGTCTCCATGGATGTTGGAAAGGCCATTGCAAAGGCTCGTATTGAATTGAAGATGAACCAGAAGGAGCTTGGTGTCAAGGTTAACGAGAAGCAGACTGTCGTAAGTTTTTTTTTTTTTTTTTTTTTTTTTCTAAGCCCATCCCGCTTCTCCTTCCCCCCTTCCCCCTTTCCCCCTTCGTTGTTTTTTTTTTTTGTGTACAGGATCTTGCAGTTTTATTTTGCCTGCCGCAGTCAGCCCTAATTATTATCGTAATCCTAATCATGATTGTTTTTTTTTTTTTTTTTTTTGCCTTCGCCCTTTCATCTATTAATAAATTGATGAATAGATCAACGACTATGAGGCTGGGCGTGCTGTTCCTAACCAGCAGATTCTTGGAAAGTTGGAGCGTGCTCTTGGAGTCAAGCTACGTGGCAAGGATATTGGCTCTCCCTTGACCTTCGGAAAGAAGTAAACTCTGGTCGCTGATCGACCCTTTTTTTTAAAAAAAAAAAAAAAAAAAAAAAAAAAAACAGCCTCCATGGAGAACCTCTTCTTTTTTTTGTTTTGTTTTTGCTTTCCTTCAAGTCCACCGAAGAACAAGATATTTAAATTTACTCGACGGTTACTTTGAGAGTTTGCATGCCAAAGATTCAACCTCCCTAAAGCCATCCTTAGACACCCTTTCTTCTGAATGCAACTAGTAGATGTATATAATAAATTTCCAAAAAAAAGTAATTGTGTCTACGTTTATAGTTCTTGAAGATTATCTGTGCCATTCATTTTATGAAAGTAATAATGCAAATGTAAAAAAGTACAAGGTTGTCGTCCGAGCGACCGAGGTCGGGCCAAATGGCTCTGAGTCTGATCTCCAAACTCAATAAAAAAAAGCCACAGAATAGTCCAGCCTTTTTTTTTTTTTTTTTTTTTTTTTGATAGAGGAAACGGATGCATGTGTTGTGTTGATGAATGAACCCTTTTTTGGGAGCCAGCCAATTGCATTTCGCACCCCCCTTTCACTTCTTCTCCTATATACACGATAATGAGTATAACAAAAAGGACTGTTTTAATACTGGACCATAGTCCACATGCGCGCAGGCGAGCATGTCATGAATATGAGGAGAAAGCCATGGCTTCAAATGAGTGTAATGTTTTTTTTTTTTTTTTTTTTTTTTTTTTTAGTATCATGGATTTGTGGTGTGCTTTTGAAACTTCAGTTACTGTTTTTTTTTTTTAAAAAAAAAAAATCCATCATCTCTTAATAAAAATAATTAAAAAAAAAAAGTTCCGGACAATGATGAATTCGACTTGGAGCCATGTTCGATGTGGTCGAGTTTTGTTCATGCATGCCTGCATTACACCCGTTTAGCATGGGATTTATCACCTGTTGGTCAAAGAACACAGGTTAGTAAAAAGACTTTTTTTTTTTTTTTTTTTTTTATTGTCTTATCATGTAGATCAGAGCATTGTATTGGATACTCTGTCTTGACATACTCTTAATTTCATCACTAGGTATCCGTCCATGTGGCACCAGGATCAGGACAAACGTCCGATAGTATAGTACTGAATACCTGGGCCAATCAAGATCAGAGCTTAGGGAGCGTAAGAAGGAGGCATTATGTCCGTTTGCGGAAGAAAAGAGAGAAAAAAAAAAAAAAAAAAAAAAAAAAGCGCTCGATATCCATCCAAATCATAATTTTTACTCTATAGATTACTTCTCAATTGAGGGAACTGCAACTTCGGGATGATGACATGGAGTCCGTTAACGCAGAGAGCGATGACATGGATGATTCTGGCGGCTGGATAGAGCATGCATTGAAGGGCGCAATAGCTCATGCATTGGAACCCATACCAGTATATTCAACACCATTAAACACTATATCTACTCCATCAAAGATGACAATCAATGTCATAATGCTTCTTGCAGACCTCAAAGAAGAAACTAAGATGGATGACGAAGACACAGAGATGGGGGATGAGGATGATGAACGCGCATGGATTTATGGCGATCTGGATCTGCGAAAGCTTCTCATGGATGCCCTTTACAGCCTACAGGAATGTGTCAGGAATAGCAGGTAGGTTTATAAGCAGAGTTTTTTTTTTTTTTTTTTTTTTTTTTTCTATTCAGGTGGTATAGCATGGACAGGATTGCAGGACACTAACTTCTAAATACATCCCTATCATCATTTTTGACACATTTGGAAGGGTCTCGGCTATTAATGTAGAATTTATAAGGGTATCGACACAATCAACAGCACCAAGACCAGATATCTTAAAGGAAGATGTAAGTAATCTCATGCTATTCTTTGATGGATGAGCACCTCAAGCTAATGCATTTCATATAGGATGAAAAAAAAAAAAAAAAAAAAAACACTTTGACTTGACTTGCAAATATGTTCATTGGTAGATTTCGAGAGTTTGTTCGTCCTCTGTATATACAATCACCACAAAGGATGAGACTACCGTGACAAGTGGACTCATCAATCATTATTTGCGACAAAACAGAGGTGTACAGCTTCTACGTCTTCACAATTTGCCTTTAAAGCGCCAGGACAATGATGAAGATAACAGTAATAACGCCCCAGTGGAATTGTTTTACAGATCGGATCACATCAGAGCTTTGGCTTGGAAGAAGGCAGACATGAATACTGGGAACAGGATATCCGCCGTCCTTCATGATACCCCCCAAAACCTCCGTGAAATAGCAGAACTAGAATATGGCGTGGAATGTACAGAGTTGTCCAGTAAGTACTAAACTCGTTGTTCACACATGTGCACTTTTCTTGGATTATCATCAAAAGATTCCGATGAATTTTGATATATAAAATCTTTTTTTTTTTTTTTTTTTTTTTATAATAGATGTTATACCGACTGAATGTACACATCTCGCATCAATATCCCCTTCAACATTTACTGCATCATTCTTCCCTTTCATCAATGGTAGGGCTATACATGTATATAAAGATGCAATACATGTAGTGTTTGATGAGTATGACATGATATGAACTGCAATTTGGATCATTAGGCAAAGTTCACCTCCTGAAGCATCCTGGCCCTGGTGATTTGGCCTCAAAGGCCCTCTTTGATCATGATGGACAGCTTTTCATCCACTGTCTCCAGTCAGAACCAGATCCATTAGCGTTTTCAATGCAAGCAGCCCAACACTTTGATACCAATAAGAAGGTCAATGTTTCTTCAAGTAATTATCATCTTGAGGTTTGTGCTGAGGACCCTGCCGCTGAGTATTTTCTTTCTTCCTTTTTTCCTTTCTTTTAAAAAAGGGGAGGGGGGGAAAAGAATATAGGGGCCAAAACATGCTAACGTACAGTGATGTTATGTACTATTCTAGGAGTTTGTGGACGCTATTCTTTATCCCAATCTGATTGTGCCTGGCGCCGACTCATTTTCTCAGGAAGGAAACATATTTACAGAGATCGTCCCACCTGCTTTGAAATCAATAACTTGTAATCATAAGGAGAGTGAGGGTGAAGATGACTACAAGAGTGAGGAGGGAGCAAGCTCAAGAGGTGTACATATGACGCTTGTCCACACGACCTCTAAACTAGACTTGGAAACGCGATGGCTGGTCCAATGGGAAGGAGAGCGTACACATCCCATTCTGGTATGACATTTTTTTTTTTTTTTTTTTTTTTACGGCTTCATAAAGTTTTACCTTTTTCATTTCATTCTACTCTAGCGACTATAGCAAGTAACATGTTTCTATTTTTGTTTTCGTTTTTATCAATAGCCTGCTCATAATACACAGATTCAGAGATTTAAAAGTGCTATATGCAAAAACAGTGTGGACACAGCAGGAGTTGCTACTATAAATTCAGTCTTGGATAACTTGATTGCGGACGCACGCCCATTAGCCCTACCAGGCGAATCAACACCATCAGGACAGGGAATGGCGTCTCAACAGCAACAACGATATCGTGAAAGCGCTCAGGCCATTCTGGCGGATTTGTGGATGATTGGCCAGCGCTTCAAGTCTGTGTCGCCAAGTCATGCTGAGGTGAATAGTTATCACGTCATCACGCTTTTTCTGTGGCAATATCATGTGTTAAAAACATATGCTTATTTTTTTTTTTATTTTTTTTTATTTTTTTTTAATGTTACTGTTTTTATCTGGATTTGGGTTTTATACATAGGCGGCACGACTTATTGCCACCAAGGTAACACCCAAGGGATTAGACCATCAGACGGTGAGGCTAACACTTGTACCACCGAGTAGGCGAGCTGCTTTGATCAATGCAGAAGCTCAGGGGGGAAGTCCCATGTTCGACAACGGAGACATGGGAAGTGATGGATGGAGCCGGAATAAGGGTCAGCGCGGAGGTAATAATCCAGGTGGTATTATTGGTCGCGGGGGAAACCGGGGAGGTCGATTCGATAATCGTGGTGGTAGAGGGGGAGCGGGTGTCAACAACGCTGCAGGACGCGGCAGAGGAGGTTTCCGAGGAAGTCATAATACAAATAGTCCTGGTGGTAATAACAGTAATGCAGCCATTTCTGATGATATGAGTTTTAGTGGAATGGACTCTTCAGCAGGGCCTAACAACGACATTATGTTGAGTATGACTGGAAAGACACAGCCGGTTCCTTATTTGATCACACAGCCGCCTACACGAGAGGAATTAGAGGAGTCGGAACAAGAATACCTTGCACAGCTCGGTGAGGATGGTTGTTTGCTTAAAGCCTATTGGGGTTCACGGGGCGCACAGGGCTCTGCAATTGCAAGTGTGCTGAATTCGGTCACGTCGCTTGATGCTCCTTCTGCCAATGCATCGAGTTCAGATATACAACAACAACAACAACACCAACCAGATCCTATTGTTGCAGTGGCATTAGCAGCACAACAAAAGATGAAGAAATTGCCGACGAAGCGGCTGAGATTACAGGATTTTGCAGGCCGGACACCGTCTGCAGAGAACGGAGGTTTCAGTAAATAAGATAGAGCTCCGATTTTTTTTTTTAGGAAATTACGCTAGATTTTGCATGTGAGAACGAGGTGTAGCTTCTGGATCAAGGAAATACGTTCTTTGATTATTTCTGATTATCCAATAAAATCAATCTTTCCGTTTATTTTTATTTTTTAACGTCGTCGAACCATTATAGAATATCTTTTTCAAAGAAGCATACCATGGAGAGCATAGGAATCTGGACTTTATTTGTTCTATTTGCAGATGCGCATGATACATGAACGGGAGATCATTCATATTTTTATACACACGAGTTATTGTGCATTGCAGTACAGAAGGGAGACGACAGATACGCGTCGTTTTTTTTTTTTTTTTTTTTTTTTGCTCACATTTCTAATTTACTTGTTAAAAAAAAAAAAAAAAAAAAAAAAATAGATATCGAAGCAGTTGAACGTCAGTTGGCATATGAATGCTAAGGATACATGTAGATAGTAGGAAAAGCTTAGCGGGAAAGGTCTAACTACGGGAGGTAGAACAAAAAAAAAAGTTGTTCTTTGTTCCTTGGTGTAGATGAATCTGAAGGAAAACATAAACTTGTTTGTGAGGGACAGAGACGGTTGAAGACCTTTTACACATGTCTTTTCTATATACTTTTATTCAGTTGTTTTTGTTTGTCCTCTGATAGTGTGGAGAGAAAGGTTTCTCCACATAGTCTAGTTCAACATGCAGCAATAAAAAAAGATAATCTTGGATGATGAAAGCGAGGATTTTCTTCAGGGTCATATATATATATATACATCTGTATCGTATCTTTATTAACTACAGTACATGTATATATATATATATATATATATATATATATATATATAAGAACGCGTACATGTACCGTTCATTTTGTATTGTAAAACAAGAAGTCTTTGCTAGCTAATCAAACCATACAAAGAGAGATTCTCGAGTATTCATCCGGAAACTTTTATTGAGAGGGATTTTTTTTTTTTTACTTTTCTATCGTTTTGTGGAGGACTGAATCATGTGGGGTCTTGACTTGAATTTTATCGTCGGACTAGATATGTAATGAAAGAGACTTTTTTGTGGAGAAATAATGGGCTCAAATAGGTTGAGGGTGAGGCCAGCACAGTCCAACATGAACGGAAGTTAGCTTGTTGCGTCCTATAAAGTTCAATCGTAGTCTAGGAAAGGGAGTGCAAGGGGGAGGGAAGTACGTGTGGTATGTATTCTGAGTGTAGTATTCAAATGGCTCCAAATGTACTATGTAATAAAATACCGAATGTCCAAACTAGGATGTTTTTTTTTTTTGCGGAGCATGTGAATGTGTCTTTCTCTCCTCTCCCCACCGAATCGTTTCCATGTACTTTTATTGGCCTCTGTGATTCTCACCTATGCATAGATACTTTATAATATATACAATTCAAACAGAACTGAGGATCGCTGCTTGGCCTGCTCTCTAACAGACAAAAAAAAAAAAAAAAGAAAAAAAACCATCAACGACAACAACAACAAAGTACTCCCGGGGCGCTCATTTGACCTATACTTTTCATGCTTTCAGGACCCATCAATAACACCCTGCAGGAAAACTCTGGCACTAACTCAAGGATCCCTTACAATAGAACAAACAAAAGAGTTTATCGGTTGTTTATCGGCTGCCCATCAATCGATCTCTCCTTTCATCCTTTCCGCCTCAACTATGGTTATATGTTTGTATGTTGGTGAATAAAAGCAAGAATGCCTTATACACGTCAATACAGACATATATATATCTATATAATGATTATCATCTGTTTGTTTAGAAAGAATTCCAGAGGAAACAGAGCAAGGGAACATGTGCAGTCCTTTCAGCTGTTGTGGTTTCGCCCCTCTCCTCTGTCTCTCCTCAATCCAATTCTCGTATTCTTTTGCTAATATTTCTATTGTCATATGTCTCTTGTTGGATCTTAGTATCCATTCAACCGAATCACATTCCCAAGTCTGGTTACTGCAACCTATCCTATGGCACATTTTTCATCACCATGAGGCTCATTGGCCATTGACATTTTTTTTTTTTTTTTTTTTTTTTTTTTCCGTTATTGTTCAGTAGCTCAGTAGCACATGTGCATGTGTACACTAGACCATCTGTGGGGAAGAAGAAAATGACACGACCCACGCAAACGTTCATGCGAAGAAAGACAGAAAAAAAAAAAAAAAAAAAAAAAAGCAAGAGAAGGAACCATTTGGCCTTTTTCCTTTTTTTTTTTTGTTTGCTTTTCGTACGCCGAAAACGAAGGCATCAAAAAAAAAAAACACAATTTCACACGCAAGTATTCGAGCTGACAGAAGGGGACCCAACGGGAAACAATAAATGCACGATGTGTGATATCACATAGACTGCTGGGTTCTTTTTTTTTTTTTTTTTTTTACAAACAACCGATGAAAGAGTCAGAGAGGCTGTGGGAAGAAAAAAAAAAAAAAAAAAAAAAAAAGAAAAGGTAAAGGTAAAGGTATGGATGGATGCGGGCATCTGGTTGTAATCAATATCGCCCTTTTGTCCATGCCAACTTTAATACGTAGATGGTGATATTTATTTTTATTACTATTGTTGCCGTTGTTGGTGATAATGGTGGATACATCTTGCTTGGCTGTTTTATTGTTGTCGGTTACTGAGGTCTTCGGTTTCCGGCCCGTCTTGTTTGGTTCGTTGTTCTTTATCTCCAAACCCCACAAATTTACCTTCCACTCTCACATCCTCCACCCTCTCTTTCTCTCTTTCTCTTTTGTCAAACAAAAAAAAGCTCACTCGACAATTAATCTATCCTTTTCTCTTTTCTCTTTCTCTTTCTTTCTATTTCCTAGCCTTCCCTTCCACCCCTTCTTTCACTCCTATTAATCTTAACCCCCCAACATTAGACAAACAAACACATTCTCTCCATTCATCCTCATCCATTCTTCTTCTCCTTCACAGAGTCGAACCATCACTCTAGTTCTTCCTCACTCTGACCTCTTCTCGTCACTCAATCACTTTTAACTTCAACAGATCAGCTCCCAAACAAGAATTAATATTTCTCGAGATACCTAACAACACAAATTTTAACTCTTCGATCTTTACCATCAATTATCTTTTTTTCCTGACAGTTACTTTCGCTACTTTTTTTTTTTTCTTCAACCACACCCGCTTTCAATTCTCTTAAACTGACAACCAATATGCCACCAGCTCCTGCAAGGGATCAAGTTAAGGCGCAGCCGATGTCTATATCACAACTCTGCCAGCAATCCGAACCGGATGACGACTTGAACCATGATGTCAAGCAGGACCTTGAAGAGGATCCCCTTGACCTCAATTCTAGTGATCATCCTCACAATGTCCATTACAACGGCTATAGCAACGGTAATGGTCATACCAATGGTCATATTAATGGCCATAGTCGCTATTCCTCTGATGAGTTTGAAGAGGTCGATGACATAACACGATCCAAGTTGGCATATGATGACTGTGAGCGTGATGCTGATGAGCGGCTCGCAGCAGAGGTTCTTGAAGATATGGCCAATTCTGCTCGAACATCAACTTCAGCATCCGTTGGCCCAGATTCTTCTACAGCCCCTGCTACGCCATTCATCTCTAGGATGTCGAGTTTGCCTTTGGTAAACTCTGCACTTAAGGCTTACGAGTCAGGAAAGCAGAACAGCAAGGTCATGAAGGTAAGAAGACCCAAAACATCGTCTTTATTCCATCTTATCTTCCAAACCTTCACATCCTATTTCATATTTCATATTTCCATTTTCATTTTTCATTTTTCATTTTCATTTTTCATAATTCTCTTGGCAAAGAATGACAGAAAGGGAAGAGCCGATGGAATGAAAGTTTGTGTGTGCATATGATGAATTGGCTGTATCGCCACAACAACGGATTGCCATTCGTTTTTTGGGGGGTGTGCCCAGAGCATGACATGCTCAGTTCACATTCACATATTACCCAAATGCTCATATACACATGCGCAACTTATCCCTAAACACATGCTCAATTTTTGCCCTGAACCTGTTGCCCATGGCCTGGCGTGTTTGTGTGCTTTGGCCCTCCTCCTCATTCTATTCTAATTTCACAACTTTGCCATGCCATCTATTGTCTTCATTTGCTCTCGGATTGTACATCAATCTATACATCGCACAATATCATCATTTTGTCATACTATCACGCTACGCCCAACTTGCCCTAGGCGTGATGAACCCATGTTGATCCAAGCAGAGCCAAGCAAGTGTTTGGGAAGGGATCTCTAGCCTACTTACCATGCATCTTCCATCTCACACTTCTCCACGTTGCTGTCACATTTCGTTATACCCTACCTGTTCTCTCATGCTCTCATATTTCTGTGGTATTATTCCGTGGGGTTGAAGCTGGACCTTTTTTTTTTTTTTTTTTTTTTGTTTTGATTTGAGAGCAATTCGCTGTAGCTGAATGACAGACATCTGAGATTGGAGATGGGGGAGCCAAATATCGTTATCTCTCAGTTGTATTGTGAATTTGTACCCTCCACTCTCCTGTCCATGTGTTGCTCTTCATTTAATTATTTGTTTGGAAATTGTTGCATGTCTGTGTTTATGTAGTGGAACAGGGCATGGACATGTGTTTGATGTGTGTCGCCTTTCCCCAAATAGCCCCAATGACAACCTCTAATAGCTAATCATCCTTAATTATGCTCTCATACTAATTTAATGTTTGAATGTTTGCCTACTTGATCGTTTTCATCAACATAGTATGGTGCAGAGATGGTTGAATCCGGTGTAAAGACGCTTTCTAAACCTGTATTTGATAAACTGGAACCCAAGCTTGGTCAACTTGACGATTTCGCTTGCCGTCAATTGGATAGGGTATGATACTAGCCAATGCTTATATTCTCCTCTCGTCATTTTATTTTTATTTTTATTTTTTTTTATTTTTTTTTTTAATCCTAACTGAATTTGGGTTGATGATGTCAAGAGCTTCTATCCCCCCACTCCCATTTCCAACTATTATTCCATTCAGATCAGCGGATCCATGATGAATACATGGTATCATTTGATCCTTGTAGCTTGTATTAGACATACTTCACTGTGTCCCTACCCCTTTCATCTATTCTGCCCTTTCATCCCTTTGTTGTGCAGTGTGTACTACACAAGTGTGGCTTCATGATTCGAACTCAATCTAATGCCAAGTTACCTTTGGATATTTAATTGTGTAAAATTCAGGTCTATCCAAACAAGCCAGAAGTGCAAGTGCTTCCTTCGCCAACAAACTCCGCTCGATCATCGATATCATCTGGCGATAATTCTCGCCTTGAGAATGGACATAATGGTCCATCTAATGGACCCGAGCCTTATCTCGCATATCGATCACGAGGCGACAGCATTGATAGCAGCACCTCGTCCACCAGCTCAAGACCCAGCTTCGATGTTTTGCGCTCTCGAAGTACTAGACACGAAGAAGGTATGAATTGAGTTTGGCTTGTTCTTTGTACTGTTTATCATGACTATCTTGATGCAGGTTTTAAAAGTCTAACTCCATTGGACTTTGGTTCTTGTTTATCTTAGTCACTCTGAGACAACGATCAGATTCACAATCTAGCCAGAGAAGCTTCCAATACTCTGGAGCAGCAACCAATGGGTACTATCCCCAGCAACAGCAGCAACAGCAACAGCAACAGCAGCAACAAGTCGCCACTATGTCTGCCCCGTCACAACAATTTTCAGGCTGGAGAGGTGTTGTGGCCACTGTTGGTTCTGCCTCGGCTGCGGGTGTAGCTATATTTAGTGAAGAGAGCATGAAGAGCTTAAAATACTGCTTGCAGTGGTTACAGGTATTTTTCTTTTCTGTTTCTTCAAAGTATCCAAGCATCCAAGCATGATACAGAGTTGATAGCCATGAAACTTCGACGCTAACTTGAGCTCCGTACGATCTTTTTTGTTTACTTTTAAAGTATGCGGTTCATCATATTGATCATCAGATCGGTCTTCTGAGAGCGTTCTTGGTGTCCCTTGCCAGTCCATCTCAAAGCACAGCTATGGTTCCATCCAATGCTGCGTCGACATTAGCTTCGATCAAGAAGGAGGTAGTTGATACACTCCGCAAGGTCATCAATGTTGTTTCGCGTTACGCTGGCGCCTGTTTACCAGACCAAGCCAAGATCAGCGTCCGTCAATTCATTCTCTCTATGCCCGGTCGCTGGGCCTCGATCAACAATGAGTCAGTCCCATCCACACCTGTTGGATCTCCTTCATTACGACCTCAGTCTGACCGCAGTCCTGAACAAGTTGCGGCTTTGAATGAGACATCTGAGCGCGCCACCAAAGTCTTGGTTCTTGCTCATGAGTCGTCTGACATGCTCAAGTCTGTGGCGTCCATCTTCAAAGATTCTGTAGATAAGGCCGAGAATTGGATGGACAAGCTTCGTTATGTTGGAATGAACCCTCAGCACAACAGTGATGGTCTTCCAAGCTGGGCTCCCACAGGATTCCCTGGTCAAACTAATAATGGGGCGATGCCAGGATGCTTCCCTGGTCCTGAAAATGGAAGTGGATCCAGTGCTGGGCTTGCACAGTATTCTCTGCGCCAGACACAACATCCAAACACTAATGGTAACGGCCATGCTCACTCTTCGGGATTGGGATCGCCCACGCGAAGCCTAAAGACTTCACCGCGGATGAATAGTCGCGAGAATCTTAATCATCGTCACGCTTACCGTCAGAAAAGCACCATGTCAGGAGATGAAGATTCTGGAAGCGAAGACGATAATGTCCCAGTAGCCATGGATGATAGCGATGATGAAGCGACTCGCAGCCATGCGCCTTTGAAGCGTAGCATGGGGTCTGCGATCTATACCCAAGAAAGCGCCGTTCGCCGCCGCAAGAAGAGAGGCGAGAGTGCTGAAGAGGTCGCTGGACTAGGACAGAGCAATGGAATGGAAACTCAAGAAATTAAGCAGGAGTCCAACTAAGCGCCCTCTATTTATCTTGACCCTCTTCCAGCAAACGACTCTAGGGTCTTGCTTGGCAACAAAAATATCCCATCACCATCATTAATGTCACTTTTTACTCATCCAAAAAATTAATCAAACTTTCGAATGGTGGATGGAATGAATGTGACGGATGAAACTATCAAGGTCATATTGTGCATCTTTCCTCCTTTCCCTTTCTCTGCTCTTTTTGCCCCTTTCTGCCCTTTCTGCCTTATCCTTGGAGCTGGCTCATTACTTTATATTTTCTTTAGTTTTGATATTATGACTCTTGTATTCTAGTCCAAATTTTTGATGTACTCTATTGTTCATAGCCCTATTTCTTTATTTATCGAGCAAACTATGTTTTTTGAAGAATCCAAATAAATAAATAAAAAAAGATGTTTTGATTGATGGTAAATCCGTTGTGATTAATCAGTGGTGGCAGTGCGCTGAAGAATTTCATCCAGTTCATCACCCCAGGTCTCTATGCATCGTTTTGCGTTTAAATTCAGGGCTACGATTTTGGCTGTATTCGAGTCAGTCTTGTTCATGGACAACATTGGCAAAGCGTTGGGCCCAGTCTTGGACGCCAACAGTGTAGGTGGGGCGCCGCAGAGCATCTCGGAGGCCATCATGACGGTGGCGATGGCCTTATCCAGGTTCCAAGACCAGTGCCGTTGGTCCGCAAGGGGTACATTTTCGTCCTGGATGACAATCTGATTCATATCGTTCAAAGTCTGGGTCGCAAGGGTGTGAGAAAGGATCAATATTTTGGTGTGATGAACCCAATGAGCGATCCAGCGAGACCATTCTTGACGCATGAGTAGTTTGTCAGCAGAGAGAAAGACTTTGCGAGGTGTTGTTGTTGATGCATTAGGTGTGTGTATAATATCACGCTTACGATGGGTGGACTTGCCTTTGCTTTTTCTTTTTCTATTGTCTTTGGGTTGTTTACTCTTCTTATCAGAGTATGTTGTGCCAGCTCCAGATTGGGGGAAAGAAGCGATGTCATCCTCATGGTCCTCATCATCATCGTCATCATCCTCATAGGTCAGACTTGCGATATGGAAGCCCTGGGTATCACCCTCGTCTTCCTCGTCGTAATTGTCTCCAGCAAGGAAGGCGCCTACGGAATCGGCACTGACTTGTCTCGCCTCGTTTTGGCCGCCGTCTAATCCTGATCCTGATCCTGATCCTGATTCTAATTCTGCTTCTGATTCCGAAGTAGAAGAGGAGGTTGTGGCAGCTTTGAGAGGTGTGGTACCAGGTGTTTTACCTCTCGAGCCTTTGCGTCTGTTCCGACCCATTACCCAATCATTCAGATCCTTCACTATACGGTTTTCCAGGTCTTGAACCAGTTCTTCCTGTGCAACTATAAGCTTATCCTTTGTCTGAGGAGCTGTGGAGGCCATCATGTAGATAAGTAAATCTCGATTTCGAAGATGATTCATGACATGGTGAATCTGAACAGCAAGTTTAGAAAGGATAGCATCTCGAAGACTAGGGAGGCAGGTTTCAGAGGAACAGAGTAAGATAGGGCCATTACCACCAGTGCTTCCCAAGTTGTTATTGTCGCTGTTGGAATTGAGGGTATTCTTTTCCTTATTATTCTTGTTAGGATTATTGTTTCCATCATTAGCGTCGTTGTCATCATCTATAGTGTCATCATCCATATCCAAAGGGAAATGATCGTCTTTATCTGGATCATTGTCTTCGTAGCCGTCGTCATTGATTTTTTGCTTTTTGTTATCGTTACCATTGCCTCCTTCATCGACGCTGGAAGATTTTATGGTTTGCTTTTTGCGGTGGCGAACAAGAGACATGACTTCAAGAGCGGCAGCATTATTATTGCCATTGTTATCCCCGACGATGCTAGTGTCGGCTTCGTCCACAAGAGGCCTCTTGAGTGGATGAGGGGGTTCCAAGCTTATGCCAAGGGACTTGATGGTATTCATGAGAGGTTCGAGAATCCTAGAAGTCTGGTCCATTACTTTTTCTGTAATATCCTTGATATCATCTAAAATCTCATCTGTCAGGTCAGTTTCAATTTTGAATAGCCCATCCCTTTCATCTCTATCCTCATCACTGTCGCTGCCACTGCCATCATATCCATCACTATATATGCCGCCATCGCTCTCGTTGTGGTTGTGGTTATTGTTGCAAGCCCTTTTCGCATCGGGTTTATTATCTTGTTCAAATTCTTCTCCATCTTCTGTCATAGCCACTAAAATTTCGATTTCACCCAATGATAAGGGTCCGCTGTTCTCGTCCTTGCCTTTAATAACGGTCTTGGCATCATTTCCGCCTTGTTTCAAGATCGGGTCTGGGGCAGTTACTGCTCCTTCCTTGGAAAAGAATCCTTCATCCTCGACATTAATGACTCTTTCGAAAGGGAGCCTTGGCCAAGAAGGGAATGAAAGGATGTTGCTAATCCATATGGTATCCCCAACTATAGTAGTTTGTTGTTGTTGTTGTTGTTGTTGTTGTTGTTGCCGTCGCTGCTGCTGTTGTTGATAATCAAGTGCTTGAATACGTGGAGGGAGCTGAAATATATCTGGTCCAAAGAGAAGATAGACACTTGTAGAAACGAGAACACCAATAGACACGGAAAGACTGAGAAACGCCCAGGATTTACGACTTGAAGGAAAAGTAGCATTAGTAGATCCTGAGGATGAGGATGAGGATGATGATGATGTTGCAAAAACTGTTTGTGAAGGTGATTTGGGTTCTTGGAGAGTACCGGCCTCCAGGTCGAAGCCTGGAACCAGGTAATAAGGCGAGGATGTGGGATGCATTGTTTGTCGGACGTGTTTAAACATAAAAATAGATAAATCGATAAATAAAAAGAAAAGGCTTTATAAATAATGTTAAAAAAGACCTTGGGCTTGTCCAAAACGCGCCTATTTTAGTCGAGTGTGTATCGGAATAGATCGACGAGAACAGGGTCTTATTATCCTAGGCTTTTTTTTTTTTTTTTTTTTTTTTTTTCTCTTCTTTAATCAACACGTCAAGAATCTAGGGTGAACCGAGCGTAATTATAACTGGACCGTTATTCCTTATCCATCTTCATTTATTAACAATTCTTAAACTGGGTATTTATTTTTATCGTTGGATGGGAAGAGACAATTCTTAGTGAAGTAACAGCTTCTTTTTCACTATTTTCTTTTATTCTAAATAGTCTACACTTAGAGGAAGAAAAAAAGGACACAGAAAAAATAATAATAGTAGTAATAATAACTAATTCTTCTTCTTGGATGAGGATGTTGTGGCGGCAGACGCACCCGCACCCGCACCATCAATTTTACCAACTATGGTTACGGTCGGTAACCACCCACCGGCTTTCATTTCAATTTTTGGCTTCCAACCTTGAACAATCAACCCATCCAACATGATGACAGTAGAGAGGAGATACAGGCCTATACTGACAAATGTATGCCACCATGCATGAAGGTATAGATCCTTAACAATCCATTCTTTGGTCGATAATGATGATGATGATGATGATGATGATGATGATGATGATGACGTTGTTGACGTTGATGTTGGAAATGACCATGGCCATGGCCACCATGCCAACAAGGATGTTTCGCAGAAATTCAAATCTGTCATCCAAACAGCCACAGCCACGGCATAGAATGCGATTCCAATCTCGAAGGTTCGTTTCACATCTGGATATTCTTGTTTACGGACACTGTAAACTTTGTAGATCAAAAACAAGGCAGCAAACTCCAGGGATCCGAATGTGGTATGGAATACAAAAAACTGGGTCTTTCCTGATGTGAAGGCCACTAAAAAAGTCACCAGGATCCCATGAGCGGTCAAAAGGAGAGGAAACCATTTGGGTTGTGGACCTAATCTGGATTCGATGAGACAGTAAAATAGAGCCAGGACAGAATAGAGCATTGGAAGTTCATCCAACATCTGCATCTTGTGGAGGAGAGTGGCGTGGAAGAGGAAGGAGCCGATGCCCACTACTGTGATGGTACGGAAGGCTAATTTGAAACGGAAGAGACTTGGGGCTGAGTTTACGTTTGAGGTGGAGGAGGAGGAGGAGGAGGATGAAGATGAAGATGTTTGGGGGTTGTAGATCATAGATGACTCGAGACGGTTGATGGAGTAATAGGCAGCTTCGCCGAGCAGGATCATGGCAAAAGACGAAAACGAGTTGAAAAACTCTGCGATGTAGTACGAAATCACGTAGTTGTCTATAGTAATAATAGTAGTAAAAACCAATCAATTAGACGCGTAAAACAAATGAACGTGTTGACAGGTCTTATGAACGTCTTGAGCACTTTGGACATGTTTGAAAAACATTACTAGTTCAAATATTGTTTTTCTTTCCTGTACCTTCGCACCAGTCAATGGAGGATGTGGGTGGTCCCCAGTGACCAATGTGATTGTTCTTTCCCATGAGAGTGATGATGAGAGGATGCTTTGCAAATGAATGTTTTGATTAATTCAGAAATGGTAAAGAGAATCGTATTTTTAAACAGGTTTCTGTGACAGTTCAAGACAATAAGTCCGAGCGACTTTTTATTTTGGGCGCTGCTTTTCCCTGTCAAATTAAGGCGACAAAGAATGACCTCTGAAAGGGTCTTCCGACTCTCTAGAACCCTATTTTAGCAGTCTCCACTGTCAACTCTCTGTAGGGTGGATGCCTGTGACTCAACATGCAAATGGGCTCATTTGTGCTCCTCAACTTCTCCAATCCTTGCGTTTTCACTTTTTCTTTCCTTACTTCCCTCCTACCCACATCAGATAATACACTCTTGAAAACAACAGTATGTAAAAGTACTCACTGAACCTAAAAATCCAATTCATCACAATAATGTAGGCTCGACCCAGCCCTCTCTATCTTGAAGTGGCCTTTTATGATCATCTAAGATTAGGAAAGACACAACAAAATAAAAAAAAAGGGAAAAATAAAAAACAAAAAAATAAAAAAAAAATAAAATAAAAAAAAGAAAAAAAAAAAAAAAAAGAAAATATAAAAAGTATAAGAAAAGAAACATAACAAAAAAAAAAAAAAAGGACAACAATGCCTATCATCAATGATCAGAATCGAAATCTCATATAATCCCACCTTCTGCCATTTCAGCGTTCATTAAGCATCCCTTGGAAGCCCCTGGACGAAAAATGAATAAATACCCATGGGCATGGTATGTCAAACCCACATCTTACCTTCACTTACTTCCCTATCCCCTAATTTCCTCAGCAAAAGCTCTTCACTTCTTCCAAATCCTCACTTGATATCTATCTCAAGTCTCAATCTCAGGTTAATATTTACATTGATTGAAGGAATATCAGGCGAACTGTTCCACATATATACCTTGTTCAGATAGGGCATAGACAAAGCGTTCATGTTCGGTCATTTGATCCTTCTATGGCCAACCTATTTTATGAGAAGTGAATGGGAAACGTTCATCTCTTTACACTCCCGTTCTGTTGCCTATAATTGATCAAATTGCTAACTTGCATGTGGTTAATTTGCCACAATGATCGGTTCCTCCTTTCTCGCTGTACTTTCCATATAGAAATCCTTTTAAAATGGAGATTCCAATGGATGCTTCAAAGAAGTGCAGCGAAGTGTTTGGGTTCGAACCGAAGGAGAAGCAATTGATGGTTATCGACTGTAATGCCAAAAGAAAGGACTGTATCCTTATTGCCCCATGCGGATGGGGTAAAACGCTTGTATATTTCCTTCCTCTTGTCCTCTGGCCAAATAGGATTATCCTTATAATAAGCCCTTTGAAGGCGCTCATGTGGGAACAGTCGAATAAGCTCGCTGAAAAAAACATCGAAAGTATAGCGCTATCCTCCGACAACGATATTTTAAACAACAAGGAGCTTTTGATCGAGGAGCTTTCAATTGGTTCTTACAGGGCTGTGTTCGTCACCCCTGAACTTCTGTTTAACAGTAAATGTTTAAACGTACTTTGGAGGAAGGATGAATGGAAGCAGCGCCTTCTGGCCGTGATTGTAGACGAGGCCCATTGTGTGAGTACTTGGGGCGGCAACTTCAGGGAAGCATACTCACAAATTTTCAGGCTTCGACTTTTGACCCAGAATACACCCTTCATCGCCATTTTCAGCTACACTTCCAACTGCTGTTCAAACTGAGGTCATTAAAGGGGTAGGAGTAGGACTGAGGCAACCTACGGTCATAAATGTTGGAAATGATCGCCCCAACATCAGGTTCGAACTGAAGGAATTGTTACGTACCGAGGCTTGGGAGTGCACCTCAGGTGCACTTCCATTTTTATTCATAAGGTCAGAATATCATGTGACGGTCATAGAGAGTCCTTGATAAAAGGCTCTCGTTTGACAACAATAATAAAAACAACTTTTGATCTCCTTGACTTCTAATATCTGAAAAACATCTCAGGAATACAGGACAAAAGCCAACCGCAGCAGGACTGGCTACCCAGCTTTCGACTTCCTCTTGGATTTCAAAAAGACTATTGTTTATTTTGATACCAAGGATGAATTGATGAGTGTTTGCAAGTATCTGATGAGAAAAGCCGCTGAGAGATGTTTTTCATGCTCACTTGTCCGAAAAGGGCAAAATTCACCATATGGAACGATTCGAACAAGGTGATACCTTGATACTTCTATCAACAGAGGCGGCAGGAATGGGGTGCAATATAAGGGATATTGATCGCGTTGTTCAAGTCGGTATGCCTGAGTCCATAACGTCACTTGTTCGGCGGCTCGGGCGCGTAGCTCGCGATCCATGTCGGAAGGGGACCGGTATTGTCTTGATAAACTGACAGTATGATTGAAAAACTAGGGGAAAATCTTGGGAAGGTCACGGATACTGTATCGGTTTTAGAATTAACAGAATGGACACCATTCTTTGATTTTTTCCCGGTTCAAGTCGCAGAAATCTTAGGAAATTGAATGCAGACATTAATGCTCATCAGCCCATGCCTAAAGAAGTGTACCTAGAGGTACAAGATGGAGACAATCAGTCTGGATTCGTCCATAGTCCGGTTGTAGGTGGGGTGCAAGCGTGGTCACATAATTGCGATTGCAAGAAAAAGAAAGAAGAGGAAAAGCCCAAAGCTGGGAATGTCCTACCACTCTTTGGAGGCATATATTCACAACCAGACCCCGAGCCATTTCGCAACTTTTTCATGGACTTCTCTCAATTGCCGAATTTTCCGACCCGCCGACTTTCGGTATCACCGGATGCACCTATAATCCCGCCATTTATTCCAGCTTCACCTGGATGTGCTCCATCCCAACTTCTTCGTCGTCAAGCTTCCATTCCAAGGCTGCGATGGACAACTGTCCGCTATGGATAATAAATTTGGTCAAAAAGAATCCCAAACATTGAAATGATATGGATCCACTTAACATTTAGCTTAGAGACACCTTAATTCATTTTGAAAGAGGACGATTGATATAAATGTTTGATTTTTTTTTTTATATATATATATGCAAATGTATCACTGTTACTGCGGCATTGGTAATAACGTGTAATTATCATTTATTCAGTATTGGGGGCAAGTTTTGAAAAATTCAACCCTGTCTGTTGTCCATGCCTCCTAGATGATGCGGCTACGATTTTGTAGGGCGTACTTTTTCCTGGAGGCAGAAATGTTAAGTTAAAGTCGCTAAAATAATATAGCAGGCAGGTTTTGTATGCCCCATAACCATAAATATGCCAATGTCAGCCTGCTTGATCTCCAATTAGAGTCAGTATCTGGTGAATATTGCTGCTTCTACACTGAGATCACCCATCAGCTTATTTTTCTTAAGAACCATCTCTGTAGAGCCTGATAGTAAATAAAACTATCATTTACATCATTATCGCGTATGGCTCAAGCTGGTCATGGGTTCATTTTTGGAGGAAGCTGGCTGCTTGTTCGTGGCCATCAAACGGAACACAAATGGTTGATGACAAACGCAATCTTTGAAAGGTTGCAGCGATGTAAAAGCGCAATTCCTGGACGAAACACTGGCCTATAGAGATGAATATAGCTTGTATTTCAGGAATTTGGTAAATATAGGCAATGCAAAGGTGAAAACATATAATCTGACTTACATGAGAAACGTGACACCAGCACTTGAACAACAGACGAGCAACTAAACCATGCAGCAGGCACTTCAAAGGAAAGTATCAAGCAATTGTCAATCTCATCGGCAAGCCGCTAACTAAAAAACAAGACGTCTGCATCACTGCCCTCATGAAGAGAAAAGACATTCTGCAGGGCTTGTTCCTTGTCTGGCTTTGAGATGGCTTGTAATCTACACAGAGCCTCGCTGAAGAGACAATGCATTCCACAGCTGTTTCCTCGGTCTCATGAGAATATTGCAGCCAAGCCTATACTGGATGACTAGATTCAAAGCTTTAATATAAAACGTAATCAATTCGCCCATACCGGGACACAAGTAAATACAAACGTCATCAGCCATGTTTAGCATTTCTAATTACATTGATATCATTAAGATCGTCTGACAAATACAACAAGCACTAGAGAGGCATCAATCAGGTTTTTTTTTCGTTGGTATGGGTAGAGAGAGGATTGTGATGATTGTGATTGGATGAGAACTGTTTATATTGTGTTATATACGTCATCGAAACGACTGACCGTGTATGCTACTGTATAATGGATAGCGAAGACGACAAAGGAAGTCTTACGCTCATTATCCGTACCAGCGACCCTTTCCTGCCCCGCCCACGGCCACCCAAGGAGCATACGATTCTTAGCGGTCGAAAAAGAAAGATGTAGTACCAGATCAGCCAGCAGAGAGAATTTAAAAAAAAAAAAAAAAAAAAAAAAGTTTATTTTTAGTTTAAGGGTAGTTCTGTAGCTCGAGATTTATTAAAGAGAAAGATTACACAGGAAAGGGTCGCTGGACTATGAAGGATAACGTCCTATTTATTGACTCGTGGACTCGTGTTCTGAAGGCGACCATAAGCCTAATCACTTTTCCAAGTTCCTTCATATTCTGGGGGTTCTTCGGGATTGTTCCATGGCCTACCTGATACACCAAAACAATTTTGCCCTCGAAACGTGCTTCCAGGAAAGTAACTTCATCCAAACCAAAGAATACGCCGAACGAGCGAAAGTTCAAATGATTACCCTTGAAAAACTTTCGCATACGCACAAGTGCCTGTCCCATTGTAATCTCAAGTTTGCGAATATCTGAATCTTTGGAGCTCTGGTGGTTGTTCTTCTTCACTTCAACGGTCATCATGGCTATAATCAGACCATTCCGAAGACCCATCTTTATATTGAGGATATAGTCATGCGTCATATCTCTTTCCTTCCTCTCCTGCACTCGCTCCTCCCCCCTCTCCTCCTCTCCCTGCGACGAACCAGTCTCTTGCTTCGCACTGCCTTTGGGGTGAGGCTTTGCCTCAGTAAAAACCAGCCTAGCACCCTCGATATCCCGAAAGCAAGCCAGCAAAGGAGTGGAAATAAGGGAAGTAACCCAGCCCTCCAAATTTCCCAGAGGCCTTTCGAGTTCGTTATTTTCCCAAAGCCAATTCCTGATTCAGACATTACGGACAAATTAATAAACTAGTCGCATTTATGAAGGATTTTGTTGACCAACAGCTTAGGACATTCATTCACTTACAGATGACAGTATACGCTTCAGACGTATCTAGCCGTCCTTTGTTCAGGTGTGGCTGGTTTAATACACCGCATCTTTGGAGACATTTCCATGTCGATCATGAACACGGCCTCGACGCTCGTGCAACAATCAAAGTTATTTGTCCATCGAGCTGCTTTAGAATATTGGTCATCCTCAATAAGCCTGACACCTTGAACCACTTTTTTAAGGTTGGCTTTGTGTTCGCTTGTTAGAGACCTGTTGTACTCGAACCTATATGCATTAAATTGCTTATATTGCACACCGTCAAATACTAGCATTTCTGCAAAGTCCTGCCAGCTGTTATCGGACTCTTGGTCATCTATCCTCACTCTCTTATTTTGACCATCGTCCTTATTTTAACCAGGGATATATAAAGCAGGGTCAGTAAGAAAGTGATGTATTCAGTTACTACCATGAATAATGACTTAACAGGAGATCTTAGCCCGCATAGAAAAGCTGTCAGCGCTTTACCTGGTTACTGTTAGAGGGCTCCGCCGCTCTGGTACCATTGAAATATTCACGGCATTCTTCGGTATCATTGATTTGCTCAAGCAGCTTTCTACACGCCGTAGTCACTGCTTGGGGAGTCAATCTATCGTGGATGATCTTCTTAATGCCATCCTCCCAGAGTGCCACCGCCGTATCAAGGTCCGAGGATACGCTGCGAGTTTTGCAGAAGTCCAACAAAGCCCAATTTCTGAGTATATTGGTTCTAAAGAATGAATCAACCTCCAGATGCGCAGGCGCGCTCCAAAGCAAAGCGTAACGAGAGCTAGTGTCCATGTTGTGAAGATGCGGAGAGGAAATTGGATATGCTGAGAAATTCTAGAATGTGTTATAAAGTGTGAAGAGAGTTTTCAGATTAGAGGATCAAAATGTGTTGGGAACGTTGACATTCTTGCTTGAAACGAGTTGCTTTTATACTTGTCTTCGTTCCAAGCAAGCTTATAAGGAAGAAATTTCTGAAAATGCTCTCAGCTATCATTGAAAGTATAAATATACTACGATGGTGAATTGCTTCGGTGGCGTCTCACTACGTGACGAACTTGCAACAAGACCTGCAACAAGCGAACGAATTGGCTGCCAATACACTCGAGAGTACTCAAAAAATATAAGAGATCGCGACCAAATGAAATGGATTATGCTTGATGTGGGCTCGCCAGAACATTTTGCTGTGCCTCTTTCTGCACCAAGTTGTAGCAAGAAGAGGCAAACCAAAATAAAAAACATCCCAATGAGGCCACATCAAGCATAAACTATACATTCAAGGCACTACTTGGAGAGGGAAGTTTTAGAGGCGGGTTGACAGATAATTACATTCCCTAAGAGCCCTTGACTTTTTAAATATTTGGTCAATGATTCAGCTAAATCAATTCAACCATCGTTTTTGACCAAACAAGCCAGAGTATACATTTCTACATGTAATTATTGAATTGTTTTGGTCGGCTCAGACTTTTGAAACTTAAATGAGTTGGTGGCCAAAACTAGCCACACATTTAATACTCAAATCCCATTCAATGTGGCGCGCTTTTTTCTGGGGGCAATTCAATCAAATTATTTTTATAATATGTACATAGGACAACATGTATTTCTATGTTATGTAAAGTTTTGCGCCCCTACAAAGAGCTCCTAGTTTCATTAAAAACTTTATCAAAGGAATCCTCATGGCAAAGTTGGAGAATCCGCGAGTTTGAATTCAGTTGCATCCAAGCTGACAACTGCTGGTCCCGATGATTCTTGAAAGAACCTAGTCACGGGATTGGAAATGATGACTGTACCTCGAATAATGTATTACCCAATCCATGTGGCACTGGCTGCCTGTATGTGGATCCTGCCGTTCATATACGGGCTTTTCTTTCGTTGACCATGTATCCAGTAACAGAGAGCTTTCTCTAAAGTCGGGCTATTGCGATCAACGATATAATGTGAATCTCGGAATATCTTGAATGCAATACGCATTTTATTTTCATTATTAAAATAAAACCCTGTCGAGTGCCATATTGCCTTGGAAGGTTTGGCTGTAAAGCAACACTTCCTTTGCTCAGGATAATGAAAGATATCTAATCTAACTTAATATTCTTTCCCAGAGGGCGGGAGGCCTACATAGCATCGAATTCTCTCCTTAGTAAGATGATCCTCCGACAGAAATCAAACTTTCAGTATGGCCTTGAGCGATATTCTACGTTTTATTAATGGACCAAAGGCTTTTACTAGAAAAGCGGAAGCTTTTTCGGTATTTTGTTTATAAGATATTTATTTAAAAGTAAGAAACAAAGAGAGAAGGATGAGAAGGAAGTGAAAGGTGAAAAGGGAGAAAGGAGAAAGTACTGCAGTAAAATTGACTTTGAAGTAAAGAAAGGTGCTAGTAATCGGAGGAGCCAGGACAAAAAAAGGAAAACAAAGATAATTTTTGTCTTCGCAACTGCCTATAGACTCTCATCCTCTACGTTCTCGTCATCTGCACCCTCGTCATTGAGACGGTTGGCACCTCCTGAGATCAATTTTAACATTCCTTCTATAAAGAGGTTTCTGACAGGTTGTATACCTGAAATGATGCCTTGAGGTGACTGGTGCTCGAGAATGCCTAAACGCCGTATTTCATTTATGACAAGAACTATATCGCTTTCCTTGGATACCTCAGAATGAAAATAGCTGTCGAAGGATAGGTCAAATTCAGAATCGATCCTCGTGTCGACCTCCGCGAACAAATGCGCATTCATTGAAATTGATTTCGCAAGGTAATTCCAGCTCATATTACTACCTGTAGCTGCATGAACAGATTTGATTAGACGGTTTGTATGTTCCTGAAACATGTCTGTTGGAATCCATCCATCATTTCTACCAGAGGTGTTAACTAACCACGAACGCATAACGGCTCTTTTGACCTTAGGTGCCCAAAGCCGTCGAATCCCATATGTCAGTTTCAAGAGCTCTTTTCCATAGTTCTTTGTACCTTTCGCTTGAAACATGATAGTAATCGAACTCAGCACTCGCTCGATACGTCCAATGTCTCCTTCCTTAATAGCCGCACATAACTCAAGGTAAAATACCATATCCCTAATGAATTGGAACACATTTCTTGCCCCAACCCAAAGATTTTCTGAACTCCTTGGATCTGTCAGAGTTTGTTCACAAACATAATCTAATCCAGATCGAACAAGGTGGTCCATTTCATGCACACACCTTTCCTTGAATTGACGTTGGCTACCTCCACCTCCTTCAGTCTCAGCCTCAGGCACGCTCTCTGCTGTAAAGGGCCGCCTACCATCAGACAGATCTTCGGCATTCAAATGCCGCATCCAAAGCGTTCTGACCATTGCATCAAAAACAATCCGAAGGAACTCATCCAGGGTGCGATAATCTTGTGATTGAAACGCCAAGCGTCTTCGATCTAAACAAGCCACAAAATGCGCCAACGAACCTTCGGTAGACTGAGATCCATAATGTGCCTTAAATATGGTGGATGCAAGATTCATCTGAAGATGGAATAGTTGCATCGCTGGAAGTGCCCACTCCAAACGATCGAACCTGGTGATATCCGTCATGCGCCACTCTTGAGCGGAGTTTATACGAGAGATAGTACGCTGGTCGCCTCCGACGATGACCAACTTACCCTCAAACCAGCTCCTTTCCAGTTTAAGCATCTTCACACAAACCGTCTCTACAATCTCGATGTTCCCCGCGGTCGAGGATTGATCTATGTTCATCGTTGGTAATGGAAACGTTACTGATGGCCTTACTTCGAGGACGTCGATTTTGTTCATATGAACTGCTTGCTGGCGAAACTTGTCCGAATAGCGCTGCAAGACCTCAGAGATATGAAAATGATGCATGGCTTTCAGATGATTGTTATCCGGTATCAGCTCATGCAGTTTAAGGGGAGTGTTATCATATATCGTCGAGGAAAGCTCATCAAGCTGCTCATCTATGATGATTGTCGCTGTCATACCGCTCTCGAATGTGTCTTGATTGTCCTTTCGTTGATCCTCTTTCCGGTTTGCGATATTGATATTGTCGTATACCAACATCCATGGATTATTGAGAACTTGTTCACGAACGGTCTCCAAGGCAACTTTGGTCAAATACTTGAGCATGTTTGACGTTGTATCATAAGAGACGCACACGCAAGCGGATGAGAGCATCCTGATAGTCCTCTTACTGCACCCATTTCCACGGAAGAAAAGCCCTAAAAATGTCTGCAATAAATTTGCCTGCTGATTCTTATGGAACATCAGCATACTTGCGATAAATGGTACTAGATCCCTCGCTGCCGCGACGAGCGCCCATTGCTGCTGGAAAAACCTGCCAACGTCGACGTCAAAATCGGTGCATGCTCTTTCAAAACCTCGGTCATGCGACCAAATAAGAAACATTTGAAAAAATCAGGAGTAAGTCCTTCCTCCGGACAATGAAAACATTTCTTTGTAGACATTTGTTGCATTTCCTTCGCGACGTGTTCAGTAACAATCTCCATTGCCGACCAGACAAAAGATCCATCCCTTGAGACAGTCCTGTTAGATTTCCAAAGGCCCATCACCCTCGCTGGACCACCTTTGCTTTCGAATAAGCCAACCCTGTGCTTGACGAAGGGATCGTTTGAGTTGAACGCTAACTCAAGGAAAGTCGACAGTGACATCTTTTCATTATTTAGTATCTGGAAGATCTCGCGAACAGCTTTCCCGCGCTTTTTATCGTTTGAAGAGTTTTCGTTGATAAAGTCATGAAAAACATGTTTGATGGTCTATTTTCTAACATAGAAAGAGATCGGTTTAGTTACCTCTTGTTTAAAGCCTGAAACCTTATCAACGATTGACGAAGTACATCCGGTTTAACATTTACCTGAGATTGAGACTTGAGATAAATATCAAGTGAGGATTTGGAAGAAGTGAAGAGCTTTTGCTGAGGAAATTAGGGGATAGGGAAGTAAGTGAAGGTAAGATGTGGGTTTGACATACCATGCCCATGGGTATTTATTCATTTTTCGTCCAGGGGCTTCCAAGGGATGCTTAATGAACGCTGAAATGGCAGAAGGTGGGATTATATGAGATTTCGATTCTGATCATTGATGATAGGCTGTCGTTATTGTTGCCCTTTTTTTTTTTTTGTTATGTTTCTTTTCTTATACTTTTTATATTTTCTTTTTTCTTGTTTCCTTCTTTATTATTATTTTTCTTTTTTTTTTTTTTTATTATTTTCTTTGTCACACCGCCGCCGCCCGCATTTCCATCATTACTCGATCGTATACAGGGTAAGCCTGATATCGAGAAGAGCCTGCGCCTACTCAAGCGTCAGCGGATGGAGACTAGAGAGGACCGGGGCTTTTATATCCAGCAGTATGCCAAAGCAAGTCCTCAAGCAAGTGATGGCAATCTGTTTTTGCTGATGGACAAGGTGAAAAAATTCCTGGACAGCGACCAGAAAGTGCTACTTGTGCAAGGTGATTCAGGGGCAGGCAAGTCGACATTCAACCACGCTCTTGAATCCACTCTGTGGGAAGTGTATCAAAAGAAACATGGTCGGATCCCATTGCTCATCAATCTACCATTAATCGATAATCCTGCAAAGGACATGATCGTAAAGCAGCTGCAAACATACGGCTTCACAGGGGCACAGATTAAGGAGCTGAAGAAGACACGGTCATTCCTCTTGCTTTGTGATGGATACGATGAGACCATGCAGACCAACAACCTGTATGTCGCCAACCGTCTTAACCAACCTGGCGAATGGATGTGTTAGATGGTGATCAATTGTCGTAGTGAGTACCTTGGAGTAGACTATCGGGATCGCTTCCAGCCTATGGACCGTAACCACCAAGCAGATTCTGGATTATTCCAGGAAGCTATGATTGCACCATTTTCTGAGGCTCAGATCGATGAGTACACTGAACAATATGTCAGTGTCATGGACCTAATGTGGAGCGTGGATGACTATCAGCGAGCGTTTGCGGTAGTCCCTAGTCTGCGCGATCTTGTGAAGAATCCATTCATACTCTCACTCTCGTTGGAAGTGTTGCCGCGGATGGTAGATCCGCATCAAGATAGCACTAAAACTCTGATCAAGCGCATCACACTGTATGACAAATTTGTTGAGCTGTGGCTCGAGCGAGGCAAGAAGCGACTAAGCGAGATAGTAGTATCAGAGGATAAGAGGATGTTCCGGACATTGTGTGATGAAGGGTTTGCACTGAATGGGATCAGATATTTGGCAGATCTGGCTGTGGCAATCTACAAACACCAAGATGGCAATCCGGTGGTGGAATACACCCCATCCAAGGACAAGGGTACATGGAAAGAGGAGCACTTTAGCAGGGAGAGCAGGAAGAACCTCCTCCGAGAAGCATCACCTCTGAACCGCACAGGTAGCCAATATCGGTTTGTCCATCGGTCTATACTGGAGTACTGTGTAGTGCGAGCGATGTTCGAGCCACAGAAAGAGATGAGGGTGATTGCAAGTGATAGAGAAGCGCCAGCGGCACCAAGTTGTCGTAGAGGGAGTACCAGCTCCGTATACAGTTTTGAGGCGGAAGGGGGCAATATGGTTGAGCAAGATAATGATTCAATGGATCCTGATGAAGCCTCACCATTAGTGTGGAGAAGCTTTGTAAACGAGCCATCTATTCTCCAGTTCCTTGTAGACCGTATCCAACTGGAAGCAAAGTTCAAAAAGCAATTGTATGAGTATGTAGAACTCTCAAAGAGCGATAGCAAGTGGCGAACAGCAGCAGCCAATGCAATGACAATCTTGGTTCGAGCAAGAGAATCCTTCATCGGAGCAGACTTACGAGGCATCCAGATCCCAGGAACCGACCTTAGCCATGGGCTTATAGATTGAGGAGCCCCACGAGCCTTTTCAGCGCCGTAGTATACTCGCCAAGTGGTGGTCATCTCGCCACAACTAGCGTGGATGGGTCAGTGCATGTGTGGGAAGCCAGATCTGGCATGGGAACAGATTGCAAGTGGAGGTAAAGACAAGACAGTACAGCTATGGGATGCTGCATCAGGAGAATTAATACAGGAGCTTCAGGACTGTGAGTCCGAAGTTGAACGAATCATATATTCGCCTGACAGTCAGGAATTCATCATTTATGACGACAATTCCCACTTGCTGAGCGTGTGGGATGCTTGGTCTGAGCAGAGGGTTTGGCTCTTGGAGCATAAGAAGCCTGTCAGGGGTGTCCAATACTCTCCTTGTGGGAAATTCGCCACTTCACTTACCACGTTCAGGGCATATCAGTGGAACATGCAGACAAGAGAGGTCATCCATACTATTATAGGCAATTCTGGTTTTGGCTATGAAATAAGATATTCACCAAATGGGGAACAGATAGCCATTTGTTGTTACGGCAGAAGAGTGCAACTTTGGGATACCCAATCCGGACAACTGATCAACCCATTACATGGCCACACTAATTTTGTATTCCGTATAGCATATTCACCCAATGGCCACCAGATTGCGTCGTTTAGCCGAGATGGAACGATACGTCTGTGGGACACACAATCACAACAGTCTAGCCATGGCTCATATGGGTATACAGAACCAGTCTTCCGAGCAAAGTTTTTAGGGGATGGACAACATATCGCATCATTCAGTTTGGATTATACAGTTCGTGTGTTGGACAGTCGAACAGGGAAATGTATCCATACTTTACAACAGTCTACATGGGACATCAGGTATTCATCTGATGGTCAGCTTGCCTATCGTGGCAAAGGGAATGACCCATACATTTACCTTTTGGATACTCAATCAGGCAAGGTTGCTCATGCTGTGAAACCACCAAATTCGGGTGATAGCATCAGCGGCTTTGTTATTTCATCCATTGACCATCAAATTGCCTGTTGCTACTCTAATGGAGATGTGAGTATGTGGAACACGCAAACGGGACAACTCATACGCACTCTACAAGGAAATGGCAGTAGAATGAAGCAAATGTTATTCTCGCCTAATGGCCGCCAAATTGCTTTATATGATGAAGACAAGAGGATCAGAGTCTGGGCGACACATTCAGGAGATCCACTGTATGAGTTAGAGGATCTGGACTTGACTGCCTTGTTTGGCGAGAAATATTGCGTTTACTCACATGATAGCCAGAAGATAGCATTCATCCAGGACAAAAAGGTGCAGCTACGGACTGCAGATACAGGAGAGATCTATTTCGAAATAGATTTCAAGGAGGCTCAGAGAGTGATTGCATTTTCACCATCCAGTCGACAGATGGTTGTTGGAAGTGATGAAGGGAAAATCAGTGTAGTGGATACTGAATCAGGGAACGTGTTACATGTACTTGAAGGCCACACTGAGAGTATACATGACATGTCTTTTTCTTGTGATGGCCAGTATATTGCCTCTGCCAGCATGGATATGGCTATACGACTGTGGGATGCAGAGTCAGCCAAGTGCCTAATAGTATCCCATTTGTCGGGACATATGTTTGAACTCTTGACTGGAATGTTTCTGAAGAAGGTTACTTTCTAGCACTGGCTCTGTTCGTATGTGGCAGATCAGCAAAGAGGAGGATGGCCAGTGTTATGCCCGCCTGAGATGGAGCACGGAGCCAACAGGTCTTCATGCTAGCAGTGCAAGGATTCAAGGTGTTTCTGGCTTGAGTGAAACGAATAGAAAACTGTTGGAGCAACATGGAGCTGTTGGCAATATAATACAGTGTTCGATCTTCCAAGAGGCAGGTCAGGAGAAGACAATGAGCTCCGCATCAACCAAGTTTAAAATACCAGAAAGCGATGGTTTGGATACAAACGCAATGAATAGTAATCCCAGAACAAGACCATTGATTGCTAAAAGTAAAGTTGCTAAAGGGCATCGATTCGTTTGCAGCAAATGTAGTGAATGTAGCGAGTATGAGCCTGTGCATTTTATTCTGAACTGCAGTTCTACTAGTCAGCATTATTGGAAGGAGAGTATCCACGTGGATTTAGCACAGCGAACATCCCAATTTTTCTTTTTTCCTTGTTCTCTTAATAAAGGGTTAATGGATCAACCTGTTAGGAGGCATTTCCTGGTCGTGTTGCCATGCCTTAACCGGCCATACAAACATCTCATGAAATGTTTTTTCTTTGTACTCCCCCAAATGGACAGAATAATTAAAAGCCTGGTGTGTGTGTGTGTATGTGTCCCTGCAAGCTATGATGCACATATTGTAATACTTGTCATTAATTCCCCTCTTTTACTCTATTTGCTGAAATGCAGAGAATTGTCGTTTGTAACAGAATCATTTCTAGAATTGAATAGCGCGTTCCAACTTGATCTGATGTGGATGGATATTTAGTAAATTAAAGAAATTCTGGACCTGAATCCCCCTTTGTTTTTTTTTTTTTTTAATTTCTTTCTTCAGGACCGATGAATACTTGGAATCTATGACAAATTCTTGTTATCATGCGGCATAATGAATATCTGTAGAGAAGTAGAGAATGTACACATATATATAAAGCATTTTCTTTTTTTTTACCAACACCTCTTCTTTATTATAATAATATTAATAATATTAATTTTTTTTTTTTTTTTTTTTTGTAAAGAAACTCAAAGACCTTCCTTTTAAAAAAAAAAAAAAAAAAAAATGGTTTCGTCCTTGCTAAGCTTTATAGCTTTGAGTCTTATCCTCTTAATATTCCCTTCACCAAGTTCTTCAGCAAATGTAAAACCGGCGATTACTACAGATGGTATGGCCATTATCAAAAGTGCGAGCTTTATTGAGCCGCTCCTACACCGAGTTGATCTTGAAAAAGCCAAGGCACAGAAAAGAGACAGTATCTTTGTTGAAGATAGAAATAATGATGGAAAAAGGAACTGCAGTTCTTTTTTATTCTTTATTATTATTATTATTATTATTATTATTATTATTATTATTATTTTGTCTATAGTATTTTTTTTTTTTTTTTTTTTTTTTAAAAAAAAAAAAAAAAAAAAAAAAAAAGGTCAGAAGCTTAATCTCGTCACTTTTTCTTCACGATCTTATTAGATATAAGCCAGCTTCTGTCACTAAAGGCGGATACAGGTCTCACAGAGCTTGAAAACTGGATCGAGAGCAAGGTGGATGAACAAGCAGTAAAGTATCAAGATGATCTCATCAAGGTTATGACCAATCTCCTCAATAATTCAGAGGCTGCTCAATACCTTGATGTACTTGTGAAAATGGCTAGTTCATCCGACAACCAAAAAGAACAGCAGCAACAAATAAAACGTAGGTTTATCCAGTCATCATCTAAAGAGCAGCAGCAAGGGGATCAAGAAGAAAGCTTTGAAAGCAGTTCAGTACCCAAGTCAAGAATAGCATCTAAAACATCGTCCGGACAACAGGACCATCAACCACTCTTAAAACGGGCTCCTAATCAAGACATGAACATGACCGCCGCAACTATGAATTCGCTTATGGAGCCATTTATCCTTCAATTACGACGAGATATCCGAAATATCCTCATTTGGCTCTGCGCTGGCGCTCCCGGTTCCAAGATTGATGGAAAAGTTTATGGAGATGATGAGTTTTCAAGACGAGCAACAAAGGCGGACATCACGGCCATCAGACATCCTAAAGGAGCTCATTATCTTGCTGACATTATTGACCCAAACACTTCCACGTTGATCTTGGCATGCCTCAAGAGTTATTATCAGGATTTTGGAGAGCAATTGTATTCTTTGGCAATAGAGCGATCTCAACAAGCCAAGGAGGCGATATTGTCCAAGTTACAAGAGTTGACAGGAGTTCCAAAGTTCCTTCTTCCGTTCTCTATAGAGAAGATGCTTGGACAATCAGAAGGATTAAAGAATATACTTCCGATAATAAGCCAGAGTTTGCAGCTAACTGAACAAGCACCAGGTGTAGTGAGAGAAGAAACAGAAGCAGAAGGAGGGGCCTTGCATTCAAAACAGTTAAACAAGGCAGGCAGTTCCGATGATGGCCGTGTAGATGACAGTGGTAATGACAACGCCACTGAGGGCAATAGCGATGCTCAGAAACCATCAGAGGCGCTTAATTGGGTAGTCGATAATGTATTGAACGAGTTCAGGAAGACTTTTGTGGAGACCACTCAAGAGCAAGAAGGAGACCAAACGGAAGAAGTGAAAACGGACAAGGCATCGGAAGATGGAGCGGATGCTGATGCTGATACTGATGCCGTTGCTGATGTTGATGCTGATGTGGATAAAGCCGAGAATGTTGATGCCAAGGAAGGAGGGCCTTCACGTGGAAGGAAACCTTCTGAGCCACGACAACGTGGTAGTGGTGGTAGATCTGCGCAACATGACAACAAGGACAAGGACAACGACAAAGTGGAGGCTTTGGGAAAGGAGCGTCTGCAGATTCCTTCGGTAGAATGGGTCCCTGAATTCCTTTCTTCTCCTTTTTCTTCTTCTCCAAAGGAAGGAAAGAAAGGGAAAGGCCATGCCAGGTGCGGCTGGATCCAAGATCGGCTTGGCTAAAAATGGGGTAGTCATCCTCACCCTCCTCTTCTTCTCTTCCTTTTTCTTCCTCATCAAAAATCGTCCATGTGCAAATGAAAGTTCGTTACAAATTTACAATAAATAAAAAAAAAAAAAAAAAAAAACCAAACTGGTCTCCCTCATGTGTTTGTGTTTTTTGTGCTCTTTTTTTTTTTTTTTTTTTTTTTTTTTGAATCTCAATTGACAGCTGCCGTGCTGTGCACATTTTTCAATCGGTAGGTTTGTCTGTCTAGAAAAAAGTCCATTAGCTTCAAGCTTTACATCGGATTAGATGAGTAAAGGAAATAAAAATACAAAATCCTAAGGACAAAGGACAAAGAACAATGCATGCACAGAGGAAATATGGATTGTAGTCATTACGATAAAAATAAGAGAACGCATCAGCTGATTTATTGTTATCAGATCTTGAGGGCAGATCATCTTTCCAAAAGGTGAAGGGCTTGGTTGACCTACGGAAACTCTTGTTTGTTTTATCAGATCCACCCAATCAAAACAAAGCCATCTCTATCCTTTTTTTTTTTTTTTTTTTTTTGGTTGTCATATTGATAGCCATCGGTTGTATGTATAAATATGCATAGATATATATACATGTATGTATCATTTTCATTCATCTTTAGGAGTAGAGATGGAGAGGTTGACAGTGAGCTATCTTTGACCCCCATACTTTCTCTTTCATTCCTTCTGAGTAATACAAAGATGCAAACACATGTGAGAAAGCTAATGGCTTTTTATTATTATTATTATTATATATTATTTAAATAAAGTGACACAACTTATAATACAAAGCTGCTGTGCTGCGCTGCAAAGCACATCTTTACAAAAAAAGAATTTTGAGAGTTGGCTTTAGATGGTTTGTTTCAAAAGAAAAAAAGAAAAGCATGAGATTATTGTTACGGGAATATACGAGTAATCTTTTTAAAAGATTGATCGGAAAATATATCTATCCTATTATATATATTTATATTTATATATATACATACTTACATTATCTATCTTTGCTATCCTATCATTTATCTTTTTTAAAGGATTCAGTTAGATAGCCAATTTGTGAGACAGTAAAAAGATTGCATACATTCATTACAGCCTACATGTACATGTTTGAAGCATTCATGTGCTAAAACAGGATAAATGAAAATCAGCCGGACAGAAACACAAGGCGGAAAGGGTTCACAAGGAAAAAGCACCAGCCACCTCTAGAAAAACGTCTATTACTTAACCTACCCCTCTTCCTTTCCTCTATACTAAACATGTGAAGGAAAGGGAAAAAAAAGACATGATAAGCAAACGCTTTTTCTTTTCTTTACTTTTTGACGTCCAACATGTACATGTACATGTACATATACGTAGATAGTGTGTAGTGCAAGTGTGCAGAAACAATAAGTGCGGATAACGTGTTTTGCATATTTTTATTTTTCTATTCATCATCTATCAATGTCTCTTTTTGCAACACGAAAACTACGCTAAACTGCAACAGCACTGGCCTGTCAAGCAGAAAAAGTAACAATAATAATATATAATAATATATAATAATAAAAAAAAAGCGTTAAAGAAAGATATATCTATTTTCTTTGTGAAAAGATTTTTCCCCCTCGGAACATTTATTTTCTCTTTTTTGCTTGGCAAACACCATTGATAAATATTGGGCTATTGTTGTCAACAAGCGATGGATTACATTTATCTTTTAGGACATTTAATTTTTATCTTTTACTGAAGCGTATATAAATGTGAATGGATGTTCATCTCATTCAACTTCAAGGGAAACCAGTGTCCTGGTACCTTCTTTCATCCCTTCTCCTACCTCCTACGGTCCCTTTTTTTTGACTCCCCCCTCAACTCCTCCTGGCCATACCGTGCTATCTTTACTACATAATACGCTTCTCGTGCCTGACAATCGCTCGGTCAAGTAGTTACATCGTAAAGAAAAGAAAAAGAAAAAAAAAAAATACTCTCCTTTCTCTTTTCATGCTTTCCCCCCCCCCCCCTTTTTTTTTCCGCTTTTGATTTATGAGAAAAGGGGGACCCTAACCATACAACGACGCATGGACCACGACTTGTGGACTTGTGGAGAAAAAGAAAGATGATTAGGGGAAAGAGACTGGTCCATCTAGACCCCAAACTTGGGATCTTTTTAAAAATAAAAAATAAAATAGTTCATCTTAAGGTATATACATATACCAAGAGCAAAACAAAATAAAAAAAAATAAAAAAGTGCACGACCCTTTCCAAGGAACTGAAATGGACCGATGATGGATGGAGGAGGATCTCTATTATTGAAGACCACATCTCAATTGATCAAAAAGCGAGAAAAGAGCGTTTTGACCAGTTAGAGCAGCCATTTCGATTTTTTTTTTTTTTTTTTTTTTCAATGGAGCTTTGTGGTTTTTTTTCTTTTTAACCTTTAAAAAAATAAAAGGTCCAAACGCGTACATCTGTTATGCCGACATATACATATGCTTTGTAGCGGAAAAATAAGCATTAGATGCTGCATATTTGTGCGATGTACGTTATGTATAGATGTGTATATAGGAGTAAGTGAATTGTATACGTGTAATGTCCACAGGGTTCATTGATCATGGGTTGTCAACTGAATATGAACAACCTTTATTTATTTTTTTCATGGGTAACAAATAAGTTCTTCTTCTATCTGTTCCTTCCGCCCCCTCCATTCCCCCATTCTCTTACATGTGTGTGGCTCTGTAGTTGCTGTGACCCGATTCAAACCGCGTTGAAAAAGAAAAAAAAAAAAAAAAAAGTCTGAGCCCTTTCATGTTTTACTTTGTGCGATTTTGTCGAAAGGGCCAACTTTAAAGTCATTTCTTAATTTGTTAGACATAAACAAAAAGACGTGGCGATGAGATCACCCTAATAGGCAAGTCAAAATAGAGAGAGTCCCATTATCTCATTTCCCCCCAGCCAGTTTACCCATTTCTCATTTCTTTTTCATCGATCATTTATCATTTTTATCATGGTCATAGGGCTCATGCATTTTGGCAATGAATAATTTGATTATATATATATATATTATTATTTATTATTCAGGTTACATGGTGATATGCATGGCACATATACATGTGTTGTTAGACGCATGTAAAATTAAAAAACGTGGGCTGTAGGATGAATAATAAGTAATAAGAAAAAAAAGAAAGACTATGCAGCATGGAGACATGG